GTCTAAATGCATACTCATTTAGTATGCTATAAAATGCTTCGGTATTTCATCTGGACTATCTCTATTGATAATTTCTACTGATAAACCATATTAAATACCTTAAGAGGCCTTTTGTGTGATCGTTAAAATTTGAAAGCTTTCAAATTTTTTATGTAAGAGCTTTCTTGAATTTGCACTCGAATTTGTGACTTAGTTCAAAATTTCTAGTATTGCAGTTAAAATATCTACAAAATGAAACACAGTATCTCTGAAAGAGACAATTAAAGCTTTAAGAGAATTTTATGAGAAACAAAATTTATGGAAATAAAACTGTCGGAAAGAATCGAACATTCTTGTGTCGGCACTGAAACCAAATGTTTCTGATAGAAGGAAATTAGAATAAAAACACATTGCAAAGAACAGTTTAGTAGAAACTGCGTGTTCAAGGCGAAATATTTGGAGGTTAGAGGTCATATTTTACTGAGGTTTTGATTCAGTGCAGTGAATAAAATATTCCAGCGAATGGGCCTATACTAGAGAGAAAGACGCAAGGAATAACATCGCGAAAGGCTGCTGTTTGTTTACTCAAGGGATTCAAATCAAATGTCATAAATGGAAAAACCAAAGATGTCTCAGCCGAATTCGTTGAAAATTCGAGAATTTATCTAACTATATGGATATCTGTTAAAATGTTTTCAATGTTGATAAAACTGGTCTTCTTCTCCTACCTTTAAAAAGAAGTTCAATGTCATGGGCAAATTCTCTTCGCTATTTTACCAAACACTAATGAAACGGAAGGCGGCACCTTTGCTCATAACAATGTCACAGAATATAAGCTGTTTCGTAAATGAGTATGGTAGATAGCAAATAGAAAAGGGAGGATGATTGTGGACATTACGCAAAATGCTTCAAGAAAATCATTAACGCATTAAAGTTTTCTTGAGAAAAAATGCCATTAATAAGAAAAACTCGATTAAGAAGATAAACCAAGGAGCTAGCAAGAAAGTGATTTCGGTTTGAACAAATATATAGTGTTGTGTTCGTTTTGTTATGCTTTTGTTAATCTCATAATTAGTTTAGGTTGCTATAGAAACAAATTTCGTGCATTTTTGTTTAAAACTGTTAGTTTAAGGTCAGTAAGGTGCAAAAATAAACATTTTCGACATATTTTACTGTTCGGCATGCTTACATATTCGACATACTTACTTTCAAAGACAAGAAAGCGTCTGAGGCTGACAAAGAGATTTGGGAAGTTTTTGGTGTTAATTACTTAACAGAATACATACTTGAGAATTGGTTTATAAAGTTTTATTCTAGAAAATAAAATTCAGAAAATTTAATTTTCATTTGAAGATGAACAACGCTCTAGCCAAGCTCCTGAAGTTGATGATGACAAAGTCATAATTAAATAGAATCGTCATATAAGAGTGCGAGAGATTACAAAAAGGTTAATTGTATCACACACAAGAGCTGAAAAATCACTTGAAATGTCTTGGGCTAGTTAAGAAGCTCGATATTTTGTTTCGTATGAACTGAAAGCAATTCACTTAAACAGCGAATCAACATTTGAGATACTCATTTCAAAAGTAACACAGTCGATCCTTTTTTGAAACGAATTATCAGTGGAGATGAAAAATGGATCGTCTACAATAACATTAATCGAAAACATCACGGTCCAAGCTTGAACAATCAGCAAAAATCATATCCAAAGCTGAATTGCATTAAAAAAGATCATGCTGTCCATTGGGTGTATTGCAATGATATTTTGTGTTTAGAGCTGCTTCCAAGTAACCAAACGATAGACCCATATGCCAACAACTGCCAACAACGTTTTAAAGTGGAAGAAGCAATCAAACATAAAAAGCCAGAATTGTCAAGTCGCAAAGCAATCGTGTTTCACCACGGTCAATGCGAGACCTCACTCATCTTTAGCAATATGTACGAAATTACTGGTTGGGAAGTGATGTCGCATCCCCCATATAATCCGAGCATGCACCATCGATTAACTGATTGCAATTAATTTTTTAATTGAGTTTTATTTCGCACCGAAAAAAAACCGAAATTAGTTTCTTGCTAAAACGACATTTTTTTATTTATTTGTTTATTTGCCTTCAATTTGATCTTATTTTTATGATATCTTATGCAAAAATGAGCATGGGATACGTGTATAGGAAGTAAAAAACAGGAATGTCACTGTTGACATTCCGAAGAATGCCTTAAGAAAATCATTAATGCATTAACGTTTCTTTGAGACCTTCCCTTTTCCTTTGAATAAGACATTAAGAGAAAGCATTCCAGGGATTAAGAAGATAAAATACTTTTATTTATTTATTTATCAGCATACAGCTTAAACTTATTTTTAGCTTAAGCTATTTAATTCTTGCGATTTAAAAAATAAAATATTTGAGCTTATTCGAAAATATGGATAATATTTTAACAAACTAATTGTAGCAGGATAAAATTGAGTAAAGCAATGGCACACCGATAAAACTGTTATATATATCATTTCTGAATGGCAAACTGAAAGAGGCAATGACCGTGCTTTACGATTTATTCTCTTTTAACATAATATATAGTTTTCAAAAGTATCGGGACGAATATAGGACCACAAAGTCGAAGGAAATGCTATTGAAATAACTAAAATCAAATTAAAAGGAAAATTATATCAAGAAATGTGCTTAAAGTACACAGTGCAAATGAATAAATGGAAAATTTTAAAATAAGTATTTGAAGAACTATAATTCAATCACTTATGCAACTCAAAAATTAAAATAAAATTCTTCGAAAAAACAACAGAAATCTACAGTTGTGGTTAAAAAATATAATGTAAAATAAAAATACTTCCAAGAGACGGGAAAGAAGGCGTTTGTTCCGAATGAAAGGGAAAGCGGAAAAGTGAGAAATTTTACAAGTGAATTAATTACATGTTTTAAAATTGCTTGTAAGTATTTCAGCCATAGAATCGAAGTATGAATACAAAATGTTTCATGTCATACAGAAAAAGTTCAATTTTGTGTTAAAATTCGCGTGCTAGAACAACGCTGTATATAAATATATAAATATAATATATATCTCAAGTCACGCGAAAAACGCAAGTTGAATTTCGTCAATCGGCCGGGTAGAACGGGAGATATAGAATTGTCGCCCCCTTTTTTAAGTCGGTATACCTTTATTACATTTTCTTTCAGTTGAGGCTAATTTGAAAGATAAATTAAAGCTCTTATTGCGCATCTTATAACAACATTCTGAGAGCTGAATATTTGCCAGGCCTTACGGAAGTTAAAAAGTTTTGTCTCTTGGAGTGGAAAAATTTTTCATTCCGTGTGAATGAAAGCAGATTCATGTGATATCATTATGTAATGCAGTGTTCCAAAAAATTAGATAAATACCTTATTCGAAATATAGAGCAAAATGAGTTCACATGTTTCAATTTTTCACACAAACACTGCCTACCTTTTTATGAGACTTTTTCTGAAAGCTCAGGTATTCTCTCATAAAATGTTTTAGCATTATACTTTTACTCATGAAACAATGCTGCATGAAAGAAGTGTACAATGCATTCAAGCAATTTATTTTTTTTCTTCAAATGCCGTAAAATTTCTCTGCTTTTGCTACCCTCTTCCGACATATTTAGAGGAATTTTGCTTGGGATTTGTTGTTTTACTTCAGATTTGCAGCATTATGCTAAATACAGTAAAAGTAAACGGTGACTAATGGAAAGAACTTTATTGCATTACTCACTGTATTTAATTGAAGAGCTGTTAAGCAAAGATGATTAGTGTCAAATCGACTTTAAGCAGATGCAGCTTATGGTATTGTGGTAATACTAACAGCATGGAGTGGCTGAGAACTATTTCACAGCATGCATTACACAGCATATACTCAGCTATTACATAGCATATTTTGCAGCTCATTTTAGACAGATATGATTTATCTTAGCATATTTGATAACCAACAGCCTTAAAAATGCAACTGACAGTAGAGTTCGAATGTTTCTCATGATACTTATCAACTCATCATGGTAAATGTACTTGGGAAATGTAACGATTCTTTAACTGTTGTGAAAGTCCAAAGTTTTGTATTGAAGAAGTGAGGTTTGTTCTGTAAATTCAAGACACTGCCCAAAACGTGTTCAGTTATATTTGTTGTTGCGTACAATAAATGCGTTAGCCTACTTTGAAAACCGGTAATGTTAAATGCAGCCTATATGAAATGCATTTATGTGAAGCTATTTTAAATGCATTGTCTTTGTATTCATCCTAAAAAACATTACACTAAATATGAGACCGTATAATAAAATGGTTAATAAAGTAACATGATATATACTATATTAGATCATTGTTTATGCCTATTATAATTGCCATAAATAAAGTGAAAACATGATTAATGAACAGCCGTACCATAGCTCTAAATTATTTTCAAATTTTAGATCGTAAATTCTTCTGCTTTAAAATTTAAATATAAAAGTAATACATTTTATTGTCTGGCATAGTCGCAGAGCATTTAAAAATTAAATATGAAATGAATTTGAGAATAAAATTCCTGTTTAATAGAAATAAAATTTGCAAATAAAAGAACAGAAGGTGAAAAATTCTAATGATATAAAAGAAATTTTAATATGGTGTAAAAATAGAAAATTTCAAGCATTAAAAATGTTTATAAAATCAGAATTATAAATAGCAAAACTGCTTACGTAACTGCATAGAGATTTTCATGGAATGTTTACGAAAAGAACCCAAACTGACTACCTTCTGCATAGAGATTTGCATAGAATTGAGATGTTAAAAAGAGCTGTAGAGTAAAATTACCAAATCTTTCTTTAAAGAACACAGCGCATTTTTCTCCTATTCCTTAAAATCCTGCATTTAGTATTTCAGTAACGTCACTTGTGCCTGGCATGTTAAAAAGAGAATATGAGCAATTAAATGATGATTCATAAGATATCCGTATTTCGAAATGTTTCAGGCTGTATAAAAGCTGCTGCTTTTACGTCCTGATGCTTTCCCGTGAAAGAGAATGGTTGAAGCTCGTCTAACTATCTCATGAACAAATCGAGAAGAGTATAGATCAAAAACTGAAAGGTAATTTCAATATTGCCAGTGAGTGATTAGTTACTTGTGTATTTAATGAAATTACTTTGTCATATAAATAAATCTATCCTTGAGTATTCCAGAAAACGGTAAGTGAAAAACTAGTATTTCAGTTTCTTCGAATTTACAGTTTGCACTTAAGTATATTATGATACTTATATCTCGATTGATATTTTACAATAAATACCATTTAATATTATGATTCAATACAAAAAATGTCTTTCATATAATAAAAACAGTAATAGCGATTAATTACGAAGTACTGTTGCATAATAATTACACAATATTGTGATAATTAATCATCATTAATACAATTAATGCACTGTAATAACCAGTAGCAGTATTTATAAATTAAACTAAAATTTAAATTCAGTGCATATTCAGCTTGGATTAAGAGTTAATGATAATTGAGCAAATTATTCTAAAGCAGCAATAAAATATTGTGAAGTAATAATAAACCGAGTCTGATTTTGGAATTCAATAAACCATAAATGCAAAATTCGTGTCATCATCAGTTCAGAAACAGGCTGATCCATTTACTTCTCTTGAAACACAAACCCTTAGAAGAAGATTTACCTGGAGATGTAAATTCTTCTTTTATTGCTCCTAATTAATTTTTTTTTAATCGTACTCTTTTCCAAGTTCCGAGGTTTTAGTTCTTTAGCTTGTCGTTTCAATTTTCGAATCTTATCTCTCTTAGTTTCTTTCTTTAATGTTATAAATAACCATAATTGGTTTTACCACTTCCAATATCGCTTACTATATATATATATATATATATAATATAATCAATTAATCAATACGGTTTAGGAAATAAATTTATATATATATATATATATATATATATACAATGTGTCCACTAAAGTTCTTACTGGACTTCTATTTTCACACCCGTTGGCAGCACACATATACTTCCAGTTAGAAAGTTTTTTTAAATGACACAAAAATTCATGTTTTTATATTTTTTTAATTTTGAAACATTAATTTGGTATAAAATACGAAATTTAACTTTTTACATATTCCTCCAGTTACTGTGCTTATATTTAGGTAAATTTTATACCCATTATAAAAAATAAAACACAAAAAAATGGATTCACATATGATTAAGTTGACTGATATATTTAATTTCAAATTTTATGATAGTTGACATTATTTTGTGTTTGCACTGAGGAGTTGGTTAATAAAATTAGGAAATTAGGAGGTTGATTTTTCCAAATTAAAGGCCATTTAGTGATATTCTTTGGTGATCTACTAGTGTCTCTAATCATAATTTTGTTACATTTGGTATGCCGAAAGCATGTTCACAGAACTAATTTATAAGGTTTCAAAGTATAAAGCTATAAGATATTTCTCCCTCCTTCAGGCATGCCTTTCTGGTGTAACGGTTAGTACTCTCGGCGCGTTTTCGACAGGTCCAGGTTCGAGTCCTGGCGAGGGCATTGTTCAATCTTCACGTCTCCAGAGGTAAAATAACATAATGACTCTACAAAGCTATGTTATTAATATGTTCATGATTTTAGAATCATAATTGGGTAACTGTAAAAATTCATTTAAAGTGTAAATATTTTTTATTAATGCAATTTATATTAAGAGTTGACTCCCTGACATTCAATTTGTGTGGGGCCCCTTAATATGATTTCCCTATTTCTATATCAAATATCTCGATTAATTTTTGTAGTTCGGGAGTGAACCTTTTTGTATTTTATTTTTTTAAAACGAGTACAAAATGTTTTTAAACATAAATATAGGAACAGGAGGAATGTGTAAAATGTTAGTTTTGCATTTTTTTACGAAACTCTTTTTTTTTTATATTTAAAATTTTCAAAGCATAAACCTGTGTCATTTGCAACATTTTTGTAAATGGAATATAATAAAGACTGAAACTGGATAATGTCGACATTCTACGTTGAATGTCAAAATATACTAAATGTTTTAGTGAAAGATCGGATATTTGATTAGAGTCTAATATATTTAAACCATCACCGGTGCATGTCGAAAAGCATAGGAATGCTCTGGTGGAGATCGAAACTGATTAATGATAACCGAGAAGACAGACAAAGAGGCGTAGTAAAAGCAAGGGATACTTGCGCAATTCAAAGTGTCAGAACAGTTTAAGATGTTTTAATAAATGAAACTTAAAAATGAAATCTCACTTTGAAGGTTTGACATGCTTTTTTTTTTAAGCATTGAAGAGATTCAGAAAACTGTAACCAGAATCGTGAATACTATTAAAAAAATTTAGTTTTACGAAATCAAAAAGCTGTATGAACAAATCAATTTACAAAGATTGTATGTTGAAGGTTAAGAAGTAAGAATGCTGTTTTCTTCACATTTCGATTTGCTATGAATTTGGTCCTAAAATACAGTAGGCACACTGTGCATGTCAGGACTGAAGACCGAAATCTGATCAGTTTTACAGTTTATAGTTAGATTTAGATCTGCGAGTTTGGAAATCTCAATTTCACTGTCTTATTATTCTTTCATCCAGCTATAATGTTGACTTCTTTATCGAATTTCTGCTTACTACTTTTTAAGGAATGCTAACGCATCCTATAGCAAGACAAAAAAAGAATGACGAAGCAATGTTGGTGAGAATCGGTTACCTACGTTTTCCTTGATTTTTGATGCACTAAACGTAACTTTCTCAAAGCTATCAATTCATGACGAGACTATTTATAGGCGATGTTACTAAATGAAAATATTGAACCTTCGTCAAAACGCAGCTCAAAGTAACTGCCACTTTGGAGCAAATGCTTCGAAAGTTGTGTAACTGAAATGGTCACTAAATTTCCGAACGCTGGACGAGATAAATCTCCAGTTATTAACGTTTCCAGTTAAATGGCGCTCTATATATCGGAATGAACTTTTTAACTTCCTTACTACTATTATAAATGCGAATGCGAGTTTGTTTGTGTTTGTTTGTTTGTTACGCTTTCCCGCCTTAATTACTTAACCGATCATCGGGAAATTTTCAAGAAATATTTTTGATATATTAGAAAAGGTTACAGGCTATAAAATGTCTTCGTACGGCTTTAATTAGCTAGACATTAATTAAAAACTACTTTTCCCCTACATTTTTCACTTACTTTGTTGGGTTTTCCCCTATTAAAGGGATTTGGCTACTCGCCACTTTATATTTACACTTTATATTCTTTACAATTTACTGTGTGTGCTAAAAAATTTTGTTTTATCATTTTAAGGCGCTCGAATGTTCTTTATTTTGAAATCTTACGCGTAGTGTATTTTTAAAATTCACGCGGAGTTGAACTTATTGAAGGACATCAACGCGAGCGAAGCCGCGGGTAAGCTAGTATGTATATATATTTAAGAAGCTATTAAATTAATCTGCGAATGCATACGATATGTGTATTTGCCTACAGCAAATTTTCTCAAACCTTTTTCTAGTGGGAACTACTTTTATAAATTAGAATGTACTAGAGACCACTTTTATAAATTAGAATGTTCTAGAGACAACTTTAATCCTAGTCCACCTTCGAAAACCAGAAGCATGTGTTACAACCAATATATTTATAATTTTAAAATACAACTAATTAAAATTAATTCAATTTTATAGTAGTATTAAGTAATTAAATTATTTGAAGAAATTATATATTTGTTTTGAATAACTGGGAACCGTTAAAATTTGGATAACCTTTATCTTATTAACTAAGATTAAATTAATTTTCACGTAAACGAGATCGATTAGCCTGCCGATTCTTGCACAGCTCTTCCATATTTATATGAATGTTGGTGAGAAAGAATGCTGCCTATATGAGATCAAGTCGTAAATTTAGAATGCCTTTTTTCACGAGGGAAAGTGAAAAGGAGGAGATAATCCTGCTGGGAGTCGTGAGAAAATGTAGGGGTCGTTTAAACATCTAACTTCTCTTTATTCAGTTTTATATAGAGGAAAATACAAATTGAATTCTTCGAATGACTGCAATTTTGTACAATGAAAATGTATTATTGAACTATAAGCTGTAAGGCAAATAACATCTTTTTTCTAAAGCCACAGGAGTAGAAAGTCATACTTGTTACATCAATGAATCTGTAGTAAATACTGAGTTTTGCATTTCGAATGCTATGTTACATATATGCGAAGTATCTGAGAATCCGAAAAAATAGTCTTAACCAAAATGGCTTTCAACCTCTTCACGTCTAAGGACTGTGTTTCAATTACATTGGGGTAGCTGCTTTTTGGTTAATTTTCTAATGTCATATAAGCGTTAAATTGTTTTTATTTGAAACCTTTGATTAAAATAACACAAACTAGACTGCAGAAAATTCTCCAAAATGAAGTTAATAATACTGGAAAATACATTATTGATGCACTTTTTGGTTTTATATGTAGTTGTTAATATGGAATCCTTTAATTATGTATATCTGTTTATAGGTACATCTAAATGGAACAAAATATAGAGCAAGGTATAAAATATCAAAGAAAAATATCTTTAATATACAATGTTCATTAACATAACTAGATTTACGTAATATCAATATAAATGTTTAGTTAGGTTTAGTACATATATAATTTATTTTTATATTTTGTATTTTTGTATTACCTTCAGTAGTGTATACGTATTTAAAGTTTAATTTTACTTGCTCTCCTTTTGGGTTAAGTCCTCCAGCGGCCGAGCGGTAAAGTCGCTTAACACTGGTAGTTCGGTCCGAGGTTCGAATCCCGCGAACAGGCTGGCTGTATGGGTGTTTTCCCCATGTGTAACGTGTATACGAGCCAGTTTCCCTTAGAAAGTCCTCCACGAAGACATTCCTAATTCCTAACCTTAGGCAGATAGTCCTAGTGTGCTTTGCCATAATTAAATACACCACCACCACACCTTTTGGGTTACGAATTTAAGTGAGGAAGAATTGTTAGGGCCTTCAAAGGGATTAAATTACATACAATCATTTAAGATCCGACTTTTGGTTTCTTTTAATAATTATATATATTTATATACTATTTTATAAATATATGTAAAATATTGCAGTTTTTGAAGCTACTTATTTATATATATATTGTTTGGTCTGGTTTGTTTAATTATAGCAAAGCATTCGACGGGTATTTGCCTAAGGGTAGTGATGATTCGTGGAGAACTTTCTAAGCAAAACTGACTCGTATACACTTTACACATGGGGAAAACCACAAAAACGCCGTTACAGCCCTCCCGATCGCCGCGATACGAATCCCGGATAATCCTACCAGCGTTCACGACTCTACCGCTCAGCTGTTAGTGAGCCACGTACATTAGTATTAATTAGTGCTGTTCAACTGGAATTGAATCCGATTATTTGTTTATAGCAGGGCTTTTCAGCCTCGTGACTTACATGTACGTCTTGCTCGGGGAAAAGGGAAAAAATTCCTAGACGAAAATAATGTAATAATGAAATGTTAATAAACAAATAAATGTATTCATTAAATTCATTTGATAATTATAATTTAATTTGCAATTATAAAGAGATATGTGTTATTAATAATACAAAAAAGTTGATACACTGTGATAAGGTCGCATAAATGAAGAAGAAACTGAAGATTTATATGGACAAGGATGTCTCGTGAGCATAAGATGAAAATTATTATTATTTAGCTTCCGAATACGTTTTCAGTAGTTGTTAAAATAGTTGTTATTAAAATAATTAAATTGTTGGCAATGTTAAAAACGCAAGCTCGAGAGCCACGTATTGCTCTCGCACGTAAAATGTATAGACTTTGATTTTTAAGAAAAGATTTAGGTTTTTCTGTTGTTGATTGTATGTAGCCATTTTTTGGGCGTTAAATAAAATTTTCGTGTGGTGTTCTAACATTAGCGTTTTCATTGGAGTTTAACACCAGACCGTTGAAGCATTAACACTACACCACAATACTAATACTATTAAACTGTTTAATAATACATAAAAGAGTATTTCAAATCTTTTCGCATCCTATGTAATTTGTCTGCATTCTGGTACCATGTACATCCTTGTACACATTATTACTGACTTACAGTGAAGAACAGAGGAGAACTCTGTAGCTCCATTCAAGTTTTTATTCTTGATATACTGATACTGAATGAGACCTAAAAATACTTTTCTTTTAAAATATATCTACCCTTATGATTCCTAACGCAGCCGTTTACATTCCTCTTCCGTAATTAATGTCAGACTCTCGCTCTTGATCGCATTTGCGACGCCACCGGTAAAGAAAGAAGCATCAGGTATAGTGTTCTAAATCCCTTTTTTATTGAAGAGACCTCAGTCGGAAACTGTAAGTAGTTTAACCAATATAATAAATTCCATAAAATATCAGTCTTGGGTGAAAAAATGATTCACGTTTCCGATGTATAATTTCCAAACTCTGAGAATTTCAGCTATACGTAATTTGATATTTTTTGATTTTTTAAAAATCTAGGAGGACCAGAGCAGGTGTCCAGAAATAATTGCATTTGCGATCCGCTGCCACAGGCTGAAAAGCGCTGGCCTACAGGGTTCGACAGTATGAGATTATAAAAATGAACAGAAAACCATACTAAACATTTGCTTATTTTAATTTATTTGCGTTGCACGTCATTGGTCACAGTGCAACAACGTTCTAAGTGCTTATATAAGTGCTTATTTTCTAAAACCAGGTTAAACAAATATGGCAACATTATGCTAGTTTTTCACTTATGCAGGGGATTTTTAGTATAATCTGCAGAGCAAACACAGGTAAACATTTGGCCTATACACATATATTAAAAAATTAAATCAATTATTTGGATTTTCGATTGTTGGAATCCCAGTGTCTTAGTTAATCCGAGTAATTAGTGTTCTACTCTATTTCGAAAGGCTTGGAGTAGGAGGCCATATATAGGCGATTAGAATGTTCCAAGTCAAATCTGATATTATAATTTATAAAATCGAGAATTTTTGAGAAACTAATTTCGAATTATTATTACCTTGTTTTCGAATTATTATTACCAGAACAAGAGTAGCCCTTTAGGTGTTGCATGAAATTAAACTGTTTCAAAGCAAAATTTCAATTTTAGCATCCTTATCAGTGGTATTTCGAAAGTCATATTTCTATGTTAATGTCTTTGGATAGTAAAAATATTTTTTTAGTAATTCTCGTTCAGAGACTCAGTTATCATATCTGTATATACCATAATTACCCCCCCTCCACAAATTTCAAATAATAATAGGATCAGGTAGTTTTTAATGTATGAGAATACCCTCTCCTCTAATATTCTGCTGTGAAAAACACTTTTTATGTTGACGTTTTAGGGGGAGGGCTTTCCTAACGAGACCCGTATAAAAATAAGTTTTTACAAATTAATTTTACTAAAAGTTATCAGGAAGACAAACACAGTTGTCTATTCTGAAAATACACTGTACTAAAAAAATGCTCTGTATTTGCTTCTAAAATTACATTCAAGATGCTACGTTTAATCATTCATTATTTTTAAACCCATTGTGCGTCTTTCATTAATTAAATAAAATTTATTATAAAATTGAAAAAATTGTAAAAATTACAGATTAAGTGAGCTAATCAGCAGATGCTTTTTGAATTTTCTTTCAGAAGGATCAAGTGTGAAGATGACGACAGAGAAACTGATTCTCAGTATTCCAGATTTTGCTATTTTAGCAATCACGTTATTGATATCTGCATCTATTGGGATCTATTTCCGATTCTCAGGAAACAAACAAAAGACTAATGAAGAATATCTTCTAGCAGGCAAAGACATGTCCATACTTCCTGTTGCCGTTTCTCTGATGGCTACATATTTTTCAGCTATCACGTTGATGGGAATGCCTGCTGAAATATACCTGTATGGTACGAACATGACCTTCTTGAACATTGGATTTTTTCTTGGACCAGCAATTGCTGCATATCTATTCATTCCTATATATTTTAGAGCTGGAATTTCGACGGCATATGAAGTAAGAACAGTTTGTTATTTTTTCATATAAAAATACGCACTCTAAGTTGCTAAAATATTAGAGACACCACCTAACAACGTATTGGTCTATCTTCAGCTTTAATCACCCTCGATATTCTTCTGAGCCTGTGTTCAGCAAAATGCTGATATCGTTTCTAAGCTCATGCTGACAGAATGACAGCTCCAATTTGGTTCGTATTGGTTTGATTTACTTGGTCATGGCCAAGCTCACAAAGGCTGTCGGCCTAAGGGAAGGGATGCTTTCGTGGAGGACTTAAGTAAGGGGGGGAAACTGGCTCATATATATGTTACACTTGGAAAACCACGAAAATGCACGTGCAGCCATTTGCCTGAATTCTAACCTAGGTAGAACTACTAGTATTCAGCTACTTTACCGCTCGGCCGCTGGTAGGCCTCGTTCGTACTGGAAAAAGGCGTTTCCAGACTTTGAAGTAACTTTTCACTTCATTTCGCAAATGCTGAATAGTACAAATGTAAAAGCTAGCGATGGAAGAATTTTGAACTCTGAATCTTCAAATCAGTTTGAGGTCAATCATGCAGGTTGACTAAATGCATTTTACTGCTAAAAGTGACCAACTGCATCAGCGAGTATCTCAACTATAAACATGATTGTGTACATGATCGGCAATGATTCTGAGCTAAGCTTTGTTGCTGAGAGAAATTTACGGATATATCAAAGGACTTACCATACTACAGGAAAATATTTCGCACAGCATTAATCATCAACTTAATAGCCATCAAATTGATTAACTAAAAGGGGTATATAAATTAATTAGCTGTTAAGTTGGTTTGCCAGGACTGCTATTCCTTTTAATTGCCTTGGGAACATTTAGTAATCCTGAATGGGAGCAGGGAGCTTACTCAAACTATGCTCGTGTTTGTGTAGGACAAACAACACAAATAAGAAAGGTTAACTTTACCTTTTATTTCTCACAGAGTACAGCCGATTCCGCACTTCGGGATATAGAGACCAGCACGTTTGGTCTAAAATGTAGAAAATAAGAAATAAACCAACTTAACTAGATAAGAAACTAAACTTAAATGCTTTACAGATACTATTAATGCGAAGACTGGCCTTTTGATACTACGTATGTAGTGAGCGAAATGCAAATACTACAATACGTCTTAGTATATCAGCAGGAACTAAGTTCTGGCCTTAAAGGCATACATAAACTGACTGCAAAGCACATGCGTAGCAGGGCAACAGGAAGGCATTTTCTTCTCTTGGCTAAAAGCCACTTCTCAAATATATATACAGTTTGCAACCTCATTAGAATAAGCAACTCCTACTGGTGTTTATTCTGTCCGGAAATGGAAAATAAGGGAGGATACCAAAGTTTTAAAATAAAATAAACGTTAGTAAAACTTAAAATCCTTACAGATCAAGTAAAAGGGGTCTTCATTCTATTCTGACCCTGTATTCTGCATAATGGAGCATGAAATGGGATACATTGAGCCAAGCAACATTTTTCTCAATCGTCGGGAATCTGTTTGGTATTATTGGGTTCACAGCAATCAGTATTTCCTATTTATCAGATATTAACGAGGCATTCTTTTAATATTTGCTGCTATTCGAGCCCTTCCCATGTACAGTCCGTCATATTGTGCTTTCGGATATGCTTTGTGATGCATTTGAAATGTACATATAAAATGCAGTTTGTTATGCTGCTGTGAAAGTTTCGTGTTATCATCTTTTAATCTCGTTCTTCCACGAGCATTTTCCCACCGGAAGGCTTCTTACTACCTGCAGGTTTTTGATCAACACACCCCGCCAGTGCAAACTTAAATTTAGTCATTAGCAGACTGGTACATGCCAAACAACTGGTGTCTCTAATATTTTGGTCTTTCAGGACATATACGTATATATAAACCTTATTTTAATATGGCGAAACAACAACAACAACAAACTCTTATAACCGCTCCTGCTACTGAAAGCAACTGCGGTGTTTTGTAACTATTCTAATTGTTACAAAACGATTGTTAAAGTGTAACGATTGGAATATGGCGAAACAATGACGGCTATCTGCCTAACAGACTTTCTGAGGGAATTAGCTCGTGTTTACGTTATACAGGGGAAAAACCATGAAAACAAGCTCTGCAGCCAGATCATTTGTACAACACAAGGAGAAAACCTCGTGGTACAAAACATTGTGGGAGAACACATCGCTTTGCTAAAACATCATGGTACAAAATATCGTCGTTGAAAATAAAGCGGTTCAAAAACTTCGCAGTTTAAAAACATCGTCGTCGAAAATATCGTGGTTGAAAATAAAGTACCTACAAATCATCGCATGACGATAACATCGCAGACATGCGTTTTTCAGGCTTTAATAATTGTAAATGGATATTCGCATAATGATTTATGAGCGCAAGATGGAAAGAAGGATAATTTTTCCATATTTTTATTAACTAATAAATTTTTAAAAAACAGAACAAGAAATTTAAACAAAACAAGAAATAATTTTCACTGTAAGAGTATCATATTAACAAAAGTGCAGAAAATAATCTCATAATTGACTTAGCAATTTTTATAGATAAAGTCATGCAGTCACTTATCTTCCTTTTTGTATTCTTTTTTAGATTATACTTTTCATGAAAAATTACCAGTAAAACTTTATAAAAATAATTTATTAAAGACCTTTGTTAGTTTTCTATGTCAGTTTAAAATTATATTAAGTGCGATAAGTTGCATTAATTTTCTATGCTTAAGTTTACATTTTACATTTTCAACAAATATTTATTAGTTAATAAAAAAATATGAAAGTAAAAATTATCCTTCTTTCCATCTTGTGGTCACAAATCATTATGCGATTATCCTTTTACAATTATTAAAGCCAGAAAAACGCATATCTGCGATGTTATCGGTATGCGATGATTTGTAGGTACTTTATATTTTATTTTCTCTTTGCTTTATCTTCTCCGACGATGCTTTGTTCCGTGACGTTTTCGAGTTGCGTTGTTTTCTCAGCGACGCTTTCGTTCGCGATATTTTTGCCACGATGTTTCCGGCGGACACCGTTCCAGAGCGTCGAATCAGAGGGTGGGGAGTTATTGATTTGCTTAGGTGATCCTGGTTGCTATACATTCAGGAAAGCTGTGAACACTAAGTTCATAGATTTTCTTCAGCACACTCGTAGCGCTATATTCGAAGACGCTACATAACCATATAGAGCTGAGATATCCAAGTCTTCTGATAGAACAAAAGGTATCTCTTATCAGCCTAGCTATTCGCCAAACATGTCGCCAGTCGAACATGTATGGAAATAATCATTCAGCGGCTAGCCCATCTTTTCCTAGAAATACCAGTACCAGTGTATGGCAGACTTACGCAGAATCAACCTGTAAGCATTATGCCAGGAATACATACAAAACTTTCTGATTTAATGCCACAACGGGCAGAAGCTCTTATTGTCTTCATAGCCGCATCACCAAATGTAGATTTTATGCCAATAATATAAATGCGTCTGTCTGAATTATTAATCTCTTCTTTTTATTACCGTTAGAAAAATCTGGCAAATGTATTTCTTGATTTGACTATTCCTTCATGTTGCAATTTTCACAAACATGAGTGTATATTAATGGTTACCAGTAAATTTTATAAAATAGAGTTAAACATTGTGATATCATCTGCTGTCACTACTGTACTCCCGAAGCATTTTCTTCTCTTTTTTCTATTTACAGTGAAAATTTCGCTTTATTCTATTGGCATTTAATTTCCATCGCGTCTCAATAAAACTGCGTAACATTTTTTAAGTCTGCTTATTCTAATGCTGACATTTACTTTCATTTAAAACATTTTTCTAAATACTAATTAAAGCTAGATTTGAATTCAATAACTGATAAAAGTACTTAATTTCTAATCTTGAGAGTCATTTTATTCACATTTAATTTCAAATGAGTATATTTAATGCAATATGCAAAATAATTTTGGAATTAAATTTGATTAATATCGTTTATTATTGATTGACGAAACTGAGTTTTAAAAAACTAAACTTTCATTAGTGGTTAAAGAAATTCTAATCGTCGTATTGTCTATGACTGACGTTTACTCATTGAGATAAATAATAAATTTAAACCAATGAAAATCATATTTAATTTTTAAAAATCGTGCAATATTTATTGCGAAATAGTTATTAAAATTTTTATTAAACTTCAGTATAAGATATAAAACATATTTTTATTAATTCTTTGGAGTTTATATTTTTGGAAAATATTCTGACATTACTTTTTCTTTTGATAGTACTTGGAAAAACGATTTGGTAGATCAACAAGAACGTTGTTATCATCATTATATGTGATTCAAAATGTAAGTTTTTACATGAAACATTTTTGTTACAAAAGTTTTCACTCAAATATCAGATCATGAATTTCAGCAGAGAATATTTCACTATCAGTATTTTATTTCTTTATATCAATTTACTCTTTTCAGAGATTATTTGCTGTTTATTAAATAATTATTTATTATCTTGCTTTAAAATTAGAAAAAACAAATTAGATAATTTTGTCAAAATATATTGAATGAATTAAATTATTCACGTCAATATGAGAATACAAAAGTTGGAAATTAAATATTTTTGAATTAAAAAAAAAGGTTGTAATAAGTTAAATGCCTAGTAGTAGACTTCTCAGGAAAAGGAAGTTAACAGAAAGTTCATTCACTCCATAAAGCCATACATATCTTTATGAATCCTTATGCTATGTATGTGATTGTTGAGAAGGCCTTTTTCAATATATTTCAGTTTTCAATAAAGATCAATTTTACCTTACGGAGCGTGTTAGGATTTTATTCACGAGTTGCAGTGGCTCATAGAGTATTCCCCACGTTTTGTATAGAAATGAGATCTTGACACTTAACCATACTTTCCATTCCAAAATAATTACTCTTCTGGAGAGAATCTGAACTAGATTAACTGTGAGTTGCAGTGAACTAGATTAACTGTGAGTTGCAGATCATTTACGAAAATGAAATGGGATCTCCTTAAGAAAACCCACATAGATTGACGGGACTATAGTGTCGTCGGTATATTGTTGTACAGTTACATGTCCTCTATCAAAAATGTGTAAGAAAACATGAAAGACCAATGCACTACTATTCCGCTTAGATGAAGCTTTCGTATAGTGGTTGTTTTCCATTATGTCTAAAGACTGAAGACGTAGTTTTGTGCCCAAAAGTCATTCACAGCGCATTGAAATACGAGATTTAGAAAGACGAGAATGACAAGCATTATTCGCGGTAAAGCACTTTCATTTCCAACTGGATGTCCATATTGTTTGCTTTAATATTATTTCTCCAAATGCAAAGAGCGGCCAGCTTGAAAGTAAGCTTTTTAGTTATCATCTGACTATATAAGCATGCATTTTATGCTAAGTTATGGCTCTCAAGAGATATCGGTTTTTAAACTTAGATGACCTTAGTTTAAAATTTTAACAACTTACCATTTGCTTGGAAGCATTTCCATAAAATGCATATCAGTGTAGTTACTGTAATATTTCTGCATTGACCCACCTTAAGTCTGTCAGGGACTCACTACCTCTTAACGATTCTAAGAATTCTATTTATCAAGCTCTATTTTATCTACAAGCAATAGATATTCCACGTACAAAAAATCCCAGATTCGCAAAAATACCGCTTTTCTATTTGCTTCTTAATTTACTAGTTTCTAGAGTTTTCACATGCAAATTATGTAACACCTCTGTGAGTTTCAAGTAAACTCATCTAGCTGAGTATCAGACAACGTGAGGGCCTTACATAGATTCTGCAAATGAATTCTTGCCACAAGACTTTCAAAACTCTTCGGAAGTATAATAACTTTGAATTAATTCTACAAATATTACAAAACAAACAGACACAGAAACAGAATAATTTTGAATTTATTCTACTTCAACCCTTGTAGAGGTTAAATTAAAAATATGCAACACAGAATTGCATTTACCTGTACCTAACTTAAACACAAGCTTCCTTTAGGATTGTCATACATTTAAACAATTTAAAGTATTTTACAGAGGCTGCAAGCTTTGCCAAAAACCATTGCAGCAATTCAAGCATTTATTTTATGAAAATCAAATATATTCATGTATTATAATATTTATTTCGAGACGAATGTTGGAGCCTTCAAAAGAAAATAAAACTTTTCACGGTAATGCGAAACTCTCACATACAGCTACGGGCGACTTTTATCTTTTTATATTAGTAAAACTGCTTATCACTCAATTTACGTAAATTCTAGAATGAGCAAACTTTGTGGCTAAAATGAAGAAAAGAGGAAAAATGTGAAGTAAACAACGTTCGGTTAGTAAAACTTAAGTGCTATGATTGCATTCAATATTCAAAATTTTATACATTTTGCAGTTTTCAGATTCAGGTAGATATTTCGAGCTTTTTTAAATGAAGAATATGCAAACTTTATTATAATTTTAGTCACCAATGTATCTTGAAGAAATCAAATATGTTAAAGTATAAAATTAAGAAACTTTTTATCCAGTAAAATTAAAAAAACTAAAAATATTTGTTCAGTATAATCGCAAGTTCATTTTGTTTGTCTATATTCAATTGACGATTCTTCTATTTGCTAATTTGTACTCTGTTGTTAGTAACGGACCTCAAAACTGACCGCTTCCTGCATTTGCAGTTTTTCTTACATTTCTCATTAGGACTATCAAGATATTTGAAAACCAAACTAGTAAGCCCCCGATTCTCTGACAAATCGAGTAATGCTTTAAATAACATGACCGACTTACGTATTATATTTAGACCCAGTCTCGAGTAATTTTTTTCATGTAAAAATACTGATGTTAATTCTTTGAGCGCTCGGTGAGAACTAAAATTTTTCCCAGACTGATCAATGATCTCTCTCAGTTTTTGCTTGCTCTCATTTTCTTTTTAAAATATTAATTGTAAACTTAAACATTGATCAGCTGAATGCGCCCGTGGCAGACACATTTTTTTTTTCTCTTTTGCTTTTATAACGTAAAATATCAAATAATACTAAAAGTATGGAAAATGTTGTTACTTTACTACCCAAATGATTTTTACGGATTAATATTTGCTTTTTACCACCTGCTGTGCTTACAAATAATTGAACACAGCACAGTCAGAAATGTTGTACAGGTGAATGTACGTATTTAACCTTTATTGCTTACATTTTTAAACCACGACAAATAAATTCCTTTTCAGATAAAGCTGTAAAGAATAGGCTTTTACTACATGTAACGCGTGAAAACTCTTCAATGAGATTGTAGGCGACTTATCGCTAAGATGAAACAGAGATATAAGAAGGGTGTGAAAGAATTTTTTATTTAAAACTAAAGAAGGTGAACAGAAGTGGCTCACAAATCAGCCAGCAGTTATGGTGAGAACTCAAAGTAGAATTTTAAACTTAAAACTTAATCTATTTGCTTGACAGCGAAAGGCTAAGCAGAGAAATTTGAACGCGAAAGTTGACTTATAAGCTCACACTGGCACGAAAGTATTATCGGCGAGAATAAAGCAACGCCAAAATAGGAACGCTTTTCGTGGAATAACAAACTAGTAACGTGGCCCTCAGCAGGCAGAATATGCTCTATCTACATAATCTCAAATCCTCACTTAAAATAAATTGGCCATGAGGCAAGGAAACTTGCTAGGAAGACTGGACTTCGTCAACTATATTACCCTCACTTAAATACATGTGAGCTAATATGCATGCTGGCAGGAAAACAGAAAGAGAAGTAACAGTACAGATTCAGAACATAAAATAACTGGTTAATTAACATAAATAAACTCCATATGTAATTCCCTATTTAATTTATATATCATCTATCGGATCATATGGAATAAAAATGTAAATATTATTAATTTAAGCAAATCGTCTTTATGCTATGTAGATTTTATTGCATTATTCTTGTAATGATATTTAACTTTTGTATTCCAAGATAATGTACACTGCTGTAGCTCTGTATGCTCCTGCTTTAGCTCTGAATGCAGTGACCAGCATATCCCTTGAAATATCTATCGTTTCGATTGGTTTTGTTTGCACATTTTACAGCGCAATGGTAAGTTATACAATATTATGATATTATGCCTATATATTTTCTAACGTTTATTTGTTTTTAGTTATCGATTTTTTAATCAGTTCTTTTATAAATTGAATTGAAACATTTTTATAGTTCAATTTTATATCAACTAATTTCAAAAGCATTTAGAATTCAAAAGAAATTCTTTTCAAAAGAAATTTGAGAATTATTTTCCCATCAAGTAGAAAGGAAATAAAGGATTCAGTTTCGGAGCAAAAGAAATGGAAAACTGAAGTAACACTAAAAGTAATAAGTTTAACGATAATAATGCCAATTCCTATTAGCAAAGAAATGTGAAATTTGACCTTCTAACAAATTATTTACGACGAGAATGTCATGGAGAAAATCTGCAAATGCTTTTGAACATTTATTAAGCGCTTGCAATTATAGAGTTTGACTTGCTTTTTTAGCATAAACTAGCACCAAACTCCTAACAGGCGTTAAGTGAATTTTCGCTATATCTGAACAGGGCTACAAAAAAGTCTTACGAAGTTTTAAAACAAACCTTTTTATTAAATATGAACTTGGTAATACATTTGGAACATAAAGGTACGACTCGTGCTTTCAAACTTCGCAGCCACCTGTGGCAAGATAGCTTATTAGGAGATAGTATTTTATACTTATTTATTTCCTAACATAAACATGAAGTATAGAACAAGCAAAAGACATTTATAAATACAAAAAACGTAAGCGGTGCCATTCACAAAAAGGGTAATGTTATTTTTAAAAGTTCGCTGGCTTTGCCGCAACATCCTTCCCACCCTGGTCAACCTCCAAGGGGGATGACCAGCTGCACAGGTCGGGTAATGGTATGTCCATTGGTGCGCAGAACACAAGTACGAACTTTTTTGTCGCGGCGAAGAATTAGCTCCTCAACATGGGCCTTTTTCCAGGTGTGGCGAGGTCTAACATCTTCTTGTAGTAGGACTAAACATCTTCTTGTAGTATGTCCTCTTTCCGTATTTTATTTGTTTCAGATGGATTCCGCACTTGATGAAATGTACGAAAGTCCATCAAATATTCCTTTTGCCATCTTTTCCAAAAGGCAACATCAAATGTTGACAATTCTTCCACATAAGATTTAAATTTGTTTCAGGATTTGAGGGGCTGGAAGGAATAGTAGTTAATTTCTTTCCTATGAGGAAGGCGAGGGTTAAATTCCTCAGTCATCTTTATTTCGTGACAATCGTTACGTTAGAGCGGCTTCAATCACATAACAGGATCAATAGCGTCATCCAAAACCGTTTTTCAGAGGTTATTTAGATGGTGAAGCTAAACGCCTTGTTGATGGAATTAGTGTAATAGGAGACACCTATGAAACAACAAAAAAATTGTTGGAGGAAAGATATGGAAATAAAGATCGAATTATCCAATCACACTTAGATTACTTAGAACATTTAAATGTTATTCAAGACCCATCTCCTACGCATCTAAATGATCTTTACATAGAATGTAACAGAAGAATTCAAGCTTTAACTGCTCTGGGTGAAAATATTGAAGCATACGGTAGAATCCTAGTGCCAAAAATTATTCGTGCATTCCCCAATGATATTTGTTGCCGCTGGATTATCTATGCCAAGCGTGAAAAACTAAACGAAGGTAATATTACTAGATTGATGCAGTTCTTGGCAGAAGAAGTGGAAGGTGTAGTTGCAGCACAAAGAGTTAAAGGTACGTCTTTTTCTGATCACACCGTAAAGTGCACTGTAGAAAATTTTAATATCAATTCCAAAACAGTAAAAACAAACGTAAGAAAATTTCACCATTTTGTTCATTTTGTGATACTACAGGACATTGGCCTCAATATTGTGAAACTGTTACAGACTATGATACTCGTGTTCAGAAACTTAAAACTTCAAATCGCTGCTTTCTGTGTACTAACCGTGGTCATAGAGTTTCAAACTGCCCAAGAAAAAATACTGCACGGTGCACTAAATGCAAGAAAAGGCATCATGTTTCTATTTGTCCTCCTGTTGAAAACAATCAACTGCGGATAACTAACAGTGCTGTAAATCACATAACCTTTCCTAAAACAATTTTCACACATTTGCAAACTGCTCGTGTGTATGTTACTGGCCCCACAGGCATTACTAAATTAACACGCTGCATTTTAGATGGTGGTAGCCAAGCAAGTTTTGTTCACACAAAACCTCATTGAAAAACTGAAGCTTAAAGTTGTCAGTTCTGCCTCACTTTCAGTTCAAGCATTTGAATCTTTTACTTCACAAGAACAACGTAGATGTGTTTCAACTGTCACTTTCAAGTTTGTGGAGCAACCAAGCATTTTTGATCTCCGCATTTGAAAGCTCCAATTCCTATACTACACATCCTACTGCTCCACCAGAAATAGTTCACTTTGCTCAGAAGAAAAGATTGAGAATTGCTGATCCTCCGGATGACTCTTCACTGCCCATAGAAATACTTATTGGTGGTGATCATTATTGGCAAATTGTTTCCGCAGAAGCTCCAATCAAGCTTTCAGAATCTTTTGTTATGGTACCGTCAGTGTTTGGATGGGTTCTTAGTGGAACAAGAACACATACTACAATCGCTGAGAAGACTTCTGTCCATCAAGTTTGTGTGCAAGTTAAAACTGATTGTTTAAATGATCAGGTACGTCGCTTCTGGGAATTAGACTCCATAGGAATACAAGATGCGCAGAAACGAAGAAATGACTACTCGAGATGAAGAAATTTTATCAGAATTTCACAAAACTTACAACACTGAAGACAATCGAAGAATTGTGTCTCTGCCTAGAAAACCATTGGTCACACCTTTGCCTACAAACAAAATTATAGCGGAAAAAACAGATTTCATTCTCTTCAAAAAAAGACTTGCATCTAGTGATGTGTTAAAGACACAATATGACAAATGCATGCTGCTGAATTACATTGAACAAAAGCATGTTGAAGTTTGTTCCATAGATGAATCCAATGAGAAGCCAGTATATTACCTTCCTCATCATGCTGTAAGAAAGAAAACGACAATCTGAAACCAAGTGGAGAATTGTGTTTGACGCTTCCTCGCATGCTCCAGGAATGATTTCACTGAACGATACCTTGGAAGCTGGCCCGAATCTTCTTCCTGAATCTATTGGTTGTCTACTAAGATTTCGATTGCATGAATTCGCTGTTACATGTGATGGTAAGCAAGCTTTTTTACAGTTGTCACTACATAAAGAAGATAGGGACGTCACAAAATTTTTCTGGTACAAATTAAAATCTGATTCATCTCAACCTACTACTTTTACAGATGAAATAACTGTTTACAGATTTACTCGTTTACCATTTGGCCTTACTTGCAGTCCGTTTTTACTCTGTGCTGCGACACGAGAATTGGCTGCAAAACATATCGCAGAATTTCCAATTGCTGCACCAATGATAGATAAACATCTCTATATGGATGACTTTCTTGCTAGTATGGAAACTGAATCACGCATTATAATGCTATATCACGAGATCAAGAATTTAATGGCTCTAATGAAAATTGCCTATGGAAAAATGGGCTACAAACTCTTTGAAACTCAAAGATGTACTACAAACACATGAAGAATCTCACAAAACGGAAACAACTGTCTTAGGTATTGGCTGGAATACAACTTCTGATACTTTGAAGCATGCATTCAAGACTCCCTCTGTGTTTCTACAGACAAGCCACTTACAAATAGATGGTTACTCCGCTGCATTGCTAGTTTTTATGATCCCTTAGGCACTTTTTTCACCGTTTACTATTCTTGGGAATATCTTATTCCAAGATACATGGATTCTTGGAATCAAGTGGGATGAATTACTATTTGCTAATTTATCACTAATGCTTTATGGTACTTACTAATGCTTTATGGTATGCAGCTGTGAAAGAACTCGATGACATTTGCTCCCTTCAAATTCTTCGATGCATAGGCATTCATCATATGTTCCTTTTGCTATTCATGTGTTTTGTGACGCATCTGAACGTGCCTATGGTTCATTTCTGTACATTCTTATTTTTAAAGTTGACCAATCGAATGTGAATTTAGTGTGTCGTCGCAACAAACTAGCTCCTATAAAGAAAGTTACCTTACCTCGTTTGGAGCTCTTGGCGGCCTTGATGGGAGCACGATTGTTGCAATATTTCTGTGCTGAAACAAACATCTGTTCGTCAAATGCAACATTGTGGAGTGATTCTCAAGTTGTCTTAGGGTGGATACGCAGTGACCCCAACAAATGGAAAACTTTTGTTAGCAACAGAGTAACAGAAATTATTTTCTATACCAATCCTTCACAATGGAGACACTGCCCTGGCAAAGACAATCCAGCTGACAAACTTTCTCGAGGTGTTTCACCATCAACACTAAAAAACCAGGAAATTTGGTGGAACGGCCCTCCATGGTTAGTCAAATCTCTAGACTATTGGCCTCATTCTGATACTATTTCTAAAGATTACAGTCATAACTTCGAGGCAAAGAAAGAAAAAGTTCAGACAATTCACATCATAATGTCTTTTGCTTGTTCTATACTTCATGTTTATGTTAGGAAATAAATAAGTATAAAATACTGTCTCTTAATATCCTGAATTAGACTCTCAAAACAATCCTTTAAATACTATCTCTTTTTATCTCATTTACATTCTGGTAAGGAAACGGAAATTAGAAGTGACAGTAAAGATCACAAACATAAATTAACTGGGTGGTGAAAAGTATTAGCAATTACCATACACAGTAATTGGAAATGAAGTGTCATGATTGTCTAAAAGGCTTAACATTCGAAATTAGCATAACGAATCAAGTGATCATGAGAGGAAAAAAATAATTCTGAACAGTTTAATTCAGTATAAATAGATTAATGCATTAAATTTACGCAACCTTTTAATCAATATAAGCATTACGTGTTATAATACGACTACAATTTAGCATACTTTCACATATCGTTTCGTGAAAATTTATTCTAATTTCTCTGAAACCGAAAATGCATTTGAATAACACTTTTAAAGGAAGCTTACTGAGAGGTTAACACATTTCTTTATATGGTGCCATGGATGTTCAAATAGGTGTAGAACTAATAAACATGCACAGCAGCTGTACATTCTTGTTGCTCAGTATCTATGGTAGGCGAAATGACAGAGGTTCTAATTTTTAAATTATTAGAAAATCACACTAGTTGATCTCGAAAAGTAATTAACTAAAATATATTGGCTTATTATGGGTCTAATTTAACATTGTCGTAAGAAACATAGATTAAATTTAAATATATTTATGTTTGACCACCTGGATACTCAAGACACAAGATGGTGTCAGTGTAAGCCAGTGCTTCTCAAAGTTTCTTGCTCTGCATTGTGGTAAGGAGGGGAAGGGGGAACCCTTCTCCTTCCTTACCACCAATCCTTACGTTCCTCAAGTTTTTTTATTATTATTATTTAACTGATGTGTTCCAAATAACACATGAAACCTAAAAGTTATTATTTTTATTTTAATTAGGCAATAAAGATACACATTAATTTAGTAGTTATTTTATTTAATAAGAAGTATTAATTATATGCTTATTAATATAATATTTTAAAAAATATTTAACGAATACAAATAGCGAAATAATTACAAATAAAAAATACAAATATTGATTTCAAATTGCCAAAACTTCAATCTATCCAGCGCTTTCTGGATCATGTGATTTTAACCACACCTTAGAAATGTTTTACCAGGAGATTTTTGTTGCAATTTGAATCTACAAATCGATAGATAAACAATCACCTCTCCCGAAGCCGTCAAAATTCTCTCCGCTCCCAGATGACAACTCTGATATAGACATTTAAGATATTTTTTATTAAGATGCAAAGCGTAGCACAAAGTATATGCACTATTATTTTTCTTTGAAAAGACTGAAATCTTCATAAACCTTTAACTATGAAAAAATCCAAGTAAAAGCATTTTTATAATTTACAGGGTGGCATGAAGGCAGTTTTATGGACAGATGTCTTTCAAACTATTCTAATGTACGTATGTCTCCTTACTATAGTTATAAAGGGTTGTTTGGACTTGGGTGGAATAACGCAAGTCTTTCGCATAGCTCACGATGGAGGTAGACTCGTTGTCCCTAAGTAAGATCATTCTTTTATTTCCTATTGATGTAGTGTTAGGGGTTATTGAAAATATTTATCTTAATATCCACTTTACTATTATTTCAAACTACTGTACTTGAGTTGGAAACAAAATGTCATTTTATTTGTTACAGTCAATTTTTACGATTTCATAGCGAATCAAGTTTTTCTGAGTTTTCGTAACTCTCGAGACACATACTTAAGTCTCTCGCTATACGAAAATACGCAATTCTCTGAATTATCATTAGTCAAAAGGACGTAAAGAGAAAAAATATACACCATTAATTAATGTAGAAAAACATTTTGAGAATTGCTTCGCTTCCAGAGAAAATGTATGTAAGGTGTGATAAGGTGGATAAGAAATAATATGTAAAACCTCAAACTATAAGCTCACAGGAAGGTTTTGATGTGATGGAAGTTATGATGATGCATTAAACTCAGTATTTGGTAACGGGAGATATACTATCTTTAAGGTAAAAGAAAGATAAAACGAAGATCATCCTTGCTTATTCTCAACTTCGTTAATACTTGTTTACTAGTGTTTAGGAAAATTTTAAGTGTACTTACTCCAGTGTCGGAAGTCGTTTGTTATCATAACAAAAATTGAAAATATGAGAGCATTTTATCTGCGTATCAGTGTGTTAATCTAAACTTGACAGTTTAGAAAGACACACCCGCTTTCTGAAGCATTTTTCACAGAGAAAAAATATTCTGAACTAGGTGTCTATTTCAAAATAAAAGTCATATGTTTTTTTCACTCATTCCATGAAACTAAGGATATTTTCGCTTTTTCGTTTTAAAAGCAAACTCCTTGGGATTATTTTCAGTTACCAAATAGTGCACTATAAACTATATTTCATAAAAGCGAAATGACTTAAATCAAACTTAAAGATACCCTTTATCGAATTTTCTTATTATTCTCTTAGAATTATTTTTGCTATTTTTGAAGCATATTTATATGGTACGGGTCTTCAGTTTAATTTTTAAAATCATTTTTGAGAAGATTACATATGAGCTATAGCATTAAATGTTTATAAGAGCTATAGTTACATGTTTTATTTTGAACGAATATCTGAGGCAAAATGAAAGTTAGTTATTACAGTATTTACCGTATATTTCCCAAGTAAGTTTTCAGTATATAATACAGGAATTTTTAATTTATGGTAACAATATAAAATATGATCGGAAATTACATTACATGAATAAATAGATTAATAGTGAAATTAGTAACTTCTTTCTAATATAAAATACAGTGATACTAGTATAATATGCGCCAAATATACAGTACTGAAATAAAAAGATGAAAAAAATTACATCATTGTCACTTTTGAGTTTATTTCTCCTGAAAGAAATCAGCATACACACTACATACATATATGCACATACCATTAGCTTGTTGATTTACCACGGTATGTGTAAGGTAAGTGTTAAAAGTGTGCACCACCTTGCTGTAGACAATGTTCATATAGTTCACGCAGATTCTCAAACGTATCCTGAAACAAAGGTTGCTTCAGACTCCTGCAAAAGGAGCCTCTGCAAAGATTTGCTCACGTAATGCAGGCACAGTTTTTGATAAATCTTCACAGTTGAATACACACTATTTTGGAATTCCCCACAAGTAGGCATCAGATGATGAAAGATCGGATGAATGGGACGGGTATGGGAAGTCAGTATCACGTGAAATGATTCGTCATGCAAAGTTTTCCTGCAGCATGGCTAGAGATATGGCCGGTCACCCCGTCCTGTTGATGCCACTGTCTATTCATCTGAATGTTTCTTGCTTGACAGAACTGTCTCAAATCCTGAAGGAATGGTTCGATCACCAAACCCCTGTAGATATCTTGGGTGAAGTTAAAAGCATTGCCTTCCTCATCTAAAACGTAATAGGGGCCTAATAAACCGTGTGCTGCGATGGCACACCATACCGTCACACTTGCACTGTGTAGCGGTTTCTGGACGATAACATCTGGCCACTCAAAACCAAGGAAGCAAGTTGTCTGTCTGACAATTGATATAGCCGTTCAAGTGAATGTGACTTTCGTCGGAGAACTACACATTCTTCAAGAAATCTGGATCCTACTACACCATGGCCAAAATGTTTCCACAATATACCATCGTGGCTCTCATATCTGGCTCTGTCAAGCGTTGTCCAATTTGTATTCGGTACGGAAATCCACCTATGTCCTTAAACATTCGGCGAACGGACGTACCGCTGACGGTTAGTTTTAAGGCCGTTCGTTGTAGACTTCACCGGGGCGAATGGAACACCTTTTGGAGAACATGTGCGTGATTTTCATTTGTAGAAACAGTTACTGGTCTACCAGACTTTCCCTTTCGTTGACACGGTACACTACCAGAACGGCGAAATTTCGTTGCAATAAACAGATTAACTGTGTTACTTGGTGCCCTCCTATTAAACTCCTCTAATTGAGCCCTCTTATTGAACTAAAATTGCTCTTACCCTTTTTCACACTCGGTCCACCTTTTACGACCGCTTCCGCGTGAGCGGAAATAATTCTCAACTATGAATACTTTTTCCGCCATCCGAGAGATCCATTTGCAACAATAATTGCACAACACAACTTCCTTTTCACTACTGCGAACACGTGCAGCTTGAGTTATGCCCTGTCACAAACGCTCACATGTGTTCGAGATGCGCGAGATTCAGTACTGTATATTTTGGCACATACTGTACTTCTATTTATAAGTGATTTCAAATGTGCTATGTTTGTAACTGAGTGAAGAAGATAGTGGAGAAATACTCGTATACTTTTTATTTCGAATGCTACTTGAGATATTGGAAATAAAAATTACATGTTTTGACATGATCCGAAATGGCCAAACATAAATTCAATCAAATAAGTAACATTTAATAGCTTTTAAATAACACCATTTTTGTCAAGTAATACTTTCAAATGCCTTTTTTAAATATCATTATGAAGTTCAATTTTTTTTCAAGTCATGTTTTCAAATTTCTAATTTTGAAATGCCATAAAAATAGTCCAAGGATTAAGGGAAGACATTTATTCCAACTTTAATTTCACGAAAATAATGATTTGAAAATTTTCCGTTCTCGATGTTTGGAATTTTTTCTCCAAATAGTACTTTTTCTTTTATTTAAGGTTTTCCTTTAATCTTGAGTCTCATTATACGATGATAAGTGTTGTCGCTGTAGCGTTAATTCGCACAACAGGGGCCTACGCTGTGAACCAGGAACAAGTACAAAGGATTATGACACTAAGAAATAGCAAACGAGCAACTATGTAAGTTATTTGAATATCTTTCATTGTGTTTCCTGTACAATAGCTTATATAGAATTAATTTATTTAAAAGATTCTTTACAAAGAGGAAAATGATTCTAAAACGCAGACTTCTTTAAACAGCAAGAGATAGAGTTATTTTGTTACTGATACTAATGTCATGCCCAAAGCCATGGATACCCTTTGGAATACAACCGATAGATTAGTAATAATTGTTCATATAATTTTTACATATTTCCTCATTATGAAGTTACTATGGTATTTGGTTGGAAAAAATATTAAAGTTTTACTTCTAACACCAAAATTCAAAAATTTTTCATGTGCACTTGGATTCGCAGAAGCACTTAATCATGCTTTTTCACAAAAAATAGAAATTAGAAAGTTACAGTAAATCGAAGTATGCATCTCTTCTCAGTATGACAGAGTACAATCAGTAGTTTCCACTTCAAACTATTAAAACATTGAATAGAAGGCAATACAAAAATCATCAAATGCGTAATCTCACACAGCTACTTTTCAATACTTTGAATGCTTTGAATTAACCTAAAAAGCAATGTTCTCTCCGGTCTTATACAGTTTTCCCTCGGCCGTCGAACAATTACCTTCAATTTCTCGAAATTGCTCGAAGGCATACACGGTTACAGATATATACGGCAGAATACAGTTAAATTTACATACGAATTTGAGCAGTTACAGTTACACACGGATCGGACAAAAATTGTCGTCAAATGGTCGTGAAGTTTGGCAACATTTGGAGATTTCTCGCAAAATTTGATGAAAACAATTAGTCGCCAAAACCATCTCTAGCTTAGCGGCGTAACCATTTATCTCAATGCTAAATTGACTTAATTCTTGTAAGTCTGTTTTACTCACGATACTTCGCATTCTGAGGTCTTTCATGTTACAAGAGTTCATACAAGAGATTCTACAATTTACGTGTAATTTCATTGACATTATTTACATATGTGCAAAATTCGTAAAAATATATTAACCGATCTTATCATAATTGAAGGTTTAAAATAAGCTGACAGTTTCTTTAATTATCACCAAAGAAATTCCTAAATTGGAAACCAAGTCTGTTTAAGTTTCAACCGATCACATACTGCGTGACGAGACCAATCTTACCATCACGTTGCAGCAAATCCATATCTATGCTTTCGATTGATAACTGCATAGGCTGTTTAAAATCTGGTGCTTCAACAAACATAAGTGGCATATCCATCATTCATAATACATGCTCACAGGAAAATAAACGCAGAGTACTATTCGAACACCTTTGGTGGCTAGTTGCAAAATGTTCAGTTATTGACAGCAATATAGCCAATAGCAAATCGAGCAAACTATCGTAAAGGTAATTTCATAATAAATTTTGACATGCCTATCTCAATAATTTCCTCTCTCTTCTATCATAAATTATTTTCTTGGTGTGTGGAATTATTAAATACGACATATTGAATTTCCCTTACGCATCATTTTGCATTTGGTAAAACCTAAAGATATTTTTAGTTTAAACTACTTTCTTGAATAACAATAAATTAGCTTGTTGCGTATTACAGTAAATCAGTTTGCAGTTTTTTGACAATTTATAATTCTTATTGTATTACATTACACAACGAAAATAAGTACAGATTGCAGAATTATTTTTAGGTAATAAAATAACAACATTGATATATCACAGTTTCGTTTTGTACTGTGATTTGATATTGATATATCACAGTTTCGTTTTAAATGTGGTTCCAGAGTTTTGGAAGTTCTCCTTCTATGAAGCATTCCTACAACACTGTCACTGTAGCATGGTTCGTCCAAGAAAACTACCACAGTAGTAAGATAGCGATATTTCGATATCTTAATATATATATATATATATATATATATATATATATATATATAAGATAATGATATTCAATATTTTTATATATAATAAAATAATAATACGACCCACCTTAGCTACCACAAAAATAAGAAACCGGTATTTCGATGTCATGGCAGATTAAAATACACTATAATTGAAATAAATCCTTTAAAACACTGAAAGAGAAGTAGGAATAAAAATAAGTAATAGTTCATCGTTCTCCTCTTATTCCATCACCTGAGGTTTAATTTTTTTTAATAAAAATCCTTCTATTCAAAATAGGGCGTACCAGCAGCTGAGGGGTTAAGTCGCTGAAAACTGGTAGCTCGATCCGGAGCTCAAATTACGGCAAACAAAATGGCTACATGGGCATTTTCGTGCTTTTCTTTAAGTGTAAAATAGATCCGAACCAGAATCATTATTGCTACTATTAAATAAGTCAGAAATCAACACGAATTTAATTTCTTATTCGATTCTTTCTTTCAGAGCCATATTGCTTAGCGTACCGATATTTGTCACCTTTAATTTGCTATGTTGCTTATGCGGTCTTATTTTCTACGCTTACTTTCGAACTTGTGATCCTTTGACGTCACCTGATAAACCTATTCAAGCCGCAGATCAGGTAAATTTTCTGACCAAAAATGATTGTATTGTTATATAAATGATTATATTGTATCCTTTAGAAAGTACACTTAAAGTGTATTGTTAATTAGAAAAATCCGCAACTCAAACTGTTAAGCTTTCAAGGACCATAAGCAAAATTTTTATATGTTTCTAAAGAATCAACACCTTCAAAGCAAAATATTATTTTTTCATTTACTTTTGTTTTGTTTAATTTTTAATTAGTTTTATTATATGTTAATTAATTCTAAACAATAATGATTATATTGCAGAATCCATGAAGTAGCATTATGACTTAAAAGCGTATCGAGTAAAGAGCTACACTTCAAGTTCTTAAGATTTTAAAAATCAGTAAAATTGTATTGATGTAAATTTTTAGATATATATAAGTAGTTAGTATCGCAATAGTATAATAGTTAATTATATTTTTTTCGTTTCGTTTAAAATAAATAAATAACCACTGGTATCCTAGGGTTTTCAACATAGGAAATGATGACTTGGTTGAGTGTGAGGAATGTTGTGTAGATAATTCTTTGATCGCGTTATAAGAACTAGGTGAATGATTTTCTGATTTAAGAAAATTTTAATTTCATTTGATTCTGAATTATTTATTTTAATGCTTTAATTTTGGAGAAAAACAGATACTTCTGGGAATATTAATTAGTTTGAAAGAATATTATTTATTTTCCTTTATTTGCAATTTTTGTCCAAGCTTTGATTCATTGTGAAAAGAAGCAGGGAAAGGAGGCGATTTTGCTAAGTCATGATTTCGCGCACTTTGTCCTTTAGAATGTTCTAGAAGAAATTTCATTGTGCAATTGACCTTAGGACAGGAAGTACGTGACAGAAGGGTCAGAGGTTGTCACTTAACTTTCGATGTAAGTCATTCAGGTTTTGGCGATCGGAAGGTCCGGTTGTTGGCTGCCGGAACTGAAGAAGGCCGCGTACGCGCATTCACCCTTATTTCCGCATTCAGGGGTTGAAACGCAAATTTTGCCCAAATTAAGGGGGCGATAATTGAAGCCATTGTGGGAGCCCGCGTTTGTGAAGGAGACTAAGAAAATTCGAGTTTGAATCTCTTACTCTTGGAATCACTTACTTGCTAGACTTAGTTTTTGGACGTTACTTTCGAGCTTGCTCTTGGGTTGAGCGATAGAAACGATGTAATTTCTAGTGAGAGGTGTTTTCCGGCGGGGAGCGGCAAATATGCTCCCCGGCCGCGTTTTGGCTAAGGGGCGAAATTGAAGATGGGCGAGTTTTACTGAAATGTTTAAAGAGACTTTTTTTGCCCGACTGTGGATGAGTTTTACTGAAATATTTAAAGAGACTTTTTGCCCGACTTTCGAAGGTGAGGTGATAGTTAAGCTTCTGGTGATGAATAAAGTAGGATAGTTCTTTCCAGTTGTGATTCCGGCAGAGAACGGCGGATGCTATCCGGACGCCGACTTGCTATCGGGAAAAACCGGGGATGATGAGGACTTTCTCAAGTATCTTAAAAATAAGAAAGTTTCCTCCAGCGAGTATTAAATTCCTAAAATTATCGGCCAAGTTCCACCACGTCAATGTGAGATTCTATCCTCGACATCCGGACAGCGAGCTTTGAAGATTCAGCTCGGGTGCTTGTTCCAGTGGCATATTTTCTTCGATGCTGAGCTTGCGGATGTGTTGCTGAAAAATGATGGAGTCGGTGTTCTTCTATATTGCGACAGTGATCCTGAAAACGTGAGACTCCTTAGACGTCAGCGTTCCCCTTACGGCATGTATTACTCCCAGAACTTAAGGAGGACTATTTATCCCTGATTCCTCCTAGAATGCAAGGCCAGTCCGAGACATTTCCGAGTGCGTTTCAAGTCGTCGACATAATAGATAAGTTTTGTTTTGTTATCAATTTCCCTTCGAACTTTTGGGAATTGGAACTTTACCTTAAATTGAATCTTTAAATTAATTCTATAGGACTAAATTGCCTCCCTTTTCCTCTTCTTAATTTACCGAGACAAACTGGAAGGTCCTCATATGAAATAGGATGTAATAATATAATTTGTTTGTGTAATCTTCCTTAGAACAGATGTTGCATTGCAGATAATATGTTTTCTTTAACCTCTTAGAAATTACAGTACGGGTACCTGTTAAATTAAAAGAGTCATGTAATAGATTTGCAAACCATGAATTTAAATGTAACAAAAGAAAATGATAAATTGAAGAATTCACCTGTGTCTAAAATAAGAAAATTGAACTGTAACTAAAATAAGAAATTTGAGTCTCTGATTAGGATAAGATTCAATTTTAATTGTTGAGGAATTTGAATAAACTGGTATTTAAATCTGGAAACCTATTACTTATGTTTTCTTTATATTTTTTATGTGTTTTTCTTATATATATATATTGTTGTTGTTTATTCGATCCTCTCACGGCGCGGTCCCGGATGCATTTTCACAACGCAATGCACAAAAATAAAAAAAATTTTCACTTATACGATCACTAAAAGTGTGGTAATTAGCTAACTCTTAAGAGTTTATTAGTTACGGTTTCACCTGTCTGTTTCTGCCTTAGTTTCCTCCCTAAGAGGAAGTAGTAACACAGCAATGGTGCCCTCTGATTATCACGGCACGGTTAGAAACAGAACAGGAAAAACGATACAATTTTGAACGTGATTTTGAAATTAAGAAAATTTTGAATTAGATATTGACTAAAATGGTAATCAAAAATAACGGACACTGAAATTCATTTCAAAAAGTGTGAAATTAGTAGTGATTGATTCTTAGTATTGCACAAATTGTATTAATATCATACAAATATTTTTGAAGGTCTTGCGACAGTTTTACTTTTAAGCATCTGAATTAATAACAGAATGAAAGAAGTAAAAAGTGAAATGTTCTTTCATAACTTAATAGTCGTAACACTCATCTTCAAAATCAAATGGAAGTAGCTCAGTTTTCGTTTGAATGAATATCTCTGTAGCAGAACACTGTTCACCTTGTCACTGTAAAGAGACCTTATCTCCTACAATAGGATTTCTTGAACTATGGTATATGTAGCACTAACGATGCATTCCATTAATTTTGTGGTACAATTTTTGCATAAGAGTTTTGAATGAACGTTCAAAATTACTGCAAAATGGCACCCTTTTTGGTAGTACATATTTTGGTACATGATAGTACATATCTTTTTCTGATTCAGGCAGTAGGAAGTTTACCAAGTTTGAAGATCCCTACTCTAAGATGGTGAAAGAATCGAAGAATCGAAAAAAAGTACCAAAAATAGCTTTTCGATAGCTTTTGATAATATCTGTCTACAGGCTGTGAGCTTTGTTATTCATTTTAGGCGTTATTACATGGTACTTTGATACTTGGTCTGTATATAAGCCTACAACACGTGATAGTTTTTCTCTACCCTTGTCAGCTATGGAGAAAGTCCCATTAGGGTCTGGTCTGCAATGCGACCGTAAAGAAAATTCTCCATAAGAGATGGGTATCTGACGATGTCATTATTACGTACATTATTACATATCTAGATATTAAGTAATGCATATCAGTTGCTAGCCTTCAAATTTTGCTACACGTATTGTGTAGTCTGATGAAGGAAAACCAAACCAAACAAACCAAAATGTAGATATTACTGAATTAAATATTTTCTGTATCCCCTCTAAGTTCCGTTCTGAATTTCCCCATGCAATGTGACTGGAATACTTCTTCCAAGTCTTTTAATTAAGAATATATATAATAATTTGAGACGAGGGCTTAATGATTTGTACAACTAAAAATAAACTGCAAACTTGAGCGAAACAACTAACTGTGCCTACAGTGAAAGAAAACTACAGCTAACGAAAAAACGTGAACAAATATAATTTTATTTGGCATACAGGAATTCAGGTTCTTTTATTGATGCACTTTTATAGAAAACAGCAAAAATTTTATTGCCAGTCTTAGAAAATAAAATATTAATATATATTACACACATATTTATACAGTTTGTCTGTAGTCAGTATCTTCCATTCCATAAAAACGCAGTTTAAACAAGATAATTTTAAAATTGCTCATAATAAAGTTTCTATTTGTTGAAAAAAAAACTGATACTCAATTAAAGTATTAATATAATACTACCAGCTCATTACAACGATTTAAAAAATTTCAATTTCCCATTATTTTAATTTTCCACTCATAGTCAGACCAGTGGGAATATCTCATACACTCCTTTCACCTTTCGTATAACTTTATGGAATTTTTCTTGATACTTATTCTTGCTTCACATTTGAGTTCTGTTAAATCATCATTAAATCGGTAAAGTCTTCATGTCTATAAATTTTACATAAGGTAATCGGTCCAAACAATATGCCATTAAAGTCTTAAGTGATGCTGCACTAATTTTATTCTTATATCCTGGAAGAAGTTCTGTCATTTCAACTAACGGTCAGTTTTATTTATTATTATTAATATTTCCTATCAAAATAATTTTGCGAATATTTACCTTTTTCAATAGTCTTTCCTTCATCTCCAACTGGTCTAACTGATATGAAATTTTCATTGGTACTTTTCTGTCAACCTGTATTGCAGATTGATGAGATTTTAAGCGTTTGTCCATACTGGATTTGAATTCTCCCAGTTTTTGAATACCTTTCTAAAACGTAGTTAGAGTCACTAGAGTTGGACTAATTGGAAATTTGGAGACAGATCAAATGTTGATCATCGCTTCGCAGTCTTCAAAAATCGTTCCCAATTTCTTTCATGCAGAGCAGCATTTGCCAAGAACTTTTCGCAATACTTTTTAAAGCAGAAAATTATAGTATTATATCCCATTATTTAACTGCAGCAATGATAATGACGAAATGAATTTGATAAGATCATTTTTGCAGTGCTCTAAACTTCAGTTTTCTTTTAATCAATCTTTTTATTAATGCTGGTCATTCTTACAGAATATCATTATAAATTCTGAAATGTGGTTCTCTACATCTAATCTCCTGAATCTCTGAAGGAAGAAGATTATTGCCTGTGATAAAATCTATTCCAATCGGAGTAACACTAAATGTAAACAAGTTTAGTCATACTGTCTTTTGACGCTTTTATCTCTCGTACGACAACGAGCTAAAGTCGAATAACGTTTTTCAAAAGTTGTTTGCCAGTATCGAAAGTGTGAAATCCGACTTTTTTTATGAATATCGAAATCCAGACTAAAAATAAAAGTATGTTTAAAATTATATAAAACTGCTACGAGACTAAATGAATCTGTATTGTTATTTACGATGGAATCAAAAAAAACCCTACCTTTATTAATATAAGGGTCGGAAATCTATAATCTTCCACTTCAGAGATGAATTTTTCTTTATTTTGATCAGCTGCATAATTTGAGCTTACTTGCAAATCATTTCTCACAAGAAAATTATTCTCCGTTTTTTTTCTAGAATTTCATTAAGCTTCTTAAAACGGGGAATAAAACCTAACTTGCATATTGTCAGAATGTAATGGGAAAAATCTTTATAATATCGGTCTAGAATTTTTAATGTTTTTTACTCTTTCTGTTGTGAGACTCTTTGCTTATTTGCTCATCTGTTATGTTATGGCCCAAATTCCGTAAATTTTAGTTCTACTTAATTCTCATATGTGTGAAAATTTAGCAAAAGCTTTGCTCTAAGTCTTGAAGCGTGTAAATCAGTAGGATTTTATTCACCGGACATGTGAATTACATGTCATCCATAATAATTTACGAATAGATATCTTGCAAATGTTGCCCTATATCTTGTTTATTTTCATCCGTATGACATACAATCCTTAGTATTTATAATTTAGTGCAATTTCCGTAAATCCGAAATACTTTAATAAATATTTCTAAATTAGGAAACAGCGAGATTTTTCTCTTATTCTGACTTCCAAGAAAATTTTCCGCTAAGTACACCTTAGTTTCAAGATAAGTAAGCATGTTTTCACACGATTTCAGTTCTTTTATTTTTAGACAGTTAAATCATATTCTTCTATTGCTGATCTAGTTAATGCTTCTGTAGTACTTGATTGGTTTAGTACTTATATAACATTGTTACAAATTCAAGAATTTCGAATCTACGATCCGTAATTAACGCAAGAAGTCATTGGATATTATTTCAGTTTGCAAAGTTTTTTTTTTACCATCGAGATGACCGAAATAAATTTCATAAAATTTGCTTTTTCAAATAAGAATGCCTTACAACTTATCTTCCTGTTAGATTACTATTCGGAATAAAACCTTAAAACTCTTACTCATAATTCACGGGATTTTGTACCATCTGGAGCAGGAAAGTTGCTCTTTAAATCCTAATCTTTTAATTATGCATCTAATGCCTAAATAAAACCATTACAAAGAGAAAAGAAATTTGTGTATAAATGCGTCTCTACATTGTTCAAGTTTGTTGACTTCGTCATAGTTTCACTAACTGAATCGGTTCCTTCGTTATGAGCATTCACTTTAGGTAATACAGGATATATTTATATAAAGTAGGTAAGTGGTAGGTATGACGCGGTCCACCCCCTGGAAAGCCAAGCTCGCCTTAGAGTTTTTCTAAACCGGCTACTTATATTTATTTTCTCCCTCTATTTTGCATGCCCGTGTGGTGTAACGGTAGCACACTCGGAGTGTATTCGAGAGGTCCAGGTTCGAGCTCCGGCGAGGGCATTGCTCAGTTTTTTTCTCTCCTGCTTCAAAATGGCTTAATGACTCTACAAGGTTTCTTTCTGAACAGATCGAAATTTTCCTAAAATCTTAATAACTTTATTATATTAACATTTAATATATTAACATTATATCCTGATTTCAAGCAACGAAAGCAGCATTTGTTATTTAATATAGTTTTCTCTTTTATGTCATTAACATACTATTTCCGAGTTTGAAATATTCATTGCTGTTTAGTATTATTTAGTTTCTCTTTTTCAAGAGAGAAGAAATTAATAACTGTAGGAATGTTTTGACGAAATGCCATCCTCTTTTTGGATATACGGAAGTTCCAGAATCGGATTACTTTTCCTCTACAGGCCAAACTCATATTTACAGTTTTGCAAAAGAGAATATTTTCTTTTATTAGAACAAATGTTATACAGGTGCTATATGATTACAATTTATTTTCAAAAATAAAACAGACACGATAAAACCATACGATGAGCACCAAACGATTAACAGAAAGTATTAACTGAAGTTAAGTATTAACTTTACATATTATAAGACAGAAACTTTTTGTATGGAGGGGGAATAGCAATGAATTTAGCATGTACCTTATTAGAAGTATACCTATTATGACTAAGTAATAATTCATCGAATGAAAAAGAACAGCAGCACTAAACATTATTTCAATTCATTATTGTTTAAAAACTACATAACGTTTTAGTATATCAGTCAATCTATGCAACAATGGTTCAGACAAAAAAAAGGATTAAATCTAACACACTATAAGAGATGGTAACAACGAATTAAGAAAATCATAGCTTTCAACTTGTAGGATTCCCCACTGTGTAATTCTAAGTTACTGTTGAATGTGAAGAATCTTAAGAACTAGTAAGCGAATAATCGCTTGAGTTCATAGGGTAGAAAACAACAAGTGAGAAGGGTGAAATAACCCTTTATTATTCCAACTAAAGTTTAACAGAACTCCGTCTTGGAGTAGTACAATAAAGCCGACACTCGGGCTTGAACTTAAGAGATTAAGAACTAAACTAAACTAATCTTAACTGAAGAAATACAGCCAAAGCTATCAAACTTCTAACGGAGTTAGCCCCTTAACGCTAATTGACTGCGAAGCTATCAAGAGCCTGAAGTACAGCCGAGCGTAATAATAGCTTAAGAGAGAGTAGCCTAAAAATGCTGACGCGTGCTAACCAGAATCTCTAGTTCTCTCAAACTAAGACAGTACAACTTCGCGGTTAAATACCTTTATTCCTCAATTTAAGTACCTTTATTCCTTCTTCTTCCATTTACATTAAGACGTGATTCTAAAACTACGTTCTGGCCGGAAGTGTTAAGTTGGAATTAAGAAGCGATAGGAAAGGAAGTTTAACTCAAAATTTAACTGATAATAAAACTAACATTAATCCTTACAAACTAAAAGGAAGAAACAGTCTGTACTGTAGGAAAGTTTCTGATACATTGATAACTAAACACTTAGCAGTCAAAATTTTCTTATCCGTTGATATCTAAATTATTAGTACTCAGTCTATACTTTCAAGTAATTTTGTTCGTATGCAATATGCTATTAATAAGTACGAAAATAGAATTTAATATTCATTTTTTAGTTAGAACAAATGGCAGTTTTGTAAATGTTAGTAGAAAGAACTGAAAGTCCAAAACGTTATGACAAATGTATTCAAATTTTAATCAAATCAAATAAGATTTATATGATTTATATGATCATTTTTTATTATAACGAATAACATTGATTCTTAAAAAGTAATCTGCTTCACTGAAATGATGTTTAAACATATTTTACAATTAGCAAGGTGTTATACCTCACCTAAACTTTATTTTAACAGATAATACCTTTTTATATTGCAACTGCGCTGAATGCATATCCAGGACTTCCCGGTCTGTGTATTGCTGGCATCTTCAGCGCCTCATTGAGTTCAATATCATCACAGTTGAATGCCTTTGCAGCTGTTATGACGGTGAATTTCATTAAACCTGTGTGGCCCAACCTCAGCAAGTCCGTCTTATTAACCAAAACACTATGTCAGTAATCCTTTTTCATCTGATGGTATTGTATAGAATACATTTTGGTAATAATGTTAAAGTTATTAAAATTACTTTTGTTAGCAGAAATAAAAAAATGTATATCAGCTTAACCTCTAGAAAGTCGTTTGCAGCAATAATCATGACGTATAAAATTCGGCAATATTAAATAATGGGACAAAGACTTCAGCCTTTCATGGAGGCTCTATAATACTGCAGTTGTGATATTGTCTAGTGTAGATTTATACATTGGTCATAAGGTCTTCATTGACAAAGGGGACTGGGTTGTCCTCCAATCCAACAGAGCTTTCTTTACTAGAAAAATGAGAAAATAATGTATAATTTCAAAAGTAAAATTTGATACTTTACCGAATATTCTGATCGCTTATTCATTTGATATGATAACTAATGTAACGCCCATAAAGTGGCCGTTACTAATGATAAATAAACAAACATTTTAGCTAGAAACCTTAAACAGTTGCAATGGGCGTGTATATTTAAAAATGTGTCTTTATATTTACGTAAAGTCTATACTACTTTTTCAAAATATTAATGCATTATTATTTCTTTAAGATTATCACTTCCCCGAAAAAACTGTAAAGAATAAAGATGAGTTAAGATAGATTCAAATCGTACAGATTGTTTGAAATTAGGCCAATGAACCCGGATTCTAATCATGGACAAGGCCTGAATATTTGCGGATGTTAAGTATTTTCAAATCTGAAAGTCATTTCAAGAAGTTGCAGGCGAGGCATATCTTTCACTCAGATTCCACCAACAAGAGTACCATCGATCACAAGTTGTTCGGCGTTTTTAAATTACCTAATTCAGATCATGATAAAAAGCTAATTTATCACAATTCTCTCAGTTTAAAAGGATGAATTCTTTAAATATAAATGAAACTTCTTTCAGCTGCTTTATCATGAGTTAAGATTTTCGGAGATAGGTGGAACATAAGTAAAGTAATTTTTTATCTTTCATTTCTTATACATGGCTTGGTAGATTTTCCGTTCAGTTCACTCCCCTATTTTCTTCATGCCAAAATTCGCAGCAGGTCGCAAAGGTCGCAGCAGCGATCCTTCGTCTATAGATATACAGTGGGTAAAAACAATATTGACAATTACCTATAATTGATCAATCTGTCAGAGGAAATGCTTTAAATTTTAGCTGGACATAATGAACACAGAAGGCAATAAAGACGCAAATCTAATGTAATTTTAGTTTTACTATGCATTTTACACAAAATATACACCAAAATCGTAAATTTGGATGTCAAAAATGTATTGTCAAGATCATACAGCAAAATTTGGGAACAAAATTTAATGCTTTGTATTCATACGTTTTGCTTGTATAACAGCTCGTAACCTATTTCTCATAAAAAAATCAAAGTCCTGGTTGTTGAAAAAGTCCTGTTTGGAATTTTGTGTCATTCTTTCAGGAATATATGCTTAAGTTCATCTTTACACAAAATTTTATGTTTCCTGACTTCTAGGTCCATTTGTGCCATAAATTTTCAATTAAATTTATGTCAGGCGATTGAGGCGGTGTCTTTAAGTGGCAAGGAGCGTTATTGAGTAACTGTTTCCAGACGAGGTTCACTGTATTGTTAGGGTCATTATCCTGTTGAAACACAAATGGTGTTTCTAAGCCAAGTTTTTGGGCACTGAATTTCATGTTATGGCGCAATATGTCAATATACGTAGAGCCGTCATAATACCATCAATGAAACACAGGTTACCAATTCCGTTTGGCTGCCATACAGCCGCAAACTACGGCGTTCCCTCCTACATGTTTTACAGTCGGTGTTAAATGTTGTTTTTCCACTTCGGTGTTAGGCTTTTTCCACATATATTGTCGTCCATCATACTCGAAAATGTTAAACTTTGATTCGTCAGACGAAATAATTGTGTTCTAAAATTTGTCTGATAAATTAATATGAGATTTTGCAAAATATAATCTCTTTCTCCTGTTTATTTCTGAAATGAAAGGTTTTCTTTCTAGCTGCCCTTACATAATAACTTCCTCCATGTCACACATTCCGTATAGTCTTACACTAAAAGTTTTATGCGAAGTATTAGCTACATCTTTGGCTAACTAAAGTGCACTTATTTTAGGGTTTTTCTTAACCTATTTGATAATGCCCCTTTTAGAAAATATTCGAGGCCGTCCACTTCTAATCTTATTTTTCGTCGATCCGGTCTCTTTGAACTTTTTTACAATACTTCTAACAGTAAATAGGTTTATGTTCGGTTGTATTTCTATAGCACGATAAGTCAAACCTTCATGTCTGAGCTGAATAATCATGCTTTTAACATTAAAATACAACTCCTTCGACTTTGAAGCTGTATTAGCAAAATAACGTTTTAAAAGTTTTGAAGTAACACTGCAGACTTTATACTAACCGGGTTTCTTATTAGTCTAAACACGTGACCTCAACATAACAAAATTTGCATAGCAGTTAGAACTTTGCAATGCAAATTTACATTTTTTGTTAAATATTTTGTGTAAAAGGTATATTAAATTGAAAGTTTCATTAGATTTGTCTGTTTATTACCTTCCGTGTTCGTTACGTCCAGCTCAAATTGTCAAGCATTTCCTTTGTTAGGTAACATGATCAATTATAGGCAATAGCCAATAGTTTTTTTACCCACTGTAACTTACATACATATAATGCTCTAATGCTTTACTGCTAAGTGTTTATGCTTTTATAGCCATGAATGAGGCTATCAAAAGCTATTTAAACAAAAGCCTCATAGACACATCACATAAAGTTCAAGTGAGTTCCACTTAGTATTTTCAGCATCTCAGAAATAACCTTACTAAATTAAAACAAAATCTGGTGTTAAGTTCAATCTTTTATTAATTAAAAACAATAAGAAAATATTAAATTTAAATTTAAAATCGGGATAACAGATAAATAATTTTAAAATTGGTTTTAATCGAAAACGCTTATGCATTCTAAAGTTGTAAAATCATTTATCACTTAAATTATTTTCCACAATTCCCACTCAAATGCATAGCATTCTCTTTTTCTTCTGCAGGTATCTTGGATGGAATATTGTGCATAACATTGTCGTTTTTTATTAATTCCATTGGAAACCTTATCAAAACTACTATAATTGTTGTAGGAACAATTGTAGGCCCAAATTTGGCCGTTTTTCTTTTGGGATGCCTTACAACGACAGCCAATGAAGAGGTAATATAAAAATTAATATTTCAAACCGATATAATTTTATCGCATTTGTTTCTAATTTGACTTGCATTATTTTCTTCAGGCTTTCCTTTCTTCAGTTTCAGTCTGGGAATTGATACTAACCAAACTAACTATTGACACTGAAAGTAGGGGCAAATTAAATAAAGAAAAATTACCTTTCTGTTGCTGCAGCTACTCTTTTAAAAATCATAATTCACTTAGGTGTTTATTTGCTTTTTTTGTGTGTACATTTTTAATTGTGTACTTTTAAAGACAAGAATAGTTAGAGCTAAATAAAGAATCAAATATATTTGTTTTGAATTACTTTTATTATTAATAATTTGTTGACTTCCTTCCCTTTCAGAGGAAGTTTAATAAAATATGAGATTTTATATTGTTCTTCACTGATAATTTGAAAAGATTAAAGAACCTTAATGGAAAAGAAATATAGTGTTTCGTACACTGAGACATATTTTTAAATGTCATAAAATCAGCAAATTCATGTATCAGATTACGATTTATACTTTAAAACTTATCAAAGAGGTGGATGCGTATTCTTATGAGTCAGATAAAATCAGCAAACTGGTGGATCAACGAATTATTTTTACTTGAAAAAGAAGAAGTGGATTTTTATGACATAATAGGAAGATGGCTCAGTAATGTTCATGGTTTGGAAATTACGCAAATTTATGTTCTCTAAAACAGGTTGTACAACAGAGAGTCCAAGATGGAATGCTACATTACTAGTAATATTGTATATGCATATGAATAAATGCTTAAATGCATATGAATAAATGCTTAAAAGTATCTTAGTTTTTCTCATAATGTAATATTTAAAGCTAATAATATATTAATAATATGTAATATTTAATAAAAAATTTCTGTAATGAGGCTTTAAGATGCAAATCGCATTCTGACAGGTTTTTCGAAAATGTCCAAATTTTTGCACCTATTTATGTAATAAAAAGGCCTTATAACCAAAATTAGTTGCACATCACTTTCTTTTCTTAATTTCTTCTTATGAGTCTTGCGTTCCTCCTCAGATCCTTCAAAGTACTTTAATTTACTTGAACTGCTAAAAACTTCATAAATAAACCTTTTTTTTTTTATACGAACAAAGACAGATTGTGTTCTACTACTCCTACTGAAAATTTCATTCCATAATAAAATTATATAATTTTATTTTCATAAATTTTGATGTGAGATAGTTCAAATACTTTAAAATTAATATAATATTTAAATAATTTTAGAAAGAATAAATATTTTTAATTTCAGGGTGTCATTCTTGGTGTAGTTGCAGGTCTTGCTGTATCTTCCTATTTAAATTTCGGCCCAGCTCTTTCTACATATCCAAGACTTCCTTTCTCGAACGAATGCCATTACCAGAATTTCACGTCAAATGTGACAAATACTCCATACATTACACCACCTCCGACTATTGATCCCTTAAATACTCATGATCCCAGTCATGAGTAAGTTCAGCATTAATTTTTTACTTCTCGAACGCATTTTTCTTCTGTAAATGAATGCCAAGATTTGCTTATCCATAAATTATTAATATCAAAATTATAAAATGCGTTATGCTAATTGTTTTAATTTATGTAAATATTTGTCTCCATTTATTTTTAATTTGTTTTTCCTTTTACTTATTTTTTATTATTATAACATGTTTGATTTTCTTTTATATTTGGTGCATATTGTGGGGTAATGTTACGATTGTTTATTGTCTAGTTTCATTTCAATTTAAACTTGAGGCCAATTGTGTTTCTATATGTTTATTCCATATAACATTTTATTGAGTTCTACGTTACGATTCGATTGATGTTTGAATTATAGCTACAATAATATACAGTTTGAATTACAGCTAGACTTGAATGATAGTTCAAATAAAATGAGAGATAGAAACATCAGCGTTGGGAATAACGTTTGTCGCAGAATTGGCGGCATTTGTCGATTTCCTCTAGCATCTCTCGATGTTTTGTAAGTTTTTAGAAGGTGCGTTTTGGAAGTCCTAGAAAAATATTTTTGAAAATTTCTCTATTCCAAAGAAAATTATGAAACTGAGTTTAATTCAAAGCTCTGAGTTCAATCCAGAATCAGCCAGCTAGGTCATGTCTCTCAGAGTGTTTCATTGATCTTTCTGTTTATTGATTAAAGCTTTAGATCAGAGATATCCACCTTTCAGTTTCCCTGGGACATAATGGAAGAAGACAAATATTTTCGGAGATACAAATCATTTCTAATTACCACTGGAAGCTCGTGACTGCTAAAGTAAGTGAATCTCACGATAATAAAATGTGCTACCTTTATTTTGTGGAACCTGAGAGGAATAAAAATCAGAATAAAGAGGATTTTAAAAAATCAGTTTTGGGAAAAATTTGTTTGATTTTTCTTCAAATGTCTAAGATTTTTACTATTAACTGACAAAGGCTTAAAATTGAGCAAGATTTATATCAATTTGGCTGTGAGGGAAATATTAAAATGTGAACTAACATTTAAGCTATTCCTTTTATTACAACCCTGTTACCTTTTTAAATCCGAAGATTTGCTTTATTGTCAGCGCATTCTGAAATCCCACTGCAGCCCAGAAATTCTGTTTACCTTAGCAGTAGAAATTATAATAAAAGAACATTATACAAATAATGAATGACTGCAAATTTACACATGTGGTTCTAAGCAAAGTAATGGGGCTAGATACGATGGTGGTATACTTAGCTCTCTTTTTTGTCCCGTGATGTACCTCTTGATCTGCAAAAGAAGGCCTTTCAAGGCGAGGTTGAGGACAGTCGGAGATCCCCTCTGACTTAAAAGCATAAACTCCCAGATTTCTCATTTGCTGTGCTTCTTTAAAATTCCTTTACTGCTTTACAGACTATAACTAATCAAGGTAACCCAATTTCAAGTCTAAATGTCAACAGAAAGTCTGAACGTCGCTTGTTACTCTAATATTTATGTGATTCTTGGAAGGGATCGCTGTACAATGGATAATGAGACGGCAAATAGTATGGCAAGGAACAGTACCAAAAGAATGCAATTGATTTCCATTAAAACATGACTTGAAAAAATTTTCAAGATCCTAGATAGAAAAATTAAAAGTTTTATTTTCAATATTCAAACTCGTAATAAAAACAAAGTCTGAAGGATTTTCAAGATTTATCAGTTTACCCTCGAGACATTGCAATAGCTGATTTCTGACCGAGAGTCGGATATGAATGTTTGGTTGTCCACTGGAACATAATAGAAATTTCCATATATAATAATAATAAATATAATAGAACATAATAGTTTTCAGAGATGGTGATCTCCTGCTTCTTTACTCTACTCCAAAAAAGAGTTGTCTATTCAAACTCTATTGGACCACGAGATTCTCTTCACAATATGTGAATCTTTTATTCTTATTTTCGAAGTTCCTAGTACTACCACTAAATCTGAACTTAATGTTTTTTTCCTTCTGTATTTTTTCACCTAAAGAAAGGATTATAAAAGTTTTTATGCACTTTATATAAAATAACTATAAACTGTGTGCAGACTCGGCGGCATAAACTTGCTGTTTTAAAAATCTGAATTTGTTATTTTGTTAGTAAATATGTGAGATAAATTAGCTTATCTATTTAGCTCTTTTGCCAATTGCAGTCTTCATTTTCCAGATCCTACGATGGCATTTTTATTATAAATACAAAAAAGTTATAGAAGCTATTTAAAGACAAGCCATATTATTAAGGAAAGTTTATTCTCTATTAAGCAAAGATTGTTATTAAAGATGTATGTGATATTTACAGCGGTGAGTACGTAACTTTTCCATCAGAACAGTGTTTTACAATGGTTTTTTCCGTAAGAAATGTGAATCTCAAATGTTCGAAGTTCGTGAAATGGATATATATGCGCTAGTTAAGAGTTCATCTGTCTGTGATATGCTTGGAATCCTTTTTAGATTTACCTCATGCGTGCCTGTTACATGTAGAAAACACTGCTTTGAGAATATGAAAATTTATTCACAGTTTGAAATTGATATTCATGTACTCTTCTTCCATTCACACTTATTGATCTCTGGAGCTAAATTCACGTTCTTCATCCTTTACGTTATATTCATTTGAGTCGGTTACAAAAAAGGAATTTTTTGAAGCTTATGTTTCACTAGTATATTATGTCTAACGCAAAATGATCTAGAAAAATCAAACAATATCTTTGATTTGCTTAAATTTTAGCAATTTTTCTCATCATAATCTAACGTTAAATAAGTACTAAAGATAATGACGTAGTATTTGAAGGAATAGTTGCAGAAAATTGGCATTAAGTTCTAAACATCATGTTCACATAAAATAGTGTTTTCGCAAAATTTAGAATTGAGCTAGACTTATTATTTTAAACCAACCTTTATGTAATTAGAATAAAAATACTCTGTTTTCACTTAAAATGCATTCGTGAAACATAATACTTTAAAGAAAATTTCCTCCTCTGCTTAAGAAAAAATGGAGTATTTTTGTAAAAGAATTATAAATTTTTCAAACTCAGAGTAATCTAGATTTTTTATGTAAATGAAGTTAAAATTAACATACATGTTAAAATGCTTAATTTCTATCTGTTTCAATTTTAGCTTTTGGTCATTGCAGAGTAGTGTACTTTATTTTGCAGGGATTCATTTCGGTTGTCTTATTTATGGATAATTCCCTTTGCGACGGTTACCTGTTTAATCATTAGTTACATTAGCAGTTTCATTGTACGCTGTTTTCGTGGTAAGATAGATTTAATTTATGTACTGCTTGTATTCCAGTTTTTATTACAATTATATGATGAAAAGATATTCCCAGTCGAGTATGTTTTTTTATATTTTTATAGAACCGGATAAGTACTAGAATAAGTACTGTTAGTGATAAAACAAAATAATATTTTTTATATTTAAAATGCATGCATGCCTTGATTTACATCCTTTATACAACTTTTGGATGCCTAATTTAATATTTTTAATGATTTTAACTTTCTTAATAAATAAAGGCGATGCACATAAAGCAGGATTTGAGATAAAAAAACAATGCTTGAAATTTAAATACGTAGGTTGGGGCAAAAGTCATGGCAACTATCTTTTTTCTTGAAGATACCAGTCCGGTTGGAAAAATGCGACATATGCAGACAGAAGGACAAGGTCTTAACTACATGTGTGGACAATGAATAGCACAGAAATATCGTAACACACGAATTTATTACGGTAGTATACAGGGCAATATGGCTTTCACCGTGCAAAAGAATGATAACACAATACACATAAAGTTGACATGACAAACCTGGGCCTAAAGACCCTCAATATAGTTTGCTGCTACTGTCACCACACGCTGCCAACGGTGTGCGAGGCGCTGAATACCATCAGCCTCATCATTTGCCGCACCATGTGTGAATCGGGTCATCTGTTGGTGCACAGCATTAGCAATGTCCTCTCGTGTGGCAAACCGCCTACCACGTATTGGTTCCTTAATCTTGGGAATGAGATCAAAGTCACAGGGCGAAAGGTCAGGAGAGTACGGTAGGTGCTCCAATTCTTCCCATCTCCAATGTCAGAGTAGCTGCCGTACACACTCTGCTTTATGTGGTCTTGCAATGTCGTGCAGAATTATTGCACTGTCCGCAAGATTCGGACGTTCAAACAAAACGTCGTATCTGTCGCACCAGGAAGTCCCTGTAGTACTGTGCGGTCACTGTTGTGCCATGAGGAACAAAGTGCAAACAATGACACCCCTGACGTCATACGCGATGATCACCATCAATTTGACCGTGGAAGGATTCTGACGGACCGTCTACTGCTTTGGTGATCCAGAATATCACCATTCCGCGGACTGTCGTTTCAGTTCTGGTTCGTATGCCCTGGCCCAAAATTCATCGATGGCGATTATTCATGACAAGAATTGATCGCCGTTCTGTTGCCAACGTGCAAAGTGGTCGGAGTATATTGCATAGCGCACCTACCTTTGAACTTCCGTCAAAGCCCGTACCCACCGCGAAGCGATTTTGCTTAGCTGTAGCTCATTACGCAATATCCTGTAGACGGTGCATTTCTCGATGACACTTGCACTCTCTAACTCCAGTAACGTCCATCGTCTGTCTTCATCCATGAGGTGCTCGATGACAGCACGTGCCAATTCGGTTCGCACACTCATCGGTCGTCTCGCACGTTGCTCATCACTGGTTGACACACGTCTTTTCTGAAACTTTCCTACCCACCGTGCTACTGTACGATATGCTAGGGCATTATTCCCAAGGGCTTCTACTAATTTACTGTGACATTCCATCGCATTTCTCCCTCGGAGAACGGCTATTTTGATGTAAGTGCGCTGCTCAACACGGGTTACTTCCATCTCGCACGACACTCACCAACTGACTGATTTCAGAGCCCTCGCTACCACAGAGCCATCTGTTGTTCTGCATACACACTATGCCTGTAGAACTTCCACACGACACATATACGTTTTGTGATCCGTTTACATATCTACGAGAAAAAAACAGTTGCCGTGACTTTTGCCCCAATCCTCGTATAAACAAAATTCAAACTTAGACTAATGCTGATATTTTAGAATAGTTACATAACGTTTTTTATGGAATCAGTATCAATTTAAGATAAAATTTTTCGTGTACGTAAATTGACATTTTCCATTTTTAAAATGCGATGTTACAGGAAGACTGCACTATCTTTTAGGAAATTTTTAGTCGAGGAAAGATATGCATTGTGTTGAAATGTTACTTTTTTTGAAGAAAAGAGAAGATACTTTAGAACATGTATGCACGTTTTCTCAGTTTACTGTGAACGAAAATATTATACTGTTTTTAAAATTACTGTGCAGCGACTTTATTTTGGAAAGCGGATTAATTTCATGAAGTTCTTTAACGCTATTACACTATTCAGATTTTCGACTCCTTCATGCGAATGAGAAATGGACCAAAATTAGTAAAATATTTGAGTAAATATTTTTGCGTATTCTTAAGTCTATTGTTATTTATTTATAAGCATTGTTTTATGAATTACAGAAAAAGTAGTACTTTATATTATGTTATGGATATACATCTCTAGCTCACTTTTAATTTTAGAGTCAATTAGTAATCATCTGCAAATAGGACATGATAATTTTGCATCGTGAATTTTTTAAATAAAACTTCTGTAATCAGAAATCATACGAATGATTCATTTAAAATAGACACTGCAAAATATTGGATTAAAAGTGTTCTCAGGAATTCTTATGTTTTTTGCAGACATAAGTTTATAAAGCTGTACTTTATTTCTTTTATCATTTGAAAAATAATTCTCTTATAGTGAAAATGTATTTTTCCTTTAGCAACTTCCAGACATGACGATGCAACTAGCAAGAACTTGCATCAAGCTCAAATGCTTTCGCCATAGAATTCCGAAAAGCGAAAAGAATAGAACGAACAGTGTGATCGGGAGAATCAATTCAATCGAACTGCTAATTCCCTGGACAGATTTCTTTCAACTGTAGTTTTGAGATTCCCTGAAATGTTCTTTCTGTATCGAACTAAGATTAAAATTTAGAACAAAAATATTAAAATACCTGGAAAATGACAAAGATCTAACTCATCTTGAATGTGGGAAGAAAATATTCTTGTCCCTCGAAAGTGGGCATCGAACATTATTGGAACGCTTCTAACAAGAGCTGTTAGTAAGTGAACTCTAGAGCTATTGCTCTGCTATTGGATCGATCGCTCCCTCGTAAAGTGAATGGGCTCTTTGAATGAATTTGAGAGCAAATATCTCATCTCTAGGACTTAGCTATCCTCGTCCAACAGTTAAGGGTATCATTGAACAAGATTTATTATCATTTAGATCAGGTCAACTAGTTTTGAAAGATGATTTTGCTTGAGGCTGATCGCATGTTCATTTGCGCTACAATGAATGTTTTCCAAAACCAACAATGCATTCATGTTTCCCAAAAGATGTTCTTTGAAGGCAAATTCATTTAAAATTTATTATTATCAGTGAGGGATCATAAGTTTAAACTACTAATACTGGAAAAGCTCTCAGCTTTACATTATTTTTTGATGAATGGCCTTTAAGAGTTGCGAGTTAAACCCGCTGGATATAGAAAATTATATATGCAATACAAAATTGCAAAAGAATGTAGAAATACAGTTGAAATATTTCAAATTGAGGAATATTTAAAGTGTTTCGGAGCTGAAATTTAATTTTATTGAGCAATAAAGACTTAGATTTATCAGTTGGTAGCAAGAGGTATTATTTAATCTTATATGCCTTTTTATGATGTTTCAATTCCCTTTGTCGATTATTGCTTGACAAAGTAGAGTATTTAAGCATACCCTAAACTAGAATCTTTTATGAAAATAAATAATAATATCTTTGTTAAGATTATCCAACATATCTATATTTCAGTAAATTTGAGAGGCGAGAATAATTTATTTAACTTAGAAGAGAATACAGTAAGTATTAAACCTGGATTTGTAAGAAAATATTCGGAGCGATAATGAAATTTTCAAGATGTGTTGACCAGAATTCTGAAAAAGAAATGTGTCAAACATATCAGAATGATAAAGTTATAATCTTCACCCTCCAGATGAAAACGTTCGTAATTTCTTCGAGATCTTAATACGTAATCTAATACCTTCAGATGGGCAATTTTTATTTTTTCCTTCCAAGTGCGGTGTACATTGTCTTAGTTCAAAACGTTTTATATTTTTATTATTTATTATCTTAGTGGCTAAATATCATTGATTTGAAATATTTTTTATTTTATTATGTATTTTGTTATTTATTATACTAGCCATAATACAAGTTTTCCCGTCGCACAATTTAGATAAACCAGATGTTCCTACAAAATATATGACACCAATACGCTGTTGTTTTTCTGAACACGTATCGCAAAAGAAAATTTCAAAGAAGTTTACCCCATTACTTAATGAGGAAATAAATTTTCAGATGCTAGTGAGTATTTTTTTCAAATAGTTTTAAAAGTTTTGCTTACGCAAATGACAGTTAAATTATGCACCATTTTTAGCAATATAATAATAAACTATTTAAAACTTTTAAGCAACTTAATTTAGGCAAAGTATACTTAAAGAGAAATTTGGATGTTAAATGCTTATAGGGTTTAATAATATTAAGTATTTTAAAAATATTCATATTATTATATGCCATGTTAACCCTATAAGTCTTCTTTAATCATTACCCAATGAAAATACCAGCAAAAACTTTTCACCAACTGTCTTATTATTTTGTATTATAGTTCAACGCAATCTCTAATAAGGAAATTTTTGGTCCTTATTTCAAAATAAGTATGAGCATATTTTATTTGTGTATTATGTGCATCGCATAAATAATTTAAGGAATTTTTCTTATAACCGATTCACTTTGTGATTTATTAAGAAATAATTTCATCCCATAATGAATTACTTTTCGGTACGGCAAGAGTTTTATAATCTGAAAGACTGATGCAAGTGGCAGTGAGTTAATAACTTACTAATAACTTGTAATAACCTACTAATACTCAATAATTTGCAGCTTTTCTGAAACTCTGCATAATAGTCCCAACTCATTATCGCTTATGATTCGTTAAATAAATAGAAACTGTAAAAAGAATAAGTTGCAATATATTTCATAGGAAATGATTACCCTATTTCTTTTCAAAAAGTTCTTTAAAAAAACGATACATTGGAATGTGGCCGCAAAAGTGGTCAGAAAGTGCTTTGAAGCAACATTAAAAATTTGACAATCGGTGTTAAAATTAGTATTTAAGTGTGTTACTACTAATTATACTATTTACTTCATTTACTAAGTCAAATACATTAGATATTTCATGTATGTAAACTTGTTTTAAAATATTTAGAGCCTTTTTGTTGTATTACACGATATTTAACAACATGCTTTCTTTTTCAGGAAACAGCAACTATCACGTCCTGAAAAGAAAATGGCAAATCTGATTAGTTACATAATTCTTCTTTAAAATTTTTACGTGATGAGTTTGGCGGATATAGAACTTATCGTAGGACATTTTTGCACCTTATGCATTGAACCATATCTATTTACTATTGAAGATTTAATTTTTGAATAAATTACTATTGTATTAATTTCGTTGTAGTAAACGACTGATGTAGTTAATTCCTCATTTCAAATGGGAAAGCAGTATCATCTTATCAGAAATGTAATAGACTGTCTACATAAAATAGTTTGAAGAACATCTCGCTTTAGAGGATTATCAATTGTCGTGTCTCAGGAATAACAGCTTGTAACTTCTTTAGAGAACACTTATGCTGTGGCTTTATTTGCAGAAGGCAATAGATTCTTCAATAACTAATAAACTTCATTCCTCTTTTTAATAATTTTGATTCTGCTCTTTCACTTGTTCTTACAGGATTCGTGTATTGTCCCATAAATTTGCTTTATGCCTTTTAGAAGAGATATAACAATTTATAAATTTTGTTTTCTGTGAGCTTAAAAAGAAACCCTATTATCAATATTTAAGTCTTGTATGTGTTTTACTTTGTAACAAGATTTGCAGCAATGCAAAGGTTTATTTGGAAATTCTGATATAGCTGTTTAGAAAACAACAATCTTATCCTAACATGTCTTCTGTTTTGTCACATATACATCCCTCCCTCCACACGATATTTTGCATGGTGTTTTAAGGAAGTTACGTCGTGTAATATATTTCAGTATATATTTATTTTCATTATTTGTAATGTTTAAGATTTTCAGCCATAATCATAATTAAAATAAATTTAGTTTAAGTTATATATTACAATTAAACATTTGATGTCTATTTACCCCAGTATGTATGCCTACGAGGAGGTTTTCTAAGGAAACTGTCTCTTATTCACAAAGTATACGAGAAATTTGAAGACGATAACAACTAGCTAACGAATTCGTTTGCTGGCAGATGAGCTTGAAAGAATTGTCAGTGGCGAGTAATTTTCAAATTTATAAATCTATATGGTATCGACATAATGTTTAAAGTGGAATAATTATCATAAAACTATCGGTTTATTAACGACAGCTGCCCTAATAGCCGGGTTATTATGGCCCTGCTACGAAATTCGTAATCTTATTATGATCTTTTATTATCTTACGATTACGAATTTGTTATCTACAAAATTCATAATCATAAAAAGTGATAGTTTAATGTCCCTGATTTGAACCAGAATTTCTACTTGAGTTTCAAGTGGGATCAGTCCGTATGAATCAGTTAATATATTGATGCATAAATCTAGATACAAAAAGACATCTGTAAACGTTTATAAAATGAGAAAATTTAGTTTGCCGAAAATTTGCGCTTTTTTTATTAAAGGTTGCTAAATAATGCGAATGGAAATTTCTCTGAAAAAATGCACAGAAATCCCGGAGAATGTTCAAATTTTTATTGTACAAACAATGGTGTGTAACATGGCCATGCGCGGCAATAAATATTTTCTTTTCTATAAGTACACTCTTTTGTTTTCATTTTGAAACAATAGATTACGAAAACTTCTCCAATAAATAAAAATAATCAACATCAGTCACAGAGGACAAGCTATCACCAATTTTTTGCAGTACGGGTCAGAATAAAATCAAAAACAGAAATGTGCTAAAAAATTAATATGATGACAAAAACCGCGTGCTTAGATTGTCTTCAATGTGCTGTATTCATGAATATAATGTAATTTTTCATACATTTCTCAACCCTTTTGCTTTTGAATTAACTGTTACTGTTTTTTTTACAAAAATACATCCTGCTTTAAGGGTCGATTTCTCCTGTGTGTGAAAACTTAACTTCACCGCTGCTTCGTTACTTTAACCGATCATGCTATTAGTTGCTATTTGTACTGACATATCAAGAAGATAAGCAATAATTTGTTTTTCAGGCAATAGTGATGTTATGCACTTACGTGTTTTAAATGGCTCAGTATCTCAAACGAAGGAGGATATCATTATTAACATTTAAAACCATTTTTATTGTCACATGAATCAAGTGCTTTAGTTCAAGTTTCATACTGTAATGTAGTTACGAAAACAGTGAAATTTTAACTCTTTCGGTAAAAATACTCTTCAGTCTTTTTTTTTTTTTTTTTTTTTTTTTTTTTTTTCATGATCGCATTTAAAGGTGTAACATGTTATAATTATGCATGCGTATTATACAACAAATGATAAATATTTGTAATATTTCCGTTTTTATTAGGTACGGCTTGTAAGTATGCAAAACTTGTAAGTACTAAATATTCGTTTACATTTACCAACTGTAGCTACCAGCTATTAAGTTTAAGAATTGGTAGATATCAACTACACTTAAATCTATATTCTTCTAAATAATTTTCAGTTTACTTCTTACATATGAAATCCTTTTGCTTAAGCTATTTTTGCAAATAAAACATTGCAGGCAAATCCAGCACGCTTTGCATTAGCACTTCCTTCATATATTTTTGTATGTGATCGAAAGACCTATTTAAGTGTAAAAATATATGTAATATTTGGACAGTAAGACATTAATACATTGGAACATAAAATGTGTAAACTGAAAAATATGTCAAGAGTCTGTCCTTCGAGTGACCAAAAAATAACCCTGTGTTGTGTGAACAAAAAGGCAGATAAACTACAGAAAGGATAAAAAGCTAAAAACAAATTCAAAAATATAAAATTTATTATTATCTGTGTCAAATGATATAAAATTTGACAAATTGTTGAACACAAAAGCTATGACATGCATTTCGGATGTTTTCTGTTACAGGGCAACACGTTCTAAACAATTTTCTATAGAAAGATATATAACAGCAACGTTGCTTATTAGCCTCCGTTAAATTAAATGCGCTCTTATCTCTCATAAGTGTTCTTGTTCTTGTAAGTAAATATTGCCAATAATTGTTTTTTAAAGCACGCTTCATTCTATTTCTTTCTTTCGTTAAATAACTAAGATACATTTCTCTTAATTTAATAAAAACTTCATCATAGTCGAAAAAATAAACGACGAAAGCGTGTTTTCTCGCTGGAAGTGTAAAGTTTGCGCTGAAAGTGTCACGTTTATCTTTCTCGAGAAACTTCTTCGGCACATGTTGTCCTTTAAAGAGAAGATCCTGATTTTTTTCTCACTTTGATCGAACAGCATTGGAATTCTTATGAAAATATAAAATGCAGTATGCTTTTGATATCACAGGCAATAAACATAAGAAATAACGTTACTTACAAATTAACTCAAACGTGTTGTTCCCATGGCATTGCTAGTGATAATTTGCCTTAATTATATACCTTGTTGTTTAAATATGAATAACTATAGAGGCGTCAACAATAAAACCTTTCTTTCAATGATTTCGGTTATAGTTCTTATGATTTAGCTACACTTATCAACATTAGCTTTCTTTAGTCTTCAGAAAGAAATGTTTCCTAGAGTCATCATTCTTTGTATCCCGAAAATCAAAAGTTTACTGTAATTTCAGTGTGATTGTATAATGCATAACAGTCCTTATACTTGACAAGCATAATTAATGATTGATTCTTTATATTTACAAAGATGGTAATGTTCATCATTATTTGATATGAACAATCATTCCCTGGATGAAACAATTCAGCATAACGAAACATACCACTCGAAACCATACAACTCGGAAAGAAGACATCTGCTCTCCAAGTTACGGTTTCATAAAATTCGCTCGTATAGCCAAGACACGCAAATCAGTTCACACATTTCTTCTTAAACAATGTTGAAATCTCAAGTACTAGGTGATAATGCAATATGAACCTTAAAAGCGTTCGTTTTCTTTCGATTTTAAGACAGTCACTGATGGATTCTGAGACTGGAGCTCCATTGGTCCCTAAAGTTATGAAAAGAAAACCACTCATGAAAATTAAAGAATATAAATTTTAAATAAACGTTAATATAATTTCATACATGTAATTATATGATTTAAAATATGCTATTTTTTAAAGTAACGTAATAATTGAATTAAAAAGATTCCTTTGATTATTAAAAATTCTTTTGATTATTAAACGATTTTTTAATATACAACAAATCCACACTTAAAAATTTAGGTAGTAAATTTCTTTAAAAAAGAAAGCACTTATTATGCGTTTCTGTGCATCCTCTCTGATCATACAGTATCAAATGCATTATTACTGTATGATCATAGAGGTACAAGAATTTTAAATGGTAATTCGGCTTTTTGAATACTTTAATATTCGCTACAGTGTTTTTTTAAAAACTAGCTGCTTGCGCAGCATCGCATAAAATAATTATCCTAAAAAGGAGACAGTAATATAATGATTTCGAAGAGCCCATCTAGTTTCATTTGATAAAAATATTAAAAATTTCTAATTGCATAACTCAAGATTTTAATGCATCTTTATTTATATCAATCACAATAAAAATATTCTTAAAGGAATGTGTTTATTGCTTTTAACTCCTAAATTTATTACTCAATGACCTCCCGATATAATAATAACATAAGAGATATTGAAAATATCTTGGGCTTTACTAAATGGCAATATGTTGGCGCGTAGAAGATAGAGGTATTTTACTTCTGGCCTCGGCAATATGTTGCCTTCGTAGAGTTGAGTTTGTTAAATATAAAGGAAGGCAACAGTCTCGCGTGCTTGAGATAAAAATGGTATTCAAAGAGTGTTGCTACCACTCACTTTCAAAGTGTTCAGTTTTTAATCAAAACTTCATTAAAGTTTCACAAAATATAAAATAAACAACAAAATAATTTTAAAAAATCTGAAAGGTTTCAGATTTTAAATTACGTCCAAAGGAGAGCTTTTTAAACGTTTTGTGTGTTACCTTTATTTATTAAATATCATGTTTTTTGCCCTTAAACCATAAAATTCAGTTTAAAAGCAATGTCGGAAAATAATTTTAAAATGAGCATATCTTTAGAATTTCCGATACATAGTTCCGCGCGCTGGAGATAAAAAGGTCCCCCCCCCTCATATAGTGTTGCCGTTGCTCGCTTTTAAATCGCTGAGTTTGTTAATAAAAATTCGTTAAAATTTTGCAAAATATGAAATCGATAATAAAACAAATTCCAAATTTCAAATGCCCATATTCGCAGTAGGATTACGCCATTCAGTATTGGATGGCTCTAGGTACCGTTGTTTTATCACAATGCGAGAAACATACATACATTTATGCAGAACCTTCATTTTTCAATTTCTTCAAATATAGTACGGGGCGATAGTATTTGGTAGCAACGATTTGAAAAGTGATACAGCCTTTAAAAGATTTCAACGTAAAATGAAAGCAATAGTCCTTCAGGGACAAAGCCCCTTTGGACTAATAAGCTCCGAAAGCTTTCAGATTATATGTTACGCCTAAAAGAGCGTTCTTTTTCATTTACAGACATACACATGTTTCGAGAGCATTTAGGCTAGCCCCGCTTTGTGCTAAAAATAATTTAAAACAGCGTATCTTTAGAATTTACGATAGACAGTCTCGCGGCCTGGAGATAAAAATATTTTATTCCCTAGAGTGTTGCCACTGCTCGCTTTGAAACTTAAGTTTTTTTTTAGTCAAAAATTCGTTTAACAAAATATGAAACGTACAATAAAACAAATTCTTAATTCCAAATTCGGGCTTCCAGGTGCCCTTATTCATGTGGAGGAATATGTTATTCAAAATTTGATGACTGTAGGTACATTTGTTTTTCACAATGCGAGAAATTTACATACATTAATGCAGATTCTTCATTATTTAGTTTCTTTAAAAATAATACAAGGCGAGAATATTTAGTAGCTACAATTTGAAATGTGATTCGGACATTTAAAATGATTCGAGGCAAAACGACTAATAGCTCTTCTGGGCTAACTCCCCTTTGGGCTAACAAATTCGAAATTAAAAATTCATGTATCCAATTTCGGGTGGAGGACTACGCTATTCAAAATTTGATGGCCTTAGGTACCGTCGTTTTTTCACAGTGCGAGGAACATACACACATACATACATGTAAATTCTTCGCTATTTAATTTCTTTAAAAATAATACGGGCAGATAACATTTGGCGGTAACAACTTGAAAAAAGTTTCAGCCATCTAAAGTAGACCGGCATTTACAGCGATACGCTGCAAAATTCATTTGGAGACTAATAGCTCCTTTTTGGCTAAAATAAACCTTACGAAAAGTTCGAGTAATGTTTAGTTATATAATATGAGTTGACGAATGTTTCATAGTTTAATATTATATTAATAATAGTTACCTGGCATAGAAAAACTTGCTCTAAATAAAACTTTCACGAATCGGAAGTTTACAATATATTCTTACAGTATTGTAAAAATTGTTATTGATATAAAATAAGCCTGCATAATTAAACATTCATTTATTGCAGATAAATAATGCATATATATATTGCAGGCAGCTTAGTTCTCATTACTATGTTAAGTTAAAACGTGTTCAGAGTATGCTATATTTAACCACGCAAAATACCATTTGAGGGAATTGACTGAAAATCTTGAACGTAGCTAAACTATGAGTTCATTATAAGCACAGGCATCAAGAATCTTGAATCTTAATTATGTTCGAAGGATTGTCCGAAAAACTGCACAACAAAAGCTATTAGGAAAGTTCATTTTCATTGATGACAACAAATGCCTTATTTCTCTGCATTTATTGTAGAACAATAGTATTGTCCAAGATGATAAAAAGTAAAAAATTATTTAAATAACAACAGCATTTAGGCAATAAAATATAAACAATACGTTTTAAATTATTTCATGATTTCAAGAATTAGAAAGAAATCTGAACGCAATTCATAGCCAGAAAGAATCATTAAATATTGTAAAAGCTTAAGTGATCGATGAACAGCAATTAAGAAAAACAAAAAATATTTGATTTAATATCTTATTCTTTACTAACTGTATCTTGATTTCGTTACCTCCACATTTTGATTTCCTTTCCACTGCTATTGCCACTATTTTATTTTAGCAAAGCCAGAAAAAGCAGTTAATAAAATAAATAGAAAAATAACGAGCAAACATTCTACACTAACATCTTAATTTGAAAACATCTTAATTTAATTTTAATTAAATTTAGTAATTCAGAAGAAAAAATAAAACTAGCGGTAATAATAAAAGAAATAAGTGAAAAAGATTTCAATTTTTTTTGTGAAACAATTATTTTCTGCTCCTTCTTTGTTTTAAAATAGTGCAACACAAGTTGTTTTATAAGGCAACCAGGCTTTTGTGTTTGATTTAGCAATAATGATGAATAATGGGTAAAAAAATGAAAGAGAATCATTCTTACTGATATCTGGATATCATTCTTTTCTGAAGACTTAGGCGGTTTGCTTAGAAAAAACTTTAAAACAGGACTGAGTAATTCTTCTGGCACTTCCTTTGTCTCTCCTACATTAAAAAAAGAAGAATTTACAACTACGTTTTAAGCTTGCTTTTATTACAACAGTTACGTGCAAAAGAGAAGAATAAAGAATTTACAATGGCGTTTTAAGCTTTATTACAACATTTAGTGTGAATTGCAAATAGAAATATTTTAGTTGAGCTCATTATTTCAAAATGATGAACGTCTTTATAGGACTCAAAGGAGATTCCAAGTAGATGAGAACCGTTTGCTCAGTAATCTACTTTTTCAGCAACATCTACAAAATTTATTTCAGCAAAGGAAAGTAGGACCATAACTGGGTACACATATTTATGTGTGTAAGCGTAATAATTATATCTCTCTATGTTTTCTGTTTGTAAATATTGAGAATTTTTCGTTCACATATTTATTGTACTGCTGATATGCAAGTAAAATGAGTAAATTAGTAAAATGAGTTCAAACTTTGAATCTATTTTAGGATAATTAAATGAATTACATGTAAAGCAAAATACTTGGAGATACCTTTCTTTGACGTATCGTTACAATTTTATGTAATGCCAAGGTTTTGAAAAGTACATGCAGCTAATAAATTGAAAGAAACATTTAAAATAACTTTAAAATTATTCTTCATTTTCTTTCTGTTTCTTTACCATAAAATTCAAATTAATGAAATTTATTTAAAAGCAGTTTACTGTATTCACACACAGCATTAATATCTAACTTTTAAAAACATATTAATAAGCAATAACGTTTCCAGATTTAATTTAGCTCAAGAAAAACATGTTTAAAGATCTGATAAGGAACACAAGCAAAATAACAGTCATTCGCTTTCTTACGGAGCAATTAAATTTAGTCAAGATATTAATAGTCTGGAAACGAAATTATTAACAAATGGTTACAGTTACTGTTTAAATGGCTTAATAGTTGCACATACTTGCATATTCATGCACATATTTGTTTAAATGGCAGAAAATAGTTTTGTATATATATAAAATCCTAGAAAGAACACGTTATATTATTTTAATTAATGATGTGCGGGAAAAATAAAAATTATGACCTAATAATTCAATCTCATATATTTATAGCAGGTTATCAATAAGAGAAATAAGTAAAATTTTTAAACCTTAACTAAACCCTCATGGAATGCTAAGATTTGTTAAATATAATATTTCGAAGAACATGCAGTAAAGCATATATTTTACACATAGGTTATAAGGTACTTCTCCCGCCTTCTTAGCAAGCCTTCGTGGTGTAGTGGTCTGCACGCTCAGCGCGTAATTGAGAGGCCCGCGGTTTGCTTCCCGGCGAAGGCGTTGCATATTTTTCATCTTGCGTGCTTCCAAAAAAGTACCTAATGTCGTTACAGTGGCGTCCGAACTAAAAGGGTGTTGGATGATGATTCTCCTCACCCAGGATTTGGCGATTGGGTCCTCTGAAAACCGCAGTCGCTCTTTAAAAGGGGGAGTATATAAGGTATTTCTCCCGCCTTCTTAGTGAGCCTTCGTGGTGTAGTGGTCTGCACGCGCAACGCGTAATTGAGAGGTCCGCGGTTCGATTCCCGGCGAAAGGCATTGCTAATTTTTCATCTTGCCTGCTTCCAAAATTATCTAATGTCTCTACAAGGTAAAATAGGGAGAATATTTCTTATTAAATGCCTCACCAAGATTACAAGATAAAACTTCATTCATTACCTATACATTTAAGTTCATGTTAAAAACTACATATTTTTAAATGAAACATCTACTCACCGTTAATGAGATTAATAATTATACTTGCTACATAACCTATGATTACAGCAGAGAAGAATCCGATCGGTGCGAACCACATGTATGATATTCTGTACAACGGAAATATGTTCCTAAGGAAAAAAAGAAGCGAAATCATTAAGTTTTGTTTTTAATTTTTGACTAAGTTCTAATTAAGTCTAATTTCTTTGAGGAAAAATATTCTCTGAAGAATGATTAGACTTGTTTCTTTGAGGAATCATACAGATAATTTTAAGCTGTGTTTAACTAGAATCTTAAATAACATTCAGTGCTGCAGATAAAATTATTGTTATATTACAACTAGCTTTCCGAAGTTCATCCTTTTAGATATTTGAAATTATCTTTAAAGCTTATATGTAAACAACATTTATCTTCCAAAAATATGAGATTATGTCAAAAGTTTAGTTTTTCAAGCATGAAAAAAACAGCATTTGGAACATATATGATAATTGCTTTTATTTACATAAATGTATACTCCCAAAATTACTTTTTTTGCCATATGTACCAAATTTATTCAAATATTTACCACAGAGTAGTTTGTAAGTCTCTGTATCTTTATCGGAGACCTGTCCCACTTATGCTAACCACTGTAGTCCCGCTTTTTTGACTTTCTCTTCAGAATGGTATCTGGTTTTTGCAAATCCTTTCATGCAAATGAAAAGCATGGAAAAGCTAGTATCGAGAACAGGGCTAAGGCTGTTTCCATATCTCCCAATAGAAGTTTTTCACGAAGAATTTCATATCATGCTCGCATTCATGCACAACGACAAGGATAAATTCAATTTGACTTAGACTAGATATTAGTTTAAGCTTCGAAATGGTCAGACGAATTATTAACTTTCAACAGCAAAATAATACGTAACTAAAAGTAAACTAACCTTTGATGCCGTATCTACGGCTTAAATAACTAAATGCAAAACGACTAAAGAATTTATTTGAAATTCAACCAAAAATTACAGAATTAAAATATTAATAAAGACAGTTCAGAAGGTGTCAGTTCGGGATATGGTCACCATGGAGGGTGGTGTAATATTCCACACGTCGTGACAAACTTTTCACTACATTATCCAACAGCTGTTGGGGTAATTTATCCCATTCCTTTTTCAGTGAACGGATGTGAGAGTCCTCGTTTATTGAAGGGCACTGTCGACCAGCAAGATTCTTTCCCAAAACATCCCAAATAGTACTCAGATCTGAAGAACATGCTGATTATACGAGGCGTTGAATATCCTCGCTCTCTAGACACTCCTGTACAGCAACTGTTCGATAACATGTTGCGCTGGCAGCAGAACATTGATTAATGTATTGTCGGCCAGTCATAGTCCCAGTTGCAACCACATATAGGGACGTGTGGCCATTGATCATAGCGCTGGCCCATACCATGATACTGCATCTCGGATATCGGTCCTTTCCTGGATATAAGCAGTATCTTGTGGACGATAAGCGGTACCACTGTCATGGAAGATGGGCTGGCGTCTATAATCCGGTAACAGACTGAACCTATTCTCATCTAAGGATAGTACACAAACCCAGTTTTAATGATTCCAATTACAATGCTCGCGATAACACTGCAAATGGGCGGTACGTTGCTGTCAGGGCAATGGAATGCACAAAACAGAACAGAGGGCGTATATATCATTTCCTTGATGCAAAACCTCTAGCTACAGCTTTTCGGGAGATTTGCCTGCCAGCAACATCAGGTAATTGATTTAAGACCTCAATAGCTGTGTTGCACTGGTTCTTTTTGTCGATGGCACTATATCCTTATCTTCTGCAAACGTCGTACCGCGAACACGACCTCCTCGTAATGTTTGTTACACAGTCCATTTGTTTGAAATGTTTTCCAAAGCCTTGAAACAACACTGTGGCTTACGTCGAACTCCATAGCAACATATGTTACTTTCCACCCTTCTTTAATGTTGCCAATAATACGGCCACGCGTAAAATCATCTAAGTGATACCCGGAAGACACCATGAAAATTGCAGATTAATCAATTGATTCTTTCCCGTTAAACTGCGCTTTTGGACAAGAAAAGTCAGTATGCGTCAAATCATTTATCTCTTTTATTAGCGTCACGTGACGAACAATTTCGTCAAATAAAAAATTTGCATACGCAAAACACGTCTTACTGCATCCCGCACTTAGGCTAGTTTTCAGATTTTCCTGCCTTTCATTTTATGGTTGCTATCGCTGCTACTGTCCTTAGAAATTATGAACCAGTCTATTAATGTTAATTTATTAATTTCAGTTTTTAATTTTTTTTTAAAATATTATATACGGTAATATACACGATAAAATTTATATTTACGTTTTATAAATAATGAAGCAATTTTATACTATTAAATCAAGAGTTAGAATAATTCTTTGAAACAATAGGTTATAAGGTGAGCGAGTGAATGAGTGCACCGCTATGGAGACCTCCGACTTTTCTGTCTTTTTTCCGCATGCCTTCATGGTGTAATTAGAAGCATGTTCAACGCGTATTCGAGAGATCCAGGGTTTGAGTCTCGGCGAGGATATTGCACATTTCTCACGTCTCCTGCTTCTTGAACCAAATGACTCAAAAAGATTGTGAAGTTCATTTGAGAAGATTTGTTTTTACGCTAATTCTTTTTTGTAATCTTTCTCATTAATATGTAAATTAGGTAGATTTAAATAGCAAGTGTAATTTAGTAAAAAGGTTTTATCAACACATCGGAAAAGCAGTTTATTTCATGAATTGTCCATCCATATACCGATATTTTTTTCTAAAATTATTTTCTTGTATCAGCTAGTGCTTATGCTTAGATATTGCGAATAGCTGGAAATAAAATGTTAAATGTCGAATACATTTTTTTGTGTACCAAACACTAAACATTTGTATTCCAAGAAGTCGCAAGTAGCAGTGTTTTGGTAACTTTAATTGTTTTCCCAAGATGTAGCTTTAATAAACATTAACTTTTGTCTTCTTCTTTCTGTTCTTTTCTTCTAGTTCAGTGCTAAATCACTTAAGAAACAAGATGGTTAAACAAGGTGTAGTTCCAAGAGTCAGCTAGGTTAATCCTTCACGGCGGTAATACAAATGTCATTAAGTGTGTTTGAGATTACTTCGTGTGAAAAATCCCAATTTTTCAAAGGAGGAATTACTACGTAACAGAAACTAGAAACTTTAGCTTACTCATAAGATGTCTCTATCACTGATGATTCTGTCGAATTCATGATTGGGGCAGCCGAATTCTGAACGATGGCTAATGGAGAAGTGACATTAAGAAGGAATGAATTCTGTGGTACGGATGAATTTGGAAAGAAGCATCCTTCGGTGGAGACTGGTAGGACGTGCGGCGGTGGGGCCGCAGCTGATGATCCAAAGCTTACCCACGCAGCAATTGCAATAGAAGAGACAAGACCGATGACAGCACCCTACAAAAAAGTTATTTTAAAATTTATCCATATTTTAACTTTTTTTGCCGTTTAAAACCATTAAAAATGAAGTCGAACTAAATTTGTTACTCAGTATTTCTATTGTAGCAAATTTTAGTTTCGAATTAAACTAATAAAAATATAATTAATTAAACGAGATATTTTTAACAAGCGCTACATATTGTTAAAGAAAAGAATATTTCTCTTGTAATGATTCGATAAAACATTTTGTTTCATTGGAACAAATCAACATGTTTAAACTGCTAAATTATTCCTCTATTCTAAATGACTTGTCTCCAGAATTCATACTTATAATATGATGAATTATTTTGCATCTTTAGTGAACGATTCGAAGTTTAAAGAAGATTAACTCGATAGAAGTCAAAATTGTGGTCAGTCCATAAGTTCGTGCGGATTAAAAGTATGCGTGGAATTCACTATGACGTATTTACTAAAACAATACAATTTTGAACCTGCTGAAACTTGTCATCGTTTGACTAACATATTATTCAGTTCATCACCAACTTTCGTAAATATCGAACGCATTTTAATACCCATAGAAGATGAATATAGGTAATCAGTACAAACGTGTTGTGCTACATTTTTTATTTTCGTGTGGTGAATCTGCCAATTTGCAGCGATAAATATTAATAGTGTGCATGGTGAACACACTATTAGTGTAAGGACTGCCCAGAAATGGTTTAAAAAATTTTAAGTTGGAAAAAGCAGCATTGATAATGAACCCCGTTCAGGACCTTTTGAACTGTTAGAAGCAATTCAAACGATTAATTCAGAAGTTTATAGTGAACAACTTTGCCGTCTAAACTCAGAATTGATCAAAAAACGCCCACGATTGTTGAATATCAAGAAAGTGCTGTTTCATCATGATAACACTAGGCCTCATACGGCTCGAACAACGCTGCAAAAAATTAGTGAATTAAATTGGGAGCTTTTGCCATATCCTGCTTGTGCCTTACAAAATTTTTGCTGTTAAAAATTAAATTCTTAACAGGATGTACACAATGAAATTTCAACTATTTTGCATCAAAACCACAGTCTTCCTACAACAATGGCATAAAAAAGCTGCTTGTAAGATGGCGAGACATTGCAGATAATGGAGGAAAATATATAATTGATTAAAATGTTAAATTGTGCTTTTTATATTATTTAAAAAATTTACCAAAAAAAATGCGCACGAATTTATGGACTGACCCAATATATGACTGAATTATAACTTAGCATACAAAAAGAACATAAATTCGTAAATTTATAAAGTTTCCCCCTTAGAATTATATTATATTATATATTATATATATATATAATTTGTAATAAATTATGTATACTCGGGGACAGAGGTTCGCCTTCCTTCCCTGTGCTGAGTGCCACAGAGCAGCGTGGAAGCACAGAAAAACTTTGAATTGAAAATTTTTTGAAATCCCGAGTGGTCTCGTATAATATAATAATATATATAATTATAATAAATTATATTATATCATATATAGAATATTATAGCATCAAAACTGTTAATAATATTTTATGCTATTCTCCCCTTTACGTTATTAGTATTAAATAACATGTAATATGTTTTTTGTATTCTTATTATAACAAAAATAACATGCTAAGAAAGTAGATCTACAATGTTGCCGAAAAGATATTATTAATGTGATAAAGATGGCTAATTATCACCAACGTTATTTTAAAACTAAAAGCGATATTAGCATAACATTCTGGAATAGAAGTGTTTCTTTGTACAATAATGTGTTTCTATATTACGAAAGTTCTCTTATCAAATAAAAATTATAACGAATTATTTTAAAAGTTTAAAACTGAAATCATTTTAAACTAATAAAAAACGAGATCATTTTAATCTATTAAAATTTTCTGTTTTTATTTGCATGAATTTTAACATAAATACTCTTGACATATACAGTAATTATTAATTCAAAATACATAAGCTCTTTCGTTTTAAAAATTCCAACTAATTAAAAATTTTATTTCTTCAAAAATGGTCTCTTTCAAACCTGTAGAAACGCTCTTAAATTTATATTTGAACTTAAATCAATAACCGTATTTCAAAGTCTTTAGAGACGTACAATCAGATAAGGAACATTTTAATAACCTTTTCGTTGCACCTTTCGGTCAACATTCCTAGAAGAAAGATAGCCAAAACAGGCCCTCCAAGCATGCCAAAGACTGTCAAAGATGCCTGAACTAAGTTTCCAAACGTCGCAACCAAAAATGTCAGTAACACGCAAAGAAATCCGTAGAAAAGCGCTGAAAATGTAAAAATACATTAAATAGTTTCTTTAAAGAAAAAATATATATTCAAATAATTTCATATTTGATATCATGCTTAAAAATGTATGGACTGATGGCTGCTGCTGAGAGATTGATACAATGTTTTTTATTTGGCATAAAATTGCTCAACTTTGTTCTTAAATCCCCTTGCTTAAAAATATTCAATCTATTTCTTGTTTCAGTAAATTATTGATCTGACTTAAGTATACTTTTACTATGTAAGAAAAGGGAATGGTCAGTAATGTTATTTCACAATAGCTTTTATTTTAGGATGTATCTCTTGGATTGACATTCAAATTTATATACTTTAAAAAAGTATTATTAAATTAAAAATATACTGAATATTTTTGTTTAGTTTTTTACCATATTTATTTATTAATTGATTAATTTCTTCTATATTACATAGAAGCTGACGCAGCTTAATATCAGTACATAATTAATCATCTATTTTACAAGATTAACACTTCTTTAGTAATCAATGGGATCTTCATTGCTCCATAAACTGCTCATGCATATTCAGCTGTCGATCCCTAATATCACCATTAACCCTCTTTAAAATATTATCACCCCCAGGATGTTAATAATGAACCATTGGGAACCTCTGTTCTAGAGTAACCTCAACCATTTCTTAAAAATGTGTTTTGTCTACAAAAATGAAGAAACCAAACTTTGCTATGCCCATCAATTAACTGTGGTTTCTCTTTCTTCTGAATAAAGAAACAAAGGCAAAAGCATTTTTTATAATATGAAATAGCTGATGGGCTTCTATCGTATACTGACATTAGAGTCAGCGAAATATACGCAAAAACTGCAGTCATCAATATTAATAGATGCCTGAAGATTTAATATTCTAGTAACCCACTTCAAGCCTCATAACTATCGGAGAATTCTAAAATTTCGAAAATTATCATTAAAATAAAGAACGAAGTTAATTAAAGCATGTCTTAAATTTAATGCTGAGCTCCTATATTGAGGCTTCATGCGTCAAGCATTTTAAAGTGAATAAATAGCCGATGCAAGATTTGCTGCGACATCTCATTGCATTATCCTGCCAATAAATTCAGCAAATTTGTAGGGCATCATGTTAATTAAACAAGTTTTCTTATTATTTTTTCCTATACTATCACTTCTGCTTTCTCATCTTCTGCCAAGGAGTAATATATTAATATACTCGTATATAAGCTTTGAGTTTTTGAGTTTGAGAGAGAATGTTTGGCAGCTTTCGCCGAACGGTTATTCTGTTACACCTCATGGTTAGTGAATTGACTTATAGGCTTTAGTTTCGCTAGCCGCATTTACTTCGTGAATATTAAGAACGAGCCAAAGATTGTTTAGGCGCGTGCTACTTTTTATTTAATACTATAATTTGACTGGAACATTTGTTCTACGTATCCTTGAAGTAGTTGTAATTTTGTTATCGTATAGTTTTCGCAACTGTGAAAATGGCGTGTTAATAAAGAGGTATACTGTAAACCTTCACCTGAGCTTGTGTTTCTGCATTTAGAAGCTATGATGGAACGATATGTTGTCTATCTGTCTTTAGGGTTCCAGGAGTTGGCAGTTAGAGTGGTACAGAATTGTACAAAATTCCTTTTTCTAATGCCTTAAGCGAAAAAATAAACATATGTAATGGTATCTGCGATCATGGTACTTTTTCATCAGCAGCATCTTTCAGACAGGAGCCAAACTTTTACACTAAACGGTTTGTCTGGCAGTCGTTCTTTATAGTCTATTTCCTTCTAAGTGATCCCGAGTGTTTCTGCTGTTTACATGCATATAACAATACATATAAAAATGTAATACATAAGACATTTCTTTAATTTCATCATATTTTACAGAAATTTAACTATACAGCTTAATATCTGAACGTGCGTTGAATTTATAAAATCTGACTTTGCCAACTTTCATGCTCAAGCGAATATAGGCTGAAAATTCATGTAGTATTTATATGTCAAAATAATTCTGCAGTTTTATATATATTTCCGCGAATCATTTTAAATATTTATAAAAAATAAACTACTGAACCAACTCCAAACTTTATTGCTCTGAAACTGTGTGAAAAACTCGTCAAACAGTTTTTCACAAACATTCCGTGTTGACGGATCAGAGATCTATATTTAACTGGGAAGATTTATTTGGGCTCACAGGCAAGTTAGATGATCCTTACATACATATAGTCACAAAAGTAAGTATGCAACTCATAGCTTAAGTGAAAAAGCTCTAGTTCTCAAATAAATATAAGAAAAATATTATTTTGGAGAGTGTTGTTTATAGCTTCTGATTCAAGTCATAAAGTAATGAAAAATAAACCAAATCATTATATTTTAAAAAACTTTAAGAGTAATTTTGTTAACTACCAGCAGAAATTTAAATCACAAAAGTATATATGCACTCTGAATTTTTTACTTTTAAATAGGCTGAATGAAACTTCTCGAGTGATTTTTCGTATTTCAGTGATAAGTGTAGAAGTTCTGCTACAAAGCTTGTAAGTTTGAGCTTTAAGTACATCAACAATTCACCAATGGCTCCACGTGGAAAAGAATTATCAAAAGATCTAAAGGATGCAATAATAAAGCTCTATAAGAAAAGCATGTCCCAAAGACAAATCGCTAAAATCATAGGCAAAAGTCCTGCAACAGTGCAAAAAATCATTGAAAAGTTCCAGGCTGAGGGAAATACGCTAAACAAGCCAAGAACAGGACGACCGCCCATTTTGATGGATCGAGAAAGGCGAATTATTATTGGAAATGTGAAAAAAAATCCGACGATTATTGCACCAAAATTGACAACTGATGTGAAAAACAATTTTGCGAAGTCATGTAATCCTGAAACAATTCGCCGTGTGTTACAGAAGGCAGGATACCATGGTCGAATTATGCGAAGAAAACCATTTGTTAACAAAGTGAATCGAAAAAAGAGAATAGATTTTGCAAAAGAAAATGTAAAGCAGGACATAAATTTTTGGAATTCCGTGATTTTTTCGCATGAAAGTAAATTCAACATCTACGGGTCAGATGGACACCAAAAATTTGGAGGAAAGCAAATGCAGCTCTAGAACCAAAGAACATGAGATGAACTGTAAAACACAATGGTGGTTCGATTATGGTTTGGGGTTGTATGGCAGTAACTGGAGTAGGAAATTTAGTTATAAGCGACGGAATAATAAATCAATATAGCTATTTGAATATTTTAAAGAATAATCTAAGCCAAAGTGCTTTTAAATTGGGACTCTATGGATCCTTCACTTTCCAGCAAGATAATGATCCCAAACATAACTGCTCGGGTTGTTCGGGAATGGCTGCTATATCACGTGTGAGAACAGTTAAAAACCCCACTGCAGTCACCTGATCTTAATCCCATTGAACACTTATGGGATTATCTCGATCTCCAAATTAGAAAGCAAGAGAGCAAAACTAAGAATGATTTAAAAAAAGCCCTTTTGGAGTGTCAGGAAATACCATCTTCTGTCACTCAAAATTTAGTAAAATCAGTGCCATCTAGATTGAGAGGTGTTATGAAGGCCAAAGGCTATCCAACAAATTACTATTACAAATTACTATTTTTTTGAAAAATTGTAAAATTTGCAATATTAATGTCTTTGTTTTTGTTTGCATACTTACTTTTATGATGTAAATTACATCCTATTTTAAGTTAAGCTCATCTTTCTAATTAAATGTTTGTATTTTTTAATTACTTTTCATTTTGTTATTAAGCTCAATTTTGCTGTAGTCGAAATAAATCGTTAATTTGAAAACTCTAATATTGTAGGTCTGTTTTTTTTTTTCATACGACATCATCACATACACTCTGTATACTTACTTTTGTGACTAAGTGTACTTCTTTTATATGACAGGTATCACGTTCACTAGCACAGAGACAATTACCAAGAACATTTATTAAAGAATATAGATCAATTTTGATACGTAAGTGGACAGGACACCTAGAATGAAGAAGTACTGTATTACTGTGTAACAAGCCTAGTCTTCGGATTCAATACTTGTAGAGGACATTGTTTTTGCGCCTCTCCTCAAACTAATATCCAGAATACTGGCACGCCTACAGGACAAAACATAGATGGGATAGATGTCGGCTATACCAACAAAGGTGGGCAGTCTTATGAATTATGTAATAAATTTTAACTGCACTTAAATACAATCAAATAGGATACAGGTTGCGTAATTTATTTAATTGGATACAGATTGCGTAATTTTATGGACTTTTAAATATTTGCGGAATCAGAACCGGAATGAAAATCGTTGTTTTTGTTTGACAAGTGCGTAGGTTACTGATGTAACTATAAACTTGTTACATTTGAAATATGCATTAGGCATTACCGTAATAAAAAGTGATAGGAACTGAGCGCGCATCGAAACTAATGTAAACTGAGGAATTTAAAGATCAGTTCTATAACCCAAGGTCTAATCTGACGAATAACCCTGCAATGTTTTCATTCGAAATTATATTGCGACGCATTGACAAAACATTCGCCATATTTACATATTTTAAAATTGTTAATACATATATAATGTGTTTATTTATCCATTCGAAATCGTTCAGCGATGTGATATATTAAAACTTTTCGAGAAACATTTAGCAGTCTTTCCTTTTGATTGGCATGACCTTTTGGTAACTAAGCATTCTAAAGGAGTACGTCTAACAGGAAAGTATTACGATTAGACTTCAAAAACTAATATTTTTACCATAGTATTTATTATGGAATAGAATATTAGTAATTAGAGTAAAATAATTTGTTCACCAACTTATAGCTTTGGCACTGAAGGCCATCTTCTTTTGAGAGTAGCCTCTGGCAACGAAGAAAGGTCGCACTAAATCCTCCATTGTCACAGCTGCTAATGAGTTCACGGCAGACGAGACTGTACTAAGAGATGCACTGAAAATACCGCAGATACATACTCCAGGTAATCCTGGATATTGTCCGAGAGCAGACATAATGTAATAAGGCATCAGCTAAAAAGAGAAAAGAGAGAAAACACTAATAACCTGCTAAAGTACAAAAACAAAAAGTAAAATAAGTTCAACGAAACTTTATTTAGAGTTTTTATAATTTTCCCTTAAAACTACAGTTCGGTTTGCCTTATTTTCAAAATAAGCATTTATGGTGACTTCAACGTAATACTTTCCTCCATTGACCAACTACTCGAGCCTAAGCATTCATCTGGAATAGCTAAACACATCGGTTATTTAGCCGTCTCACCACAAAGAAAGGTGTTCAGGATGCAATATAGGGATTGACCACTGCGAGAAAAGGTAAAGGGCGCACACATATAGCCAAGTCTTATGTTGTAGTCGAACTCACACTTTTGGTTTCAGATTGCCAGTTAACCCCTGGTAACCATTACACCATGCAAGAATCCACGATTAAATATTTAAAACCGGATTTATGTACAAGGAGAAGAAGCAGATTTTGCTTCCTTCCAAAATTATTATATTTCTTTCTTAGTTATAAAATTATATCATATCTCACATGATAGGGGAAAATTTAGGCTCTTATCTATGCTCAGTGCATTGTTTATACTACATAACCACGAGATGCGCCGAAGAGACTATTTGTTTCCATATAATCCGCTTGCAACTTCAGAGTTCCCCAAACTTCCCCCCAGGTTGCTTTTTTCTGGGGATGGGACATTCGTATTTGCCAATCTTGAAAAACGAAAGAGATTCGAAAGCTTAAATCTTCGCGATTTTTACGCAATTCAAAACTTTTAAATACTAACTTAAAAAAGCAGTCACACTTTTTAATCCCAGGTCTGGAAAGAAACATTATTTTGAAAAGAAAGCAAGGAAAAAAAAGAATGCGATTGCTGCAAATTTAAACGATTTTCTGCTTCTTCATTATCCTATTGTAACGATCCTGAGTGCCCCGTTGTTTCAGTAAGCAAAGATGGGCGTTTTTGAGATTTTCCTCAAGTGTAACGGGTATAGGAGCCATTTTCCCCGAGAAAGTCTTTCACTAAGGCATTCCTCCCGTTGAGCAAATAGCCGTAGAGGCTTTGTCGTATTCACATAAACCAAACCAAACCTTTAAGAAATACTAAAAGACTTTCAGGTTTAAGCAGTTAGCCTGTTAAGACTTGGTTAACAATATATGAGTTACAACTACTGTAGTTTGAAATTTTATAAACAATTCAGTTTGAACATTTTTGCCATAACATGCAGATTCAAATTATCTAACTGACAAAAAAAGTCAATCATGGTAATAATTACCTTAAAGTTATTTATTTACCTTCTAAAAGCATTTTTAAATTTTACAGTGTATTTTATGACATTATTTCATCAGAATGTAAACGATTGTGAATCCTCCCATAGACAACAGCGAAGTGCTGGTGTCGAGAAGTGATTATGTGTAATTGATTGAAGTTTAAATAAGCGTTTCAACAAGCAACATAGCAATTCATAAATATGTTTAAAAAATAAATTAGAAAATTATTAAATTGTTTTCGTCAGTATCTGAGGAAGGTAAAACTTCAATGGAGTCATGAAAACTGGAGTAACAGCGAATGCAGATAGGGCCTGAATTTTGAATTCTTTAAAATGTAGACTGCTGATTAAAAGTAATATAGCTTTGAACTTCAAAGAAAATAACGGAATAGCTGACTACTATAACGAACCAGCTGTGTCTCTAAATCTTTATTCAGCTGCCTCACTATCTTTTCAGAAAAAAAATAAGCATACAAAAGGCTTAGGAAATATTATCCTTAATGACTCTTTCAGGTTTCCAGTTCCACCAGCAACATATTAGTAAATATGTCCCACAATATCAAATATTTATCAATTTCTCAGACATTTAGTAATTGGAAATAACATATTTCAGCGTTCCTTCCTTTAAAATGAAAATATTTGTCGTTAATTTAAACTAAATATATTGAATACAGGATATTCTTACAAAATGTATGAAGTTGAAATGAGTAATGGTTTTGGTTTGGTTTGTTTATTAGATTACGGCAAAGCACTCGACGGCTATCTGCCTTAAGGGAGGGATGCCTTCGTGGAGGACTTTTAAAGGGAAACTTGAAATGAGTAATGAATTTATGACTGAAACCCATGCCTTTAGAATAGCTTAACGAAATAAATGAATACAAAAATATGAAGAAATAAATTTGATTCTGATTTAGGAATTCATGACAAAATTCTGAAAATCTAAAGATGAAGGAAATATACATTTCATTCACTTAAGTGTAAAATAATACGTCATCACTCATTTCTTAATCTAGCTTAAGCACACACATATTCAACTTCCGAAGGCAGACAAAGACTAATTTCTGAGAGATCGTTTAAAGATGGTTTTACATAAAATGAAGAGTCAGTTGGGATTAATTTGAATACGTTGGACCTAAGAAGTTCTCCCCGAAGGCATCCCTTCCTTTAGCCATCGAGTGCTTTGCTATAACTAAATAAATGAAATCAGATCTTTTCTATTTTCTTTTTCCTTCATTTCTAAACGTATGATGCCCTATCAAAGATTCAAAAGAACTCTTTTTAAAGACATTTAAAGAAATAGTTCTCCGCATTGAAATTGAAACATCAAGGAAGAATATACGTAAATGATCAACATTTTGAACAAAACGTTCTTCTTTAATGTAAGATATGACTGCCATGCACACTAAAAGTCTCACTTACACGTGTTGGCATGCTATCAGTGAAGTCCTTAATCATTATCGAGAGCGGCTGAGTAGTAAAGTCGCTGAACAGTGGTAGTTCCACTTGAGTTCGATTCTAGGCGAAGAAGGCGGCTGCATAGGTTATTTTAGTGTTTTTCCCCATGTGTAATGTGGATACGTGTCAGTAAGTCCTCCATGAAGGAATCCCTCCGAGTAAGGAAAATACCCCTCAAGCGCTCGAGATAGCCGATCTATCAGATGTTCCATGTGTATTCGATGAGAGGCAAGTCATAAATATAGCATGCCACAGTAGCATATCAAATCCTACTTACATTAACAGACTACTCACATTAGCATAAGCGCATGAAGCATAGTACTGTCATGCTGAAAATTTGCTTCTTGACACCATACTGCAATATCATTGACCAAATTAACCAACGCTGAGTTAATTACCAAATTAACCAACGCTGAGTTAATTACCAAATTAACATAACGCTGAGTTATACATACAGTAAAAGGAAAGAGTAGAGGTTTTCGCCTACTATATATAAGGATTGGTTCGATGTTCTATCTTGAAAGCTTATTGATGGCTTCGGACATGGAATCTGAAGCTTAATCTCTGATCATCGCTGGGTCCAAAAACAAAGACTATCGCTAAAGAAGATAACTTTTTTCTCCATTCATGTCTTCATTGCCGCCTGAATCGCTATACTGTTAATAATAGCGGTACCATGAGGTTATGAAAACACCTGCCGCTGGTCATCTGGCTTCTAGCGCAGTATTATGGCACTCGTAAACACTGTTGGACATACCAAGCTTAGTATACAATGTCTGATTTCATTCGCGGAAAACTAAGGATCATTATTCGATGACATGTCTTTGCACAGGTTTGCCTTTGACTACCTCTGTCTGTCACAAGAGTTCGCCATTGTTTTCGCAGCCATTCAAATACACAACGTTGAACAGGTTGACATTTTATCCTGAATGTTAGCAATCTGTCAAAGTATAAATCAACATCTCCAAATTCAAAGATAGTTTTATTTCTCTTGCAGAAGGTGGTTATATTTGACATACGATGAACTCGAGGAATCGAACCATGAAATTATAAGAATAACCCGATTTCTGAAATCTCATGTGGCAGCGAAATCACCTGTTCTAAGTTTCTCCTAGAAGCTGTTGACTGCAGTGAGACGCTTAAATTTTGATCATTTCCATGTCTCAGTTACACCTTCAATTCTTCCACTGTTCCCCAAATGCGCATAACATTACATTTTTTCCTTATTGCAGTTGAAATTACAGGATTGAGCAGTATATTTAACGCTTATGAAACACTTAAATCTAACACTTTAAAAGCAAAGCAGAGAATATGCTTTTAAAGAATATTTCATCTTTAAATACTTTTATGTTTGGACTAAAAGCGTGCAAGTCTTCATTTGACAAAGTTTTATCGAATAATATCACATCATTCTTAATGGCTGCCTGACGTAGAAGAAAACTGTGGGGTACGTTAAGTAAATGATTAGATAAAAACTGTGTAAAAAGAGATAGCAAATTTCACAGATAATTTGCTATTACTTCAAACTCAGAAAGTGCAATGTGTAATCATTCCATTCACTCAATATTAAAAATGGTTCTATTCTAATAATACCAATGGTTTAATTTCGATTTTGAAATAATTTATGAATTTTATTTGTAGCATTTGATAATATAGAATTCTTGGAAAGAAATGGGAATTATTAGTCTCAACAGTACAATAAAACGCATTATATAGATAGATAACTCCCTCGAAATGCATTGCGCTATTATTATTATCATTATTTAATCTAAGATTGAAATTTTTTTAGATTCGGAAGCAATATATAATATTAATTTGCAATAAATTTAGTTAATATCATTCATGTTGTAAGATCCTAGCTAAGAGATAAATATTTGTTTCAGGAAAGATCCAGGAAATAAATCATGATCATATTCTGTTTGAAACGTTTTGCACATTTTGTGAAGTTAAGGATATCCCTAACCTCTTGAAAAGGAATTCAGGTATTCATCAGTCCCTAGATTTTATACACCTGATGAAATGCTTGTAACTTTTGAACCTTAAAATGTATTCAAAGTAGAAATTAATAGCTTTATAAGCCACATTGTTCCATAAAATTCACACTCGGAGAGTTTTGTATGAGAAAAAGTAGAAAAAGAAGGTAAAATATTTAGTCAACATTTGTAAGCATGCAAAAAACCAAAAGTTTCTGTAGTTTTCTTCATATTCCGTTCCCTGCAATTCAGGAGAACTTTATGGAACGGTTTGCATTCCAAGATTGATTTTTTCTAACCCAATTTTCTTGGCCTTTATGACACTTAATATATTCGAAAGTTCAATATAACTTTTAGCCAACTAAATAGATAATATATAGAAAAAAATATTAATAAACGACAACCATATGTTTTGTGTGATGTAAAATTATTTGACTTAAACTTTAAGAAAGGGAATTTTTAAAATTTTAATTTTATTATCATTGCCATCGCATTATTAAAATTCACATTATTAGAAATATAGCTTAACATTCCATACAATGAAAGGTCTTAAATTAAATGAAAGTATGAATATTCTTACCTGATCAGCTGAGGATATTGGCTTATTCGGAGCCGTCATTGGATCACAGTTGTAAAAGTTTGCATAAATGACAATACCGGCTAAGCAGTTTAAAAGGTGGAATGAAACTCCCATGGGTATACTCACATACAAGGCTCTGAAAGAAACACCTTCGTCATAACATTTGATATTTTCAAATTTTTATTAATATTTGAGATTCACTTACATGAAATTTCCCTCAACCTTCAGTTGCAGTTATGATATCAGCAACTCTGCAGAAACATCAATTTAGCGACATATGTTAAAGTAGTAGTGAATAAAATATGGAAGTTTGCTTGAATACTGGAAGAGGAAAGTTATCGCGAATAATGTTCAAGTGTCATTACCATTCGCTAATTGCATAAAGTAGTTACAGTTCCTAGTGGGTTGTAGAGTTCCGCACTTTGTTAATGGTAAGTTACAGTTGAACGTGAAGAATCTTAAGAACTGATAAGCAAATAATCGCTTGAGTTCGTGTGACGGGAAACAATAAGATGGAAGGTTAAATAACCCTTTATTATTCAAATAAGATTTAACAGAACTCTGTCTTGAAGTGTACAATAAAAGCCGACACTTGGGCTTGAACGTAAGAGGCTAAGAATTAAACTAAAACTAATCTAAACTAAAGAGATATAGCCGAAGCTATCAAGATTCTAACCGAGTTGGCCCCTTACCGCTAATTGACTGATAAGCTATCAAGGGTCTAAAGTACGGCCGAGCGTAATAATAGCTTACGAGAGAGTAGCCTATAAAAAAGGCGAACGCGTGCAGACAGAATACCTGGTAACTCTTTCCTTAAGACCGAAGAACTTCGCGGTTAAATACCGCTCTTCCTCATTATGTATTCAGATGTGATTCTAAAACTACGTTCTGGCCGGAAGTAGTAAGTTGAAGTTAAGAATCGACAGGAAAGAAACTTAAAATTTAACTGTTAATAAAATTAACATAATACTTACAGGGTACGCGAAATACTGATTTCTTTACTTTTCGAAAGTAGCATCCGTAAGTAACATCGTACCCAACTAAGGATTATCCGAAATTACTTAAAATGTAATTAAAAATGACCAGTAAACACTACGAAATTAATTTTTTTATAAAGCGAAAAAACTGGTGTGACGAGACGGTTTTTTTTAAATAAAACTTCGTACAAAAGCTTTCCAAATCAACACATTTAATACCGTAAGATCCCCAATACGTAAGGACATGAGTAATGTAAACAACACTTACTAAAAGAGAAATCAGAGGGATAAAAAGAAGCTCTATTGAAAAAGTAGCATGGAGAGCAATGCGACTGAAGGCCGAAACATCCCTGTGATGGGTGTCCAGCAAGAAATATCCGGTCTTTAATAGGGGATATGATCTCCCCTGACTGCTAGGCAGGTTTCACAGCGTCTGCCCATGCTGAGAATGAGGGTGTCAATGAGTTGTTGAGGCATTGCTGCCCATTCGTCTTGCAGCGCCCATCGAAGCTCCGGAATCGTTACTGGTGGTAAGGTACGAGCTGCCAAGCGTCTGCCTAGAAAACCCCATACATGCCCGATGGGATTGAGATCCGGGGATCGTGCCGGCCAATCCATACGTTCAATATCCTCTCTCTCTAAGAGCTGTTCGGCAGCTACTGTGCGATGATATGGTGCATTGTTGTCCATGAAAAGGAACTGCGAACCCATAGCGCCTCTAAAAAGACGCACATATGGAAGAAGAATCTCGTTACAATAACGGGTCCCGTTGACTGAACCTGCGTCGAAGATGTGAAGGTCTGTACGACTACCAAGCATGATGCCTCCCTAAACGTGAACACCCTCACCTCCATACCTGTCTCTTTCAATGATGTTCGAGGGATGATTGCGGCTCCCCGCTGTCTCCAGATGAGTATGCGATGAGAATCGCTACTCAGACTGAATCTGTATAGAGTACTCGTCCCCATTCATTGTCTCTCCAATTCCGGTGTTCCCGACACCACAGAGAACGCCTTCTCCGATGGGCAGGCGTTAGAGGTACACACCGTACAGGGCATCGTGCAAACAGACCACCACCGTGCAGTCTTCTGGCCACGGTAAAACGCGATATCGGTCGTCCAGTCGCCTGTGTCGTGTGTCTAGCGGTTTCTCCCGCTGTCTGTTGCCTGTTTCTTCTGGCCTGTAAGGCAATGTACCGGTCATCTGCGGGTGTGGTTCCTCATGGACACCACTACTAAACCCCCGGATAGCTGTTCCTGTAGTTTGAAATTGTCTCGAAAGTCGTGAAACGATGCTGTGAGCAATTTCGAACTCTGCAGCCACACTTGTCACACTGCGGCCTTCCTCCAACTTCCCAATGATTCCACCACGGGTAAAAGCATCCACATGTCGTCTAACAGATTGATTATTCGCCATTTCTCGCTGAAGCAGCAACTCGGTGTGATTTTAACTGCTATGCGGCGTGCAATCTCTTTGCCAGAAATACTGATCTTACACCGACAACATGCTTTATACTACTCAGACACTCCCCCATTACGTCTACCTGCATATCTGCGCATGTGCTACCGTACATCACCTTACTTAATCTCCAGATTGGTCTTTCTGTCCGCTCTGCATCTTCGTTCAGCTGATATGCTAATTTTTCGACTTCGTCCTTAATTTTTGCACACCAGTGTATATCGGCAGTGTACGTATAAGAGAAATTTCAAGAACGCATTAAGGCAACAAGAAGTGTATTATTACGTTTAAAAATAGAAATGGAAAATTTTCAAATATATTCAGTTGCAATCAGGGGAATAAAGTTAAATAATATCTGAAAGGATAATTAGAAACGCATTTTTTTACGTATTCTGTTGCAAAATTTAAACGTTTTGTTAAAAAATGAACGTTTTTATCGATTTATGGGATTTTAAAATTTTTACATTTTAAAACTTTATTCTTACATTACTAAATTTACTAAATGATCTTTTTAAAAAAAAACATGACACTTAAAGAAGAAAATCTATATATGCACGGATTGTTGTACAAACACAATATCCAGTTAAATGATAATTTTGATCTAAAGTAAAATCTTGAGTATTTTTGCAGAAATATTGACTTATAAATGTAAATTTCCATTAAAAATAAATAATATAACTATATTTAGTTCACACAGTTATTTGCTTTACAACTATTTATCTCCTCCCTCCAAAAGTAAATGTTAACGGAAATTCTCGCTTACGAAAGTCAAACAAATTTTCACTACTCATCTTGCGGACGCCTAAGAATTTTTTTTTTTCCTGCTTTAGTATTAATTTTAAGTTGTTCTATTTTCAGACATAACACTTATGGTTTCTTAGTTGCAGGAAAAAATTGCATTCATTTGTCGCAGGAAAAAAATTAAGTACTTACGTGCGAGACCGAGATAAATTTTTGACTGTAAGTAATCTTTGTATTTGCACTTGATTGCCACCAAAAGCTGACATAGACAGAATGATACCTTGTATCATAAGGTTCCACACAGTATAACGAACTTCCGGGTCAACTTCAAAGCTATATAAAAAATTAAATCAATTCTACATAAACACTTGGAACACGATGCTTACTAAGTAAATTTTTCTCATTTTTAAAAGTCTAATTAGAATTGTAAGTGTGCTAGTTCTAGAGAAATAAAATGTGATATGTACTACACGCTATAACAAAAAAATCGGTGCACCAAGAAGGAGTTGTCCGATGGAGACAAAAATTTGTGAATAGGAAGATTGTGTACAGAATAGAAAATGATTAAAATTTCACATCATTTCAATGACTTATTTCAGAGTTACGCAGTTACAAAAAAAAAAAAAAAAAAAAAAAAAAAAAACAAGCTCAATAAGGTGTTGTGTGTTGTAAGATTGTGTACAGAATAGAAAATGATTAAAATTTCAGATCATTTCAATGACTTATTTCAGAGTTACGCAGTTACAAAAAAAAAAAAAAAAAAAAAAAAAACAAGCTCAATAAGGTGTTGACCCACCTCTAGCCTAGATAAAAGCTGCCACACTGAGTGTCAGAGACTGATAAAGCTTTTGGATGGTCTCCTGTGATATTTCTTGACAAATTTGCTCCAATTGTCGGGCTAGGTCATCAAGATGCAATCGTCTTCTCATCATATCCCAGACATGCTCGGTGGCAGAGAGATCTGGCAATCTGGCTGACGAAGGAAGTGTTTGAAAAGCTGTAAGGCAGTTCAGTGGTCTGGCATTGCCTTCTGAAAAATAAGGTCAGGGCACTGCAAAAGAAACGGTAGCAAAATAGGTCTCAGAATGTCGTCCACGTACCGCTGTGCTGTATGTGTGCGTCTAATGACGACCAAAGGGGTCTGGCTATCAAAGGAAATGGCACCCCAGGGCATAACTCCTGGTTGAAGGTCTGTGTGGCGTGCAATAGTGAAAGCAGGATCGGCACGTTATTTTGGCCGTCTCCAGACACGTCTTTGATGATCGTCAAAACACAGCTGCAAGCGAGATTCGTCTCTAAAGATTATACTTTCCCATAAAACATCATTCCAACCTGATCGAGTTAAGCACCACTGTAATCTGGGTCGACTGTGGGCAGGCGTGAATGGCAGATGGCGTACCGCTCGGTACGAGCCTAGATTTCGCTCTATCAGCCGTCTGTAAATGGTCGGGGTGGACACTTGTATGCGATTCGCACGTCTGATGGTTGATAGCGGTGAATCAGGCGCTGTGACAGCTGATCTGACAATCACTCTGTCCTTCCGATCTGTTGTTGCCCTAGGTCGACCGCTACCATGATGACTCTAAAATCTGCCATTGTCCACCCATTCTTGCCAGCATCTAATCGCCGCATCGCTTCGACTCGTTATGACGACTGATTCTCCGATTTGCCCAACTTGCCTCTTTCAATCTAATGATACGACCTTTTTCAAACTCTGACAGTTGCTCGTAATGAGCTCGAATCCTGCGGTGAGGCATTTTTGCAGTCGTTGAAAAGTATCCTAAATCGCAATGCAACAAAAGTTTCTAACAACAGTTCAAGAACAGCTCCTTATATACTCCTTATTACTACTGCGCACGCAGTTACGATGCTCTGGGATCACACTATTCATTCATTGGAGACCAAATTTTAATTATTTGCATATTTGGTCAAAACATTTACGCACACGAAATTTCAAACCAATCGGATGATTCCTTCTCGGTGCGTCAAATTTTTTGTTAAAGAGTGTATAAACTAATTATAATCTTTACTTAAACAAGAGCAAATGATTACGCACTATTTTGTAAACATTATATTGAGTCTAAAGTAGAATCCATAAATTAATGCCTTATGCTTAGAAAAGGATGCATAAGAAGCATTTTGTGACTGATAAAGGAAAAGAACATATTTATAACTGAGATGGACAATATATAGTAATGACATTTTTCCATTTGAATAAAATGAAGTCATCATATATAATTTTAACTAAACCTTAAAAAAAGACTTTACAATTATTTCTGAATTTTATCAAGAAACACAAGTTGTAAATCGAAATATTTGAAACTCGAAAAAACTTCATCAAGTGTTTATAATCTTTTACCTTAAAATGTTAATTTAAATTATATTATTATTGTCATAATATCGCCACATGAAAAATGGAAAAAAAAGGATTTCTTCTTATTTCACTTATTTTATTTGTTTATTGAAAGAAATTCAAATTTCTTGTAGCATTATATAGACAATGCTGGCTATAACGATTCTCGATATAACGACCTCTCTATTACACCAACCCATGCGAAATACGTCCAACTGATGAAAATATACCAAATCTCTTTCGTTACAACAATTACTCTTAAAGCGGCCTTCTTCAGAAGGATGCTTTATAGAGAGCATCAATTACATTCTGTTTTATTAATGAAACTAAGAATTTTAGTACACATTTGAAAGGTAATGATTTAAAATATACGATTCTTGAAACACGAGAAAGAAATATATGAAAGTACTGCTTACCCGGGTATCGTCAAACGACCTCCCTCATTTGCGATTCTGTACACGTTGTTGATACCTCCCAAATCAATGATACCTTTGATGAGGACAGCAAAGATGCCCAAGAACATGAGCAAGGCCTGGAATACGTCCGTCCAAAGAACAGCTTTCATTCCACCCTAAATATAACAAAGTAATTATTTAATTTCATATAAAACTCGAATTAGTTACCTGATTGTTATAGTTAATTAATTAGTTCCTTGTTTATCTGAACTTAATAGGACCATGATAGATCTCAAAAAAACAATTTTCATGAGATTTGTTTTTTAAGGCTATTAAATATATATTTAGTGCCTATTTATTTTTATTAAAACTAATATTCAGTATTCTTCTTATTTCACAGTATTTTATCTGTTTGTTCGAAGTAATTTAAACTTTTACATTCTAAATTTTAAAGCAAATTCTAAATTTAGTAATTAATTTAGTAAGATGCCTTAATTTAGTAAGTAGTGAAAATTTTAAAAGTAATTCTAATTTATGAATTCAGTATATTCTAAATTTCGTATTTCTAAATTCTCTGAAATTCAGAGAAAAAGAATACAATAACACAAGATCTAAGTACCGTAACTACTGATCTTCGAATAGCTAACACAGTTGCTGTTTCGCCTTTAAATAATGGACACATAATTTTCTTTAACTGAAAGTACACTTTTACCCCACTTGAGAGAATTATAATTAATTACCAGGTTTCATTAATCTATATCGAAAAAAATATGTTTAAAAATCAAGAAACTAAGTTAAAAATAACATTAAATAATATCAATATTTGCGACAGAACTTGAACAATATCATTGAGTTCAAACTCACGTAAAAACGTCGGTTAGAAAATTTTGCTTCTTGACAGAATTAATCTAGTAGACATCATCTGCTTTCACTGCTGTTATTCAATTTTTTTTTCTCTTTGGTATTTTTCATAGACATTTACGTTAATAGCTTGTGACTATAATTTTTTCATCGTTGTCTTGTAAACAAAACGGGTTCTTTGTTATTTTAAGACAAGGCCTGATTAATCTACAACCCAAATAATCTGCCCCCGGCTAAACGAGAGCTACTTATAACGAAAACAAAAACAAAAAACACTTTAATCCATTTTTAAAAAAATATTTATAAAATACACAACGCATATTTAACACACAACTGATGTTCAGGGAGACACTTGAGGTTATTTATATCTATACAATTTCATAAAACGATCCCAACTTATTAAAACAGAATTTTAAGAGTAGCTTGTATTTCGTTTTATGTTATGAATATAGATCTCGACCAGCTGTGCTGAATGTTTTTGACTTACCGTAAAGAATTCGGTTTAGTATCATGAATTTATGTTTAATGAGTGTTGCTAATTACTGCTTCGTGGTGGCAACCAATGTCTAGGAAATTATCACGTTTTTTCTGCAGTTTGCCGTCCAAAATATATTTCCATCTTTATATTCTGTGATTATAACCAAATTTCCTTTCACTATACTATTATATTATGACTCTGTGATAGTAACTAAATTTCCACTAATTATACTAGAAATCATTAAATCAGAATTTAGAAAACATGTATTTTAGAATTTCTGTGATAGTGGATTTAGAAAACAAATTCAAAACCTTCTAAAGCTTGATAACGTTATTTGAAGCCTCCCGGATAGAGCAGAATTTTGCTTTTCTTAAAACTATAAAATTTATTTCACAAACGCAGTGAATTTCTGAAAAATTGTGATGGAATTATCTTAAACTATAATTAATCTAGTCAGCATGATGTTGAAAGTAGAAAACAAAATTAAAATAGAAATTTAGAACATTATGAAGATATACTATTAAAATACTTATTAAAATTTTATGAAGAAGGTATAGATTGGACAAATACATGGAACAGAATTTCATTTAAATTTTCAGTAACAAATTTTAATGGATATTTGCGTAGTACTTGAGAGTTTCAATCTAATTTTTTTTTATTTATTTACAATGGCTTTCAAGCTTTTGCTCTATATCCGCAAACATAAAATTAAACTCATGTCATGATACAAATAGATATATTTGTTCCAAGCGGTGTGTCGGTCGAGGTACAATTTCAGATCGCTAAACAAGCTAAACTATTTTGTTTGCATTTAAATTATTATTATTGAATATTATAGCTAATACTTCATTGCAGAGAAAAATAGTAGTTATGAGTATTTAGCGTTTTTTTATGAAAATCTCATTAAGAAATTCAAGATTAAAACCCTATAATCAAAAGCTTCTTTATAGTTAAATTGTATTGCTGAAGCAAATGGAAACAGGTATTCTATAAAAAAATAACTGCTATAACTCGCTTCTCCTATGTGTAATTGTTATATGGCATTCGTCTAAAATGCAATTCTTAAATAAATTAACTTCTGTCATACAAAAAAAATCTATTTTCAGTTAGCTCTTAGTACATAATTTATGCAATTTGAAATTTCTCGTGTGCAGATACTGCAATTTTTCAGTTGCATTCAGTTTAATAATTCGCAAAAGATGAATGAAACACCCGCATGGAATATATTCTCTGACTGCTTGATTATATCTGTTGCAAAAAACTTAGCGGAGGAAAAAACAAATCTACAGAGCTTTCCGTATTCAATAATTTACCTTCTGGTCTCTAGATGGCGCCACGGCAATATCTGAATTTGACGGTTTTCATGAGTTGGGTATCGCTGATAATGATTTTCTTTCATAAGATTTACCGATTCAGAATATATAATTCTGATATTATTTATGTTAATTTTTTAAATGCAAATTTAAATGTATATATATATATATAATTTTGAACAAAAAAATGCATCAAAATTTTAATTATAAATGTAACAAATATTTTTTGCAAAAATGCAACTCCGTTTGCAGCGAGCGTGAAGGACTTCCATGCAAAAGATGCAGTTTTCACGGTTGCTGTTGCTTGGAAACAGGTAAAAACACAATATTAGAGAAAGCGAAAATTGTCCCAAATGCCTGGAAGCAAAATTGTATAGAACGAAATGAAAATACTAATGATTTAATAATAACCGTTCTGAGTTTTTGAAAACAATCCAAAGTCTTCCCTCAAACAATCCATTAATCATGCTTTCAGAAACTGAAATCATTGAAGGAAACCGAAAGTGATAAAAAATGACCCAGTTGTTGAAGAATATACTGATGACGTCATAATTCAAAGTGGGTTAAATCTGCACGTGGAAAAAGAAATAGATAACGACCAAGATCACTTGACATAAGGCTGGTAAAGTGGAAGTATATTTGTGAAATTCGCTGAAAAAATTTTAAATTAGGTTATTGAAGAAATGATAAACATTCATATTTTACATACATTTTCTCCCCCCCCCCCCCCCACACACACAAAGAGCTGAATCTATGAAGAAATTTATTTGGAAAAATTTCATGTTCTGCCAATATTGATGACTTCAAAAGCTAATCAAATATAATTAAACTATGAACAAATTTAATTACTAATATTTATTAAATATGATTGCAGAACCACTGTATGTGTTTTTTCATTCCTCAAAACATTCAATTCACTTGTTCTGGCATTCCACAACTTTAGTCCGCTAATTTGGCATTGTTGGAAATTCTTCGACGAATTGTCATTTGCGCCGATGATTATCGACAAGGCTCCGAACATACCAGGTTATCGAACTTTTCTTCAGTTTAATTTTTATATCTATAACAGTTTTTACATTAAAAAAAATTTAAGAAGCTAGCAAGAATATTTCGGCAGAAATGACCGCATAAAGCTGTTTACGATCATTTGAAATGTACTATTATCTTTTCCTTTATTTATTATTTTCATATCAAAAATATATATAATTATAATTATTGTAAAAAGCTATGTAAGTGTTGCATGGGAAACAGCTAATAGTTTTCTTCCTATGTTCTGAAAAAAAGTGTCATGGTAGTTTATAGAAGAATGAGTGCGTTTAAGATAAAAAGCAAGTAAGCAAGCTGCTGCAAATTCAGTAAATATCCAATAATCCAGCCTTCGTATGAGTCTAGCAATGACAGGTATGGAATATCGGATGTATAAATAGTGTTTCAAAAATAATACTGTCAATGTTATTTAATGTATTGCAAGAGTAGGCAAAGGTTAAGCGAAACTACGTGTGTTAATTCTATATATTACATAAATCAAAACATAAATAAATTGTATTTCAGATTACACTCTAATAGTCTTAAAATTTTACCATTAAAGCATGACAAAAAATGATTTTTAATTAAAAATTTTGGAAGTGTATTACATAAAATTTTAGTGTTAAGAAGAAACAACATTGTGATCCTGGTATGCAGATTCCAGTTAGAGACCTGAAATTTTTACTTAAGTAATATTGGTAGACTTATTAGTTTAAGAATTAATTCTCCGAGATATAAAAACTTGTATTTAAAACGAGCCCTTCAAAGTAGCTAATTAAAATAGTAGGGGGGATTAGCTGAAATTATTTCATCGTAAATTAGCGAGACGCGGAAACTTAAATCGTATGTAATGGGAAGAAAAAAAATCAATCACTTAAAACCTAACATTAATTTATTTTTAATCAATTTACTTTAGGAAGTATACTAGATTTTTTTGCTTGAAGCTTTTTCATGCAGCACTCTATCTAATATTAACATTTAAGTACTTTTAGGTTACTTCACATTTAAGTGTTTTATATAAGAATGCTTATATTTAAGTACTTTTTAGTATACAGCTGCAAATAAATAAAATAATTACTGTGCTGAACATGGACACTCATTAGTTTTTCAGTTTGGTTATTTATAAATGCGTTTTATGTTTCGTTAGCTTTATTAATAAACAAAATTAGTTGAATCTTATATTTGTCACGCTCTATTTTGTTCTCTGTTCACGGATTTACTAAACTTTTTAGTTGAGTAGTGTTGTTAATTTCAGTGTATTCATTAACTTTGAGTTCTCGTACTATGATTTTTCTTCCACTAAAAGAAAGATAAATGACCAGGACAGTAGAACGATAACGCGAAATTAAGCCATGCATAAAAGTAGCGAAAATTTCTGCCCCTTATATATGATTTACAATTGTTACGAAATGTACAGGCGCGGTAAGATAGCTAATTTCAGGTTCTTTACTCTTATATGTTTGTAAATTGTGCATCTTTTGCTTTAAAAATGATTGAATTATGTTGTTCTTACGTTCCGGTTAAGGTTTTTTATGCCTTTAGTAAATCTGTATGCAATATTTTTAGAATTATTTGTAAATTGTCTAAGTGCCGCTAAGCCTTTTTTTCTATGCTATTGACGTTACATTTGAAACAGGGACTAGTGATTGTGCCAATCTAGAGAACTTAGCTTCGCAACAACAAAGATACGCATTCATTTTATTGAAAATATATGCTTAATTCTTTCTGGGATTTTCGAAGAAATAAGTGTTTAAGATTTACTCGTAATTTTTAATATAGATATTGTTGAGTTTTATGTATTTTTGCCTTCTCTCGCGAAGTGAGAATTGAATGAATTAAATGAGAAATACTCAATCGTCTGTGAAAAACTGTTTCTTTTTGTTTGCTTGCTTAATAATTTCTTATACATATTTAGCTTTATTATAGTATTTGAATAGACATGTGGCAACGATTAGATATTTCTTTAAATGAAAATTTGTGCATGTTATAATATGAACGAAATATAAGTAACTGTTATAAATTATTGGATTATATAACATTAACTTAGTTTCGTTATATAAATATTATATAAGTAACTGTTATATAATTATTAATACTGTTAAGTGAATCTAGCGCCAGAGTGTCGCTAGGTAACAACACTAGAGTGAATTTTAAAGAATGCATTTATTCTATTGTGGTTATGCTGTCGGCGAAGTAGATGCAATTCAATCCAATAAGTTTAAATGAAATTCAAGAAAAAATTCGTATAATTTAATATTCCGTACAAGGAAGTCATGTGGTGTACACATCAGATTTTTTGTTAATATAATGTGCACTCTTTTCTTTACGAAGACACCTGAAATGTATAAAATGTCAGATGTGTTCTCTTTTTGTAATCATTTAAACACGTGATTTTGAAGTGAACATCGAAAGCTTTAGTAAATTGCTTTAGTTGCACATTTATTTGAATTAAAATACAGTTTATCTAGTGTAAATACGGCTCCTGCCAAACGAAACAAGAACAGTGCTGGTTTGAAATTCAAAGTCATTCAGTTTGCGAAAGGAAATGGAAATTGTTTTGGAGTAAAATGTTTGCTGTTGGTGAAATCTCCATACAATAAATAGAAGGAAAAACGAAATCGCAGTAATTAATATGCTAAAGAATAAATGCGCTTTGCGTAAAGGAGAAACTAAAAGGCCTATCCTGGAATAAAATACTGCGAAATGGGTCTTAGAAAATCGCCAGAATGGATTAATTGTAATAATAAGCAGCGTACGTTTATCTGTCTTAAAATGAACAGAAAGAATGCAAATAAAAGTGAGAACTTTAACGCAACTTTGGGTTGGTGTAGTCGATTTATGGCATGGAATAATTTAGTTCTAAGAGGGGAAGAAAAAAAAAAAAAAAATGAAAGTTTCGCGAAGCCTTCCTAAAAATTTGAACAACAAATTAATGCTTCTAGAAATATTTTATTGCCTTACGAAGGCAAAAAAATTATTTATTGCCACATATTGGAAATATGGATGAAATTCTAGTAATTTTTGATCTGATAGGAAATGAAACCATTGATGTGAAAGGAACAAAAACGGTGCACATAAAAACAACAGGTCACGAAAAATCGCAGTGTTTCACCTCACCATGGTGCTTTATTATTACAGTACAGTGAAAAATTAAAACCCATTTATTTTTAAAAGAAAGAAGATGCCGAAATATAATTTCCCAACACCAACACCAATTTAATGGTGTTTTCATTCATGTTCACGTGAGATGAAAACGGAAGTCTTTTAGTTTGCAACATATTCAGGTGTTGGTGTGCTTAATTATGGCAAAGCACATTAGGGCTATCTGCCTAAGGGGAGGGAGGGATGCCTTCATGGAGGAGTTTCTAGGGGAAACTGGCTCGTATATACGTTACACACGGGGAAAACCCACGAAAACACCCATGCAGCCAGCCCGTTCGCGGGATTCAAACCTCGGACCAGTCGGGTAATTGTTATAAATATCGCTAAGTATAGCAACATTTTTACAGCCTCATTAAACATGAGAAATGTATATAGAAGATAATACTTATGCAGTTCTTGAATTTCCATTGCTCTGCAGCATCCACGTCTTCCGTTGTTTAGTTTTAAGTTTGACATGTCTGACCAAATTAATCAATTTCTAATGTTCTTAAGCATTAATAAAATGTAGAGCCTTACGCGTCGATCAGCAGTGATATACGGAAAGGCTAGAAATCCAGAAAATAAACCCAGTTTGACAACTTTTGAAATTATACTGTTAGACGCTTTCCTAACAAATTGTGAGATCATTTGAATTTCTGTAAAGTATATCTATTTCTTTGAATATCTATGTAACGAAGCATGAATGACAGCTGCCAGGACCATATTAAAGTCACCAGTTTAGTAGATTTTGACCTTCCGAAATCTATCGTATTCAGATATACTTTTAATTTAGGGATTCAAGAAAATCTACAGCGTTGCCGAAATTCTGAAAACACTATGACCCTTTCTTAACGCAGTTTAGCTGGGCACCAACAAATTTTCGGATGTATTGATATAGCATGGTTAACCTAGTAACCAAATGGTCCATAGAAAATGATGTCAAATGTAAAATATGTTTTTATTTTGTTGTTGTTGCCTTGTCCATATTACATGGAACAGTGGTTGCCTGGGCCTTCACCAAAGAGAGATTGGACTACCACCATTTTGAGGAAGAGCATCCTGGGGGGATCCGGGGGTCTCCCACCCTTCTCCCCTTTCACCGATTCACACGAGAGGACTTTCAGCTTTCCGCATATTTAGAGTGTCGCCATTCCGCACCCACACTATACATTTACAAACAGCCATGTCTTCTCCGGGATTCGAACCCAGGCCCTTCGGTACCGTAGTAGATTGCCTTAACTATTACACCGTTCTGGGTGATGCGTTTTTACATTACACAAAGAAAAAGAACATGATGCACTATTAAGTACCTCCGGTGAAGATTTGTTTATGATTACCTTGTTCAAATGATCACTAATCTGTATATTATGCAATCGAATACATGAATATTGTGTTTGTGCTGTGACCAAACCATATTCTTTTGTTTCAAAAATTTGTATCAAGCATTTAAATTTCATATGGCTCTCTTTGACGATTCCTGTTTAAATATCCTTTTGGATTGCGATTATGAATATATAAAGAGTCAGAGCTTATTTCCGCTTTCGAGCATCTCTAGAACAAGAATTCACAAATTGTTAAGTTTGGTGAAGGCGCCAGTATTTGAGATCACCAAATAGTAATATAAGGGAGAAATTTCATTTGGATTTGCAATAAAGTTAAAAGAGACAGAGAAAGGCAGATATTTACAATCAGGAATGTCTCATAGGATTCGAAAAGAGAATTTCCTCTGTACTTGGCGAGAATGTTCTTCCTGTAAAGTGTCTAATATGATACTACATTACCATCATAGTCCTACATTACCCACAACAAATGGCACATCATTGTTATTCTATTTCACACAAAAAATCATGATTTCTCTGGTTTTTTCCCTTGTTTATTTGTTTGTTTAGTTGATTTTGATAAATTACGTGAGAGATATTTGTCTGAGTGAAGAATTTTCTAATGAAAGCTGACTCATATTCACTCTACGCATAGAACATGTTAAAACACCCGTAAAATCGACTAGACCGTAGTCGTAAAGACCTGAACACGAGTCGAACTACCAGTGTTCAGCAGGCTTAATCACATTACCACTAGCGAGTCCATTTTATAGTGAATAGAGTATTCTTTAAACCCTGTACAATGGATTAAATTATGATGAATCGAATATCTTTAAAGGTTCTGAAGACTGATCTGTCGAAAACAAGATTTACGACTGAACATCTCGTGGAAGGAATACTAACAGTTTTTTGGTTTGATTTGATTTATGTAATTATGGCAAAGCCTCGGGGGCTATCTACTTAAGAGGACGGATGCATTCGTGGAGGACTTTAAGGGAAACTGACTCGCATATACGTTACGCATGGGATAAACCACGAAAACGCCCAAGCAGCCAGCCCGTTCGGGGGAATCGAATCTCGGCTGCTGGTTTGATCAACAGTTTTTTCGGGGATGCTAAGGAATATATTTGAATACATTTTATAAAGATTTAATATAAATTATCTCTTAAATTTTATAATGCCCTTCGGCAGCTAAATAAATTTATTAGGTATTTATTGGGTAATTATCAATTTATGAGGAATTGTTGATGTTAGAAATTCTCTTCATTGTCAAATGCTACGAGGTCTAGATTCTAAAAGCGCATGCTTTTTCTGTTCAGAAAACTTAAAAATATATGGAATAATAGAAAAAAAAGAGAGTTTCCTGGCTTTAAAAATTAAGAGTACAGTACATATATATTTATCATAAAACAACTTCCATAAAAATGTAAAATACATACCAATGTACAGTAAAATGTGCAGACCACTCCAATAGAGATTACCGACAACCACGTGGAAAGATTTGTGACGGCACTCAAGGCAAGAGCTGGTGCATACAATACCACAGACATATAAAGAATCTGCTCGTAAAAAAGAAAAAAACAAGAGTATTACTTTAATTCGATTTTATAGGAATAAAGCTATTTATTATTTAAATAACTCTTTTAGTTTATTTAGTAATAAAAACAGAATGCCCTACAAATTAAGAAATATGCATTATGAGTTCGCGAATTTCGAGAAATCTACATTTTTTTGTTATCCGTCTCGGTAACTTATCCAATGTATTTATAACTCCTATTATGGTTTCGTATTCTTATTGGTAAAAGATCATTATTTCTTTATATTTTTTTTTGGTATGTCTGCAGTTTATGTGTCCATCCTTTGCGCCTTATGCTGCAATTGTGATAAAAAATTAACTTCTTTATCCCTTATAGGAATTTGCGATGAGGAATCGTATAAAAGAGTAACTTCTTTAAACAAAATACCATTTCTAGATTTAATCGAAAATTAAGTGAAGAAATATTAATTTAACTTCGACGTTTATTGAAACACCCGAGTAACTTTTAGGCGTGTAAATTTGTAAATACTGTTATTCTTGAAAGCTGGTGGTTCTTCATTGTCTCAGCAATAATCCGAAACTTTGCCAACTGGGCTGCCGAGTTTTGAGAAGTTTAACTAATTGGCAGTCAGTTGAAATTTCATAATTTAAAAATTTCACATTTTAAATAAAAACGCAGGCGTAATTTTGGAGTTACTATATGAATGAATAATAAAATGAATAAGCAATATTTTTCTTACCATTTGTACAACGAAAGCTAATGAGCAGAACGTTCGAGCAAATTTCCCAAATCTCCTCTCTAAATACTGAAAAGAAAATAAATATCTTTATATTAATTTTCCCACTGATTAATGTACTTCATTCCTTACTTGCAGTGTCTAGTTATTTTATAAAACGATATAAATAGTATTAATTCTAGAACAAATGAATACAAGAATAACAAATATTAAATTTAATATAGTAAATTATAAAAATTTCATCTCTTCAGCAACAATAATCATTACTAACATAGATATCAAATTTAATCACTTTTAAATTTAAATCATATTGAAGAAAACCATATGAAGCGGAAATAAAGACGCAATTATGTATTGGACATAAAAAAATTAACAAAGGAGTAAATACTGATAATTATTTTTAAAAAATGAAGAAAGTAAGGAACACGTGCAAAGTGCTCATCGTTAAGCGTTATTAATTACGCAGATAAGCCTGCTACGAAAAAAAAAAAATTTAAGATGCTTTTGCCATTTTAAATTTCAGATTTCCATTTTCTATTTCCGGTTTATAATTAAAAACTCCATACATCATATGCTTTTTCAGAAACTTTAATCGTTTTTCGTGAATTAAACATACCTATATTTTTTCCTTATGATTATAATGTTCAATTAAAGCAGTGCTAAGCAGTTCACATGCTAAACAATAACAAAGCAGAGTTGCCATCTCATCGGAACGGTGGTTCGTGATTCTGACTGCCGTACCTAAGAGCCCGGGTTCGATTCCCGCAGAAAGCATGGATATTTGTAAATGTATAATGTCTATGCGGTATGGGGTACACTAAATATGCGGCGAGCCGAAAGCCTTCTCGAGAGGTTGCTAGTACGGGAAAACGGTTGGGAGACTATCGGACCCGTCTTCCCGAGGGCTGTTTCTCAGAATTAGAGGCGTAATGAGCTGAAGTAGGGCTGTCTCGCGCATAGAGCTCAGGGCTGTTGTTAACGCATTTGACTCCTAGCCTCGATGAATGTCTTGTGCTTGTACTAACCATCGTCAAATAGGTGAGATTAGTAGCAACAAAGCAGATTTGAGCCATGTAGTTGGAATAGAAATACGCTAGTCCTGAAGATGAAGTTCCCACGAAGTTCCTATCTCCTCTGAAGGCGGTAGACTTGTATTCAAATCTAGTCCAGTCTAAGATTGCCTTCTTTATTAATTTTTTTTTCTACAATGGCTGGCACTTGCCTATAACGGCATTGGCCGCTACTAAGGCCAGAAATGGTGACCATTGTACTGTGGAGGCACCTAATATGTGGCCATCGCTACCTCCAATGAAAGGACAGACAATTTTACATCCATGTCTTCTTCGGGATTCGAACCCGGCTTTTCGGTGTTGCAGTCAAGCTCCCCTAATCACTATACCGTCTGGGCGGCATTTTAAAGCTTACGCAGCTTTAAATATAATACGGATATCACTGAATAAAATTCGGAGAACGTGATGCGGATATCACTGAATGGTTTAATATAGATTTACTACTCTAACAAACTCTACAAGTGGTGCAAAATTACAACACCTACATCCTTCGGAACATAAAATACATTATACATTATATATAATACATAAAAATTATACATGATACATAAAAATGAACATGAAAAGTTACTACTTTCAATATCTAAGCAAATTATTACTGCCTTGAGAAATAATTTAATCAAACAAATATTAAATATAGGGTCTAATATAAATACACTAAATATCTACTAATATGTAGTATGCATACCCTACATATTAGTGTATACTACATATTAGTATACACTAATATGTAGGGTCGTTCTCTCTTGTTCCACATAAATTAAATTAGATCCTGCAATGAACTGGCGAATTCTCGCACAGGCGTGAAAAACTACCAAAGCAGAAGAAGGGTGAAAAATAATCCTTCAAATCAATTCAAAATAGTTAACAGAATGGCACGGTCTTCGTGCGTTACAATTTACCGTCAGACTTGCGGTGAAACTAAAAACGTAGAATATAATTCAAGTCAAACCTAAAATAAGTAGTGCTAGATAGCACTTAAGTTACGCCTAACAGGTGGACTCACAAGAACCTAACAGGCGTGATAATAATTCCGATATGGCCAACAAGCTTACTAGCGTAACAGGAAATAACGACTTAATGTGCGCTGGCTAGCGAAAGCAGACTCTGAATAAACTCAGAGACCGTTTAAATATGCATTTCACTTAGCTTTAAATTTACATCCTGGAGAGAAAATGTGAGGGGAAGTTCAGATAAAGGTATCAACTTAAAATAACTCTATTATGCAAAATAAGGAAAACCCTACAATATTTGTGTTTGAAAAATTTAGTAATCTAGTACTTTTACATTAAGTTCGCAAATATATTCTGCAAAAAGGAAGTTTAGTTTACTTTTTAAAACACGAGCATATATAACTAATAGAGATAAAATATTTAAAATTAAAACATTTAAATTAATATAGTTAATTTAATATATTGATCTGATAGTATATAATTGCTATTTAATATTTACATTCGTTTTAGTGACGAAATTGGTCTAATGTTCATGGTCTGGGTAGTAGCAATTGAAATAGAATTATAAATGTTTAAAATATCATTCAAAAATTGAAAATTTATTTTATGTTGCTAAATGTGGTACAAAAGTGTAGTATTATAATATTAATGGAAAATTAATGATGAGATGTTGAGCTAAAATCTTTTAAAATCGAGTGTCTGCCAGACTGCATAAGGATCAACATGCGCAGCAATTTGCTAGTATTAAGTAAAGCAAAGCAATACACGATTTAAAAATAGGATATAAGTAAAGGAGTAGAAATATTAAGCTGCAAATGTCTATTGGCCTTCCATTTCCTGAATAAATTCTCCTAATATTTCTCTAGAATTTATAGAGTCAGCTATATTTTTCTTAATTTTAGTTTACAGCTTACAAAATAGCATTCTTTACATTAAATAACTGAATTATTAAAATATTGTTCAAAATAAATATGCTGTTGCCGTTTCTTTTAGCTTTGATGACAGCTGACACATCACAGCATCATCTGACTTTCTGGTTCAAAGTAAATGTATAGAACATCTTCAGTATTTAGACTGTTCACAAAACATTAGCTTTAATTTCTACCAGCTAAAGGTAAATCTAACATTGTAGAGACATTAGGTATTTTTTAAAGCAAGAGATATTGAAAAATTAGCAACGCCTTCGACGGGAATCGGACCGAGGATCTCTGGAATACGCGCCCACGAAGGCACGCCAAGAAGGCGGGAGAAATACCTTATAGCATAACTACTGAATCATAAATTTTCAGGTTGCTTAACTGCAATAAATTACATTTAATTAAGAAAAAAGTGTAATGCAATTGGTTTGGTTTTATATTTGGGCAAAGCCTCGAGGGCTATTTGCCTAAGAGGAATGCGTTTTTGGAGCATTTTCTAACTGGCTCGTATACACGTTACACATGGGAAAAACCAGGAAAACGCCCATGCAGCGAGCCCATTCGTGGGATTCGAACCTCAGGACCGAAGTACCACTATTCAGCGACTGTACCGCTCGGCCGCTTATAATGAGATGTTGCCTTCGAAATAAATTTAAAGGTAAATTCACAACTACGATTTATATAGCTATTAATAAATAAAAACAAGAACACACAATATTGTATTTCTTCCCGAGATTTAAAATTACAAAAAGCCAAAAATTGTTAAAAGGAATACGAAGTTGTTTTAGAATTGCAAAGAAAGAGAAGTTATTAAAATCTTTGAACGTATTGTCAGTTGTATTAATGTTCAATGAATCGATAAAAAGATAACAGTAATTTACTTTGTTAATCAATAAGAACAATTTTTTGTAATTTGTGGCCTTAAAGAAAAAGCTTTTTCTAGTTTTCTTAATCAACAAAATCTCATAATCATTATTCTTAATAAAAAATAAATTTGAAATGTTATGTGAAGTACAGTATAAGAAGATTGTGAGCTTAAATTTATTCTTTAATAAAATATAAGGTTGTTTCCTTCTAATCTGTAGTGGGCCCATTAAGCGGCTGAGCGGTAAAGTCGCTGATGGTAGTTCGGTTCGAGATTCGGATCCCGCGAACAGGCTGGCTGCATAGACATTTTCGTGGCTTTCCCCTTGTGTAACGTGTATACGATCCACTTTCCCTTGGAAGTCCTCCACGAAGGCATTTCTCCCCTTAGGCATATAGCCCTCGAGCTTTGCCATAATCACACGCACATACTTCTGTATTGCTCAAAAGGCTACGTAACAAATTACAAATGACGTTATAAATTTTGTATTTTGTGGTAGAAAACTATTTTCTTAAAATTACAATGCAAAACATGTTGCTTAGTCTTTTTCTTTTGTCACCAAATATTAATATTCTACTCTGCAAAAAAGTTTCATATTTATTGGATTTTTGGATCTCGTCCATGGCTTCAACGACAAATTTATGAAGCAGGAGGGAGGGGCACCCTACGTAACTTTTGGGGGACCTGTATCTAAGGATATAGGTTATCCTTCGATTTTTAAATTAACTAGCCTGATTTTAAACTTACTTTAACTAGCCTAGCTTAACTTTAAATTAACTAGCCTAACTAATTCATTCGGGAGTCCCTTAGAACTCGGGTCCGCTCGCGATTGTAACACGCGGAACTCCATAAATAATATGCCTCTGCATGGCTTCTGCATGGACCTGCCTTTACTTTCCTTCTGCATGGCCCTTCCTTATAAATTCACAGCACTGACGATTTGTAAATTGCTCCATTATGTGTATTTCGCAGATAGCATGGTATGCACCGATCAGTCGTAAAGTTCTTCATTAAGTTAGTTAAACTGCAAGTGAGAGAGCTATTTTTTTTATGAATTATCTATTCAAACTTTGAAAAGTGTTTATACTAATACATGTGAAACATAAAGTGTTGAATAGGTGAATGAAATATTTATTCCTTAAAGATTATGAAGAAGATACAAGGAACTTTTGTTGAAATGATTCTGTAGTTTGAAAAATACATGAAATGCTTAAATAAAAAAATCGAAAGTATTTTAAAATACACGATTCATATTCCATTATTAAAACAAGAATATTAGAATGTATTGTTTTATAGCAGACCCTAGATAGCATATTTAATCTAAACGTAAAATTTGCACATTGAATGATTATAAGGAGCAAAATACATTAAGTGATTGAAACAAAATTCAAAAAAAAAAAAAAAATGCAACTCGAACGGAATAATTTTTTAAATTCAAAAATTGCGTAATACTGCCTCGTATGGTTCCCATTCTCACTTACCTAATGTTCAGTCTAGGTTTTCGAACCGAAGGTCTGTTCTCTACGACTGTACTGCTGACTAAAATTTATCATGGCGTAACGTATATTTTTTAAATTTTATAACAATTGTTTTAATTTAATTATACTTCAGTATCGATTCTTGTTTCAACTTACAATTCTCTACCAGAAACGAGTTTTTAGAATCGCGTTGAATGCAAGTGAGTAAGAAGTAGTATTTAAGGAATGCTCAACTTATTTCGAAAAAGAGAACTAGGAAGCCTGAGTAGGGCGTGTTTGTCTTCGGGCTAAGTCCCTATAGAAGCTGTTACGCTCGGCCATATATTAGTGCCTTTAAATATTCGCCGGCTATTATAAATTAAGGGCCAACTACGTTATATTTGTGTCAACTTCGGCTAAGTCTCTTAGTTAGTTCTAATCTAGTTCTCATTTCTTATTTTGATTTCAAGCCCGAGTGGAAGCATTGTTGTAAGCCCGAATCAGGGGCCAGCTGTTCATCTTATTTTGAGTGAAATAGAGGGTAGTTAACCCTTCTTGAGTTTACGACCTGTGTTAATTGAACTCAGCGATAAGTCGCTTTACAGTTCCCTAGGTTCCTCGACATTTACTTTATTAGAATAAGAGTGAGGAACTCTACAATGGAATGAACTAATTATGCATGGATAATTATTAATCTAATGAATTATTAAGTATGTAGTACCGAAGCCTAATTAATGATTTACACTCATGTCCATAAATTAAAGATAATTCGGAGTCACGCGGAAATCGAACTCTAAAATATATATATCACCTGTAAAATCACTACACACATCTTCAAGAATCATATGCAAATTTCAGGAAGTAACCAGATGACACCGATGGTACGTCACAATGACAAGATTGTAAGAGAGTGATATATAAGGAATACAGGCAAAGAAGTAAAATTGTTCGCAGGCACTTTATAAGCATTTCAGTGCAATAACCGAATAGTTATGACACAAAGGACGATTTTTTACGTGGTAGAATCATCGGCCGTCTGGAATGTGAACGTACCCAACTAGAAGTATCAGACGAACTTGGAATTGCCCAGAGTGTCATCTCCAGGCTTTGGCAACGATTCCAAGATGATGGTAATGTGAGTAGACGTTACAGGTCGCTCCAGAGTTACAACGCCGAATGAGGACCGGTATTTGGCAGTTACTGCCAAAAGAAACAGGCGGAGCACAGCCTCAGACCTGTCTCGTCAGCTCTCTTCAGCCAGTGGTACGACAATTTCAAGGCAAACTGTGTACAGACGCTTAGGGCAGATTGGTCTCTATGCTCGTAGACCTATCAGATGCGTTCCATTTACTGCAACTCACTGTCGCCTGCGGTTAGCCTGGAGTAGAGAGCATGCATTGTGGACCGCAACAGTGGGCTTGTGTGATGTTTTCCGACGAGTCCAAGTTTAGCTTGCAGTCTGATTCTCGCCGGACTTTCACATGGTACCCGTTACCACCAAGAAAACATCATTGAACGACACCGTTACGGTGGTGCAGGACTGCTCGTTTGGGGTAGAATTATTCCGGGTTCCAGAACTGACCTTCATGTTCAAATTTGAACAATGACAAGCCAAATCTATCGGGACGTCATTCTGGAACAACATGTAGGTTTGTTTCGGGGCGCCATGGGCGCACAATTTGTGTTTATGGATGACAAAGCCCATCCTCACCGTGCAAACATTGTAAGCGAATGCCTTCAATCGAAGGATATCACCCGTATGGACTGGTCAGCATCCTCACCGGACTTGAATCCAGTACAGCACGTGTGGGACATGCTTGGCCGACGAGTTGCAGCCCGTCAATCTCCTCCTACATGTCTACCGGAATTTCGGAGAACATTGCTTTTTGAGTGGTGTAATATCCCCCAAGACCAGATCGATAGTTTCATACTCAACATGCCTAGGCGTTGTACGGACGGTATTGCATCGTCTGGGAGACATACAATGCATTAACAATCATACAAACCATGTAATATTGGTTTTTTGTAAATAGGTTTTTTTTTTTTTTTTTGTAATTTGCTCCAGGGAGAAAAAATCGCTAATTTTTTTAATAATATCAAACATACAGCATCTTTTTTTGCTCTTTACCTTTTTTTTAATAAATAAGCTTTACAAATAAGTCAAATTTGTTTTGCTTCTAACTCTTCCTTTGCCTGATTTTGCATTATCCTTAATTTATGGACATGAGTGTAATATTGCCATTATTATGTAGAGTCATTAGGTTATTTAGAAGCAGGGGACGTGAAAAAAGTGCAGTGACCTCGCCGGGACTCGAACCCTGAATCTCTTGAATAAGCGTCGAGTATGCGTCCAATTACATCACGAAGGCATGCTGAAAGGAGAGAGAAGATGCCTTATATAATTTCCCTTTTAAAGAGAGGCTGGGGATTAGGGACATAATCGCCAAATCCTGGTGGTGACGAATTATCGTCTACAATCTTGTAGTTCGTGTGGTATTTGTAGAGTCATTAGGTTATTTTGAAGCAGGGGACGTGAAAAATGCACAGTCCTCTATTCATGATTCAAACCCTGGACCTGCAATAATTTCGTATTTGTGCAGCTTTAAACTCAAAAATAAAGCGATAAATGCAGCTCACTTAGAAAAGGAGAGTTAGTGCGGTGTGCATTGGAAGTGAAGGTCTGCTTCATTTCCAATGCACACCGGAAACAGAAATATCATATTTGATACCTATAATATCAGAAAAATAAATCACACATGACTTACTAACTGCTTCTACTAAAACTGGCTCATTCGCAAATAATTCAAATAAATTTCAGCTTCGTAATACAACGGTGATTAGAAAAATAATAAATGGGAGGAAAAGTTTCTTTAGTTCTTAACCAGAACAGAAAGAACTTCACCGCAGTAGCTCCTTTCCCTTGCATGAACCGTACAAAGTTGACTGCCAACACGGGGGATATATATATTCTACATCTAAAGTATTAGAACGTTAAAAGATGAATATTAGAAATGCTGATGGTACGCATATACACACGTATAAATATTACATACAAAGCTAGATTAGTTAGACATGAATAACTTCTTAAGATATAATCTATGTATATTCAAAGAGAGTGCTATGTATATTCAAAGAGAGTGCTTTTACGGTTTTGAACAAGGGTTTGTGGTGCATATTTTAAGAGAGGAAGTTATGAGATGATTTATTAGTTATGTGCATTTCTTAAGTTCTCTCACTTGAAAGGAAGGTAAAGCTACAGTTAGAGGGCTAGAATCGCTTATTATAGCAAAGTACTGTTTATATAGTACTGTTTTTTGAGAACACAAGGATTAAACTTCGTGTTTTCCGCCCATGCTGCCCAGTTTGAAGCATTGAGGTTTGCAATAAGCTCTTCCAATGTACTGATATAAGCAAACGCTTAGTGATTGAGAGTGCCCCCTTCTCCACATTAGAGTGTTATTTTTGTAATACGAAAACAAACGAACAAAAAAAAAAGATTGTTATGTGATGTAAGGAATTAGAAAATTAACGTTTCGGCAAATGCGGCCAAAGATTTTTCGGAAAACAAAAATTGCAATAATTCATTTCCTTTTTTATGTATTAATTAACATATCCACCAATGGATTATCACAGTATATTAACAGCATTCTCTTTATTCCATGCTCTTCATCTATATTCTTTCAATAAATGAATATTTTTATCTTGTTAATATCTAATCTAGATAAAACATCATATATTTATATTATTAGTCAACTCTCACCTCATACGCAGTTGAGGCTTGCATCTCGAAAAACACAGGTATAGATACATAGGATGATACAACTGTTCCAACTGCAAATCCTATGTTCATGTATGCTAGATATAAACCAAAGCGATACATTTCTGCTGGCATTCCGATAACTGTGATGGCCGACAAGAAAGACGCCATGAGTGAAAATGCCACTGGAAGGATGGACATGTCTTTACCAGCCAAGAGATATTCATCGGTAGTCTTTTGTTTCCCACCAGAGAAACGGAAGTAAATGCCTATTCCCGCTGATATTAGCAACATAAGAGCAAAAAGGATGTAGTCTACAGTACCAAGAACAGCTTTTTCAACATCCATTTTCGGTAAGTTGCTTGAATCGCTGAAGAGGTGAGAAGCGGTGGGATGAATAAGCTTTGTAACCTGCAATAGCATAAAAGATATAATTATTATCGTGTTTAAATACAAAAACCATCATACGTGAGATGATAAGCACTATTCAGATATTTAAGCTAGACCGAGCTATATTTCGAAGAGCACATCAACATCGGACATAAGTTGATTAGATGATATCCGCAAGGATTCACTAAAGGCCATTAAGTGAGATAATACCTCATAACAGTTTTAAGTCAGTATCGGAAAACTTAAACTTGTCAAATGTAACAGTTTGAATTTGTCTCCAGAATTTCCCTAATATAAACATGTTGAAAATAGTTTTTAGACATTTAAAACATTTTTATTCTTGGTTTTAAATTTAAATTAATCGGTATATGAAGCTTTGAAGCATAGTTAGAGGAGCACTACAGAAGTATGTGAAAACAGCGAATCCATTGAATTGATCTAATTTTAAAAAACAAAATAATGAGAAATTAAGTATTTTCATGTGCTTTGTTTTTCTTCTTAAATGCGGTTTCGATGTATATGATTACGAAACAAAATGATGTTTGGGGCTATAAGATCTTCAGATTTTAACACGCCTAATTTGTTTTACGTACTTTGAGATCTACACCAATTGACTTTATTTTTAACGTATGTATTTTATATTGATGTTGACATAGCTGTACATGTTTTTTTTAATTATAAAGGGTATCATTATAAAGGCGTACAAAAGGAATACAAAGGCATATATAATTTTCAAAATGAAAACGAACATATCTTTTTTAAATGAAACGTGAAACATTTATTTTAAAATATTGGCTCATTTCATGAGTATTTTTGTGTCAACAGCTGGAATATTTTACTTAATGCTGTGCTTCTTAGAACATAAAAATCGAAGAAAAATAATTATTGCCTTAAGAAAAATGCTACAGAGTTTTCGAAATCAAATCACATAAATTGAGAGCTTCTGCGCTGATTTCATCACCATTTCTAGGAATTTGCCTGCCACACCCTTTGCTGTGAATTAAACGCTTTTGTCAGACTGCAAGGTTGTAAATAAATCTCTTTGAATTTTATCTTTATCACAAAAAATAGTCAAAATTTTCTTGTCTCTATTGAACCTAAAAATACTTTTTATTCTATAAACTAGAAACCTGTAATAATTTAATTCATCGCGTCGGAGCTTCGCTAGATTCATGCTACATTATTCTAAACTTTGTTATATAACAATTTCGAAATAGTAGTTGCATTAGAATTATGCCAAAAGAAAATACCCTTACGAAAGCAAAATTATGTGTGGAAAAACAATGAACAGGTCTTAGTTTGATGCGTCTTACTAATCCAATGCGTTTTAAAATATAACGTAATTACCTGATATATATTTTTCACAGAATCATACCTAAGTAAATATTAATTTCTTTTACAGTTCCCTAAGGACCATATTAAACTCAGCATAAACTCAAAAATAATGACTTTATCTTGCACCTGTAATAAAATCTTTAACATAATTTGACATTTAAAAATACAAATTTACCTATTCAACTCTACAAACTAAAAGAAGGTGAAGGGTGCTGAGGTAAACAGACTTTCGAAATCTAAAACAAACTTATGCGATGCTGAAAGTGGCATGCGATGGGTCAGGCTGCAAATGAATTAATATAAACTGTTCTAACCCTGTCACTTAAAGTTTTAATACAACTCGCTATTGTTCGTTAAAAAATAGCCGTCTCCGTAACGCTAAATATCAGTTTGGAAGTATCTTTACAATACGACGTCCGAATAATCACATATGATCAGCCGGAGCCAGGAGCCGATATTTTAAGTCCCTAGCTAATGATCAATCCAGAATAATCTATGTAAACCCAAAAAATTGTCCAAATTCATTCAGGGACCTTTATATCTCGTCTTTTCAGTATCTTTATGTAAAATTGAAATATTTTATCTCGTCAGACAGTAACCTTCATCATTCAGTCATCTCTTAAACGTCTATAAAACTGGAAAATTTTATCAGTGGAGGGCAGGAGCCTTATCATTCACTCATTTCTTGAAATTCTGTAAAACAGGAACACTACCAGTACAGGGCAGGAACCATTATTCCTCAGTCATTTTTAAAAGTCTATAAAAACTAGTTACTTTTTATCAGCCTAGGGCAGGAAGCTTTATCGTTCAGTTATTTCTTAAACGTCTATAAACTTGGAACATTTCATGAGTGTAGGGCAGGAAACTTTATCGTTCAGTCAATTCTTTAACCGTCTGTAATGCTGGAACTTTTTATCAGTGCATAGCAGGAACCTTTATCGCTCAGTCATTTCTTAAATGTATTTAAAACTAGAATACTTCATCAGTGATCATTATGTCTTTCCAAGTCATCTCCAATAAATTTCTTTCGCAATCTAAAAAAAAATCTATTTGTTTTCACCCACATTCTCCTTTTTCACTTTTCTTCTTCATTTTCGCTAAACTTCTCATTCAACTCAAAGCAAGCCTAAATCTAAGAGCCAGAAAAAGCCTCTCCTGCCTTTTTGGACAAAAAATTCCCTTTTTTAACTCCAAACCTATTTATTGATTAAAAGTAATTTTGTAATACAACCACTAAAACTTAAACGGTTAATACCAGTCCGCCAAAACTTTTTCCGAACAATTATAACCACGCAGCAATTAAAATTACACACCGCACGTATCTTTTTACATTACCCCATGAAAAGGCGAGTAGGGCAATTGCTCAACTCAGACACCACGGAAGAACTATTTTCACGTACAAGCCACAATGTCTAGAAAGTAATAAGTCTAGTAAAAGTTTGTCTACTCTATTTTTCTCTCATACAATCTGAGGACCATTTAAACAATAAATTTCTCATGTTCCAACTCAAACCTTTTTTACAAGCTGCCGCATCCGTTTACCAAAAAAATTTTAATATTTTCTTCGAGGCTTTCAGACCTTCATCCGTAAGAAGCCATTTTTTTTAAATGCATGTTCCCTGCGGGTACCATGTGTCTCGCTTCTCATTAAGCGAAGAGAAAATATTCTCTGTGTTTTTCTGCAACACACACAGAATCAAAAGGATACTTCATTCACAATCCAATTATTTAACTTCTGGCACTTGCATTTTTCCGCAACCGCTCACCCGTTTTTCTCGGCATATCCTGTCAAGGGATCCACAGTATTTAAAATTAATCCTAAAGGCAAAATCAAAAGTACGAAAGTTATCCATTCTGCATTATTTTATATTCTTCGCGAGCTCACCAACAATTAATTGCCTAAAGCTGTGAAATACTGCCAATTTGCAATGAGCTTTTATTTTCGGAGGTTAAACGGGTTAGCTTCATACGGTTTTCGAGTTTTTCACCGTATGTAATATAATGTCGTTCTCTTTAATGAGGCCTTTACGAAGACATCCATTCTTTAGAACACAGCTCTAACGTCCTTGTGCCTTATTTAAATCGACCAACTAATCCTGATTGTATTAAAACACAGTAATAACTTTGATTTAAGTGTCCTCCTCTCAAATGGTTAGACATTTGCCTCTCAAGTATTCTTCCAAAATTGGCCGAACCCACCTGTTGTCACCTGTTTCGAAAAGTATAAAATTTATAGAGAGTTCACCGGTGCTAATTTAGATAAACTGCTAGTAAGACATTTAATTTTTCATAACTATTTAAAAGCAAAATTCGTTCTTTAAATATTAATACATTTTTTAACTTCTAAAATTATTAAAATATTATAAATAACACTTTTTTGTGGACGGAAGGTAAATATCCGATAATATATAAAACTATTTAGTTCATAATGGCTATAAATTTTATTAAGACCTATAAGTATAAATTTATTAACTAAAGTCTTATTTTCTGCTATATTTTTGATGCATATGAATTATTGCGCCTTTAATGTACGTGTTGTTGAAATAAACGTTTCGATTACATAAAAAATATCTAGTAAGCCTTTCAAGAAGTCAAAAGCTCGTTTATCATAAATAAAAGAGAGAAAGGATTATGCAAAGATTATGCATAGTTAGCAAAGATTATGCATACTTGATACATGACTTAAATGCATGTGCAGAATCTCAATTATCCGGGAAAAACGAGACTGAATGGCTGTGGAACAGTACAGATTTAATAAAAATTTGTTATTATACTTCTATATAACACAAGGAAATATTATATTACTATAAACCGGGATCAATAAAAAGTAGACAAAATTATAATCTGTATGGAATATCATAATTACAATAAAAATATTATGTCTTGAAAAATAACGACATCTCCATTGCAATATACAGAGCCCTGTGTAAAAATTGTGTAACAGGCAAGAAATGTATTGGTACATAACTTAAAAGAAACGATAATATAATATTCTGTAAAACTGAGAAAGTTATTTTGTAAGAAACATATAATATTACTGTTTAAATAGCAATAACAAATTTTCCATGAATTAAGATTTTCGTGAGAGGTTAGCTAAAAGGAAAAGTTTGGTGATCAAAGGGTCAGATAACTGAGATTGTGACTACACATATAAATTCTGAATGTTTGTTTTAGTTCAGGGTTTCTTAAACTGTGGGTCGCGACCCCCTTGGGAGTCACGGGACCTGCAGCAGGGGGTCGCCAAAAATTTTAGCAGTTTTGATATTTTTTTAACTTATTATAATAATTTTACAATTACCAAATATTTCTACGCAATGTATCTGAAAATAGATAAAGATAATACAAAAAAAAAAAAAAAAAAAAAGAAAGAAAGAAAGAAAAGAAAACGTTCCGACGCTTTCTTTTTATAATATAAAAGTTCATTTTCCTTGCTTTGCACGTGACGCTGTCATTTCGTCTGTTACTTATTTACAATTTTCAGATTGTTCTATGTCTTAAAATTAGAAATTAAAGTTAATGAAATAAAACAGGAATAGTATATTACAGTACAAGTGAAAAAATTGACAGTTTCACTCACGCGTGTTTCGGATTTGCGCAATACTTATAGGGTCCAACAAAATTTTTGTGGGGGGTCGCGAAACGATCTCAGTGATAAAAAGGAGTCGCTACTGAAAAAAGTTTAAGAA